CTGGTCTGGTTCAAAGGTAACTTGTGGTGTATGCAAACCAAGGTTAAGTGATGCCTCAAGTAATTGTAAAATATCAAGAGGCATCAAAGGGGGGAATGTGGTGGAATCTCGGTAAAAATAAATTTAGTAGGCCGAGATTACCACGTGGCATGTGTACGTGCATATGCTGACGTATCGATCAGTTGGTTGCACGAGGCAAGATACGATCAGTAGTGTACGGAGCATGTGCAAGAATACAGGATGTAGTATTCCCCTCCTCCATTGTGCTGGACAAGCCATGCGGTCAAGCAGGAAGTTAATTCTTATTTGTAATGATTGGTCAAGAGAATGTGCGGGTGGAGCTTAATATGGGAGGAGTTATGTGCCTATATAGGGAGCCTGCACTATTGTTCAGGGCTCAGAACTTGCTGTATTTTTGGTGACATTAGTCCCTCTGAGTCCCGATCGGTGATCCAATAAAGAATCTCTTCCTTCCTGAAGAAACCTGTGTCCATCCCTCTGTGCTTTGCTTCCGTCAGTTTCTCCGGTATCAGTGGGAGGGTGTGGGAGGGAGGGTCTGCTGCTGATTGGCTGGAATGTGTCTTCTGACTGGAGTCCGCGGTGTACCATTTGGCGAACAGTTCGGGACATCACTATTGTGGGTTTCAAACATGCAAAAAGTATCTGATGTACAATGAAACTCAAGGTACACAAGAGCCTTCCCTATCTTAAATTTCTTATATACAGTATCTCATCTCTTATTTCGATGGGACAGCAAATTTACACTGTTATACAGGCTGTGCACTTACTACTTTACATTGTAGCAGAGTGTCATTTCTTCAGTGTTGTCACATGAAAAGATATAATAAAATATTTACAAAAATGTGAGATACTGTATATATAGAATAGGATTCAGTGTTCCTCCTCAATCTTCACAAATCTAAATTATGCAGCAAGACACCAAAGGTTTGCTAGAGATCTGAATGGGATTGAAACTTTCAGTTTCAGTGTTTCCTGGATTTAAGGTAAATAAATGTAGCCTCCGGGGCGAAGCAGGAGTACCTACAAATCTCATAGCTTTTCTTTAGCCAGACAACTCCTTATCCAATAGACTTGTTACATCAACCTCTATGTGTTATGTAATTTGTGATTTAAAAGGTAATTGCTGTGCTACATGACTCATTGCGCCCTTCCTTGTACAGATGCAGACAATATTTGTTAATCCTATAATTCTTATTGAATTATTTCGACTCACGCGCATCTGCTTATTACACTGCAGTGACTGTTAAAATCAGCCAACAACCCATCCCTTTCTTTTAGCCCAGGGCTCACATTGGAGCATAAATAAAGGCACACTCCACTGCTCAAATACAAAAATTAAAATAGCTGTTTAGTAAATATACCCCAAATGAAAACTTGCATGCATTTAAAAGGGCACTGTCACTGTCCTCCACCCCCTGAAAAACAAGTATTTCATGAAGTCTATGAACAAATCATTTTGACTGGGTTGAAATTTCACTGAAATTCCAACCCAGATGTCTTTTCCCTACACTTGACTTTCTTAGACTCTGGGCAGAGCTACCGTGTCAATCCTGACAGCTGTCACCACGATGGATGCATGGAACTGGCTTTGTCTATGGAGAACCCATCAGTCTTGCGGGATTCTCCATGGACCTCAATGCTGTACTCTTACGCACGAGCGAGAGTTCTGCAGTGACCCGCTGTAGGAAGATGGCGGCAGCCGCAAGAAACTGGTTCAGGTTAGTAAATCTCACCTCTACCCCCCGGCTGGCAATGTCACCGTCCGTGGGCTTTGCAAATTCTGTAAAGTCCACAGACATTGATAGTGTCGCTTTAATCAATGCATTTTTTTCATTGGGGATATTGCTAAAAACTAAAAATAGAAAAAAGAAAATCCAAAACACTGGAAATACTCCTGTGATTTGGGTTTAATCTGGAATTAAATAATAGATGTATGATCTGTAAAAATTAGGTGGTAACCTTAATAATGTACACAAAAATATCTACTTCTCCCAGACCCTAGAAACATCCAAAGTGAAGTGAAAAAAACTAAGCCTTTCGGCTAAACCTCTCATTAACCCGCCGTGTTAATCAAAGACCCTCAGACTACGGACTTTATTAAAAACTTGATATGTCACAGTCTGCATGGTCAATGTGGATCTAAACTAGTAAAGTCACAGAGGGCATTCCAAATCTCTAATAAAGTGACCTTGAATGTAAAAAGTAACCAGACAACTGTATAATAACAGTAGTACAACAGTAGGGGACCATTTGAACGTTAAGGTCTCACTCCCCGTTATACAAAATAATAATTGCTCTTGTTGCCAGCATTCAAAAGGTCAACTGAAAAAAATGTATCTAAATAAAGTGAATACAAAATATCTCATAGGAGAGCATATCTGTAAAATCAAGTAAGAGTCAATCTCTGCTACTAATGTATCTCCTACTCGTAACTAATAGATACAGAATTGGAAAATAGAAGAGAGGAAGAAAACAATTATTAAATAGTGCTAAAGTGCAGAACCATACTTAGAATGTTGGTTACCTGCACATAGTGTAAAGTGCCCAGTGTCAGAGTGTGAGTAAAAGAAAGACAGAGAACCCGACGCGCGTTTCGGTGCTTAGAGCTTGCACCTTCGCCAGGGGGAATTGATTCTAGCCCCTGACGAAAGTGCAAGCTCTAAGAATGCAGCTAAGAATGCAGCTTCAAAATCTGGTGCTTGATTACAGCTAAGTTTGGGGACCTCTTAGCAATGCTGAATAGGGCACTTAAAAATGTGAAATGTTAAAAAGGGTTGGAATAACTCTTTAAATTTCGCAGGGCCAAAGGCTTTTTAACTATTTGCCTACTGGCTGCTAGTCGGCAAAGAGTATGTTAAATTACTGTTTGCTTGCAAAAAGCAAGTGAACGATAATCTGTGAACGTACATCCTACTGGACGCATTTCGTGCCAATTTTTTTTATTTATTTTTTTATTAAATCAACTTTTTATAAATATTCCAAATCCTATATTTTGTCTAGGGTTCAAATGTGGAAAGCATGGATTTTAACCTGGACACCAAATGCAACCGATCGATTGTTACTTTAGCAAATATGAGAATTGCCATTCCGGTCAAAATTCGTCCATCCAGACAGTGAATCACTCTGACGGGGCTATTCAGTAAAGTGAGAATTCTAAGTGAATTTCAAATTTAAGGTCAGAACAGCTGAACTGGAAAAGTTCTCAGTCAGTTAATGTTTCAAGTTTGGCTGCTCTGGCCTTAAATATGAAATTAAAAGCCGTGATCTTTGGAGCGAACTGTACACTGATAAACTCATACAGAGTGATTCACTGAAGTGAGAATTCAAGGTTAATTTCAAACGTAAGGTCAAAATAGCCAAACTGGAAAAATTCTCTAAGTCAGCTTCTTTCAGTTTGATTACTCTGGTCTCAAATTTGTCACTTTGGATTCTCTCTTTACATAACTAAATAACTGTCAATGTTCCAGGTCAAAAAGTGTAATTACCTTGATGTACAGATGAGCTTGTTCACTTCACAACAGATCAAGTGAAGAAGTTTAAAAGGTTAGGAATGTGATGAATGTTAAAAGAAACCTCCAATATTAGCAGAGCTGGGGCAGTGAGAGTTATAGCAGTTCACTAGAACATGGCCTGTGGGACAAAGCTTTCATATAAATTCTAAATGATAAAGCAGCGGCATCTAATATTATTATAACAGAATACAGGAGGAAAATCCTCAATGGATATTAAGACAAACCAAGATTAGGGAGATACAAAAAAGGAACCAGACAGACCGTAAGTAGTCTGATTAATTCAGTCACAAAGATTGGCTGATATATAATGTGATGATCTATGTCCCAGGTGAGACCTGGTTCAGAGAATGCATGTTCAAAAGGAGGAAGATATGGAAGACTGGGCATGCTAAATAAAGGGACATGCGTATGGTGTCTGTGTACAGGTAGAGGCTGGCCAAAAGCTTGTTTTTGATTGCATTATTTGCATGCTTCCATCAAGGGCCATTTCAGCTACTACTGCAGATTTCATTCTATTGTGCTAATATAGCATTTGAAGAAAAAAAAAAAATAGTATCCCAAAATGTTCCTGCATCATTAAGCTGTCAGTATCGATCTTCCTATTTTAATCAAGAAATCAGTTTTTTTTTAATAAGTTTAGACTTTTTAGCACCATTTATTTTATTTTTTTTATACATTATTTTTCCCCACGATGATGCCATCTTGCATTTTAACAGATTTGCCATGGTGGATATAATTAAGGACTGTGTGCAAAAAGATAGCTGTGATATCAATATCCTTCAAAATAATTTTTTTCTGTACAACGTGATACAGCTCGATAACTGGAATTCCCTAATAAGAAATAGTGGAAAGATTTGCAAAGGCGGCAAGCAAGGTTTTCATTTCCACCAATAAAAACATGCACACACACAAAAAAAAAATTTCTTCTAGAAAGTGTTCCTTTAGGCCATAGATGTCAAACTCGCGGCTGACAACTAATATGTTTGCAGCCTGCTGGTCGTGAGGGAGTGCAGAGTTTGAGCTCTCCCAGTACAGTGCTTGCAGTGATGTTGGAGCCGGAATATGATGTCACTCCGGCTCCTGGCATCACTCTGCGGCGCACGAGGGAGCTGAGCAGGGAGACCTCAAAATCAATGCTGTCTCGCTGTCTGAATGTACACCTGGTAAGAAATCCACCCAGTTCTCCCAAAGGTAGGGAGGCTGGGTGGATTTAAATTAAAACATATATATATTTTTTTTAAGTGTTGGGGGGATGTGTGTTTGTGTGCATGGTTGTCTGTGTGTGTGTGTGTCTGTTTGTGAGTGCATGTGTGTGGTGGAGTGATTCTGTGTGTATTTCTGTCTGTCACGACAAGGGAGGGACTGGGATCTAGTAGAGGGGGTTGCTGTTTTATTTTTATTTTTAATACTGTACCTTTAAAAAAAGCTAAGTTTCTATGAAAATTAACATTTTTTATTTTTTTTTGCGGCCCACCTAAACTTAAACCTTGTTTATTTGGCCCTTGATAGCTTTTGGGTTTGACATGCTTGCTTTAGGCGGTTGCAGTAGCAATTATTAAAACAAATGGTGTGAATTTGTCAGAGGTCATTTGTTAATCATGAAGTTGATGTACCTGTTCAATCAGGTAACGCTTGAAGCAGATTTCACAATAAGAGTATTGTATCACAATGTATAACTTTTCTATTGCATTAGCAGAATTCTGGAGTTACTAGAATGCAGGAGAGCATCCCTCTATCAAGTATAATGCATTAGTTCAGCAGTGTGTGGTTTAGAAACATTTTAGGCTTGAGAACGAGGGGACTCTTCTAAAAACATGTGGTTCCAAAATCCTGTTTGCCAATGAACAAAAACATATGACTGCAAAACTCTTATTTTCCCTTCTATTATATGACTACTCATAAACCCTGACATCTTACACGTTTTATCTCTCAAGAATAAACTAACATTAAATATATTAAAAAGTTGCATATTTACTTAGGAATTATTCATACACAAAACACATTCAAGTACATGACATGAGTGTGGCATATTCATGTAAAAAACACTTACAATAAACCAGATATAAAATTCTCCATTTTAATTTTATATACAGAACCCTTTTAACTCATAGATTTTATGCTCTGCAGAATGTACAAAACTAATGTTTTTTTATATGGCAGTCCATTGGTAGTATATATAGGACAATCAATAAAATGGCCGTCCATTGGTAGTACATATAGGACAATCAATAAAATGGCCGTCCTTTGGCAGGCTTGCTCCGGAGGTGTCCTGCAGAGCGGCGGAGCTTTTTCCTCTCCTCCTTGTGCTGTTTCTCAGCTTCCTGTCTCTTTTTCTGTTGTTCGGACTGATGGAGAAAAATAAAAAATAAAACATACATTAACAAGTCGTAACTATGAACATTCAACACCAAAAGAAAAATTGTAAAGAAATCAGCAAGGAATATATTTAATGTAATATGTTCCATGTCAGTTCTCTAAGTGAAATGGCACAAAATCTAGACCGTGTATTATGTACCTTTACATAAAGGTGTAGTGTGTGTATTAGGGAAAAATAATGCCACCTCGATGTTCTGGAGACCACTCAATCTTCAATCTAGTGGATTAGATGTACCCAGAACTCCTTTACAGCAATATTTTCCTATAAAACATGGTTCAGTACTATGCATTCTCTAGAATACATTAATAACAGAAACAACGTGAAAAGAGCAATGAGAGTTAACGTAACCTGCACTGGGAAATCCAGGAATACTGTAACCAATAACCAAATCTTCGCTTGCTCACTGTGTGTGTCTGGCAATCTAATCTATAAATGTATAGGCTAAATATAGAACACATGGTATTAAAATTAACAGGAAATCCGAGCAGGGGAACACTGCATGAAGAAAGCCAACTGGTGTAATCTACACGGCCGGCTCTTGTCTTGCACTCTCATGGTGGGGCAATCTAAAATAAGACTGGAAGGGTTGCATGAGCAAATTCTCTGAATGCTTCACATAAAGGCCTCAGTGATCCGTCAGAACGATGTGTCACTGTATGAACATAATATAATCTAGATGGTTCTACTGTACTCTCCTAGTGAGGACCAAGATCTTCACATTATTATCTATAATCATAAGGGAACCTTCTCCTGGATAAATTATTGTTAAATGTAACCAGTATTGCAGTGAGATAAATTAAACATATCTCAAACTTTCCCAATCTGGAGAACATCAGAGGAACCTATATTAACAGGAAATTATTCACTAAATCAAGAATCGCAAATGTTAGGTCAAACTAGCCAAGCTAAAAAAAAAAATATATCCAAATCCACTATTTTGGTCGATAACTTGCAATTACTTTGTCTTTTCCGCACAATTACCGTTTTAGGGTTAGTAAAAGTGTTTATTTTGTAATGCTACCATAAACAAGAAAACAAAAATCACATTTGTTAAATGAAAAGTTGTCTCCATAAATTAAACTAGGATTTTTTTTAAATTTTTTTTTTTAAAGAGAAGTTGGCAGTAGACTTGATTTGCAATAATTTGTAAAGTGATGCGAAACTTCAAACATACGCACAAAGTAATATTTCACAAAGAGGAAACCGTATAACTCTGATTCAGACTTTAACAAGCGCACTTATCAAAATGCTTGTTAGTAAGAAAGCAACAAAAAAAATGAATAAAAATCAACCTCTAATGCTTATATGTATTCTGGAAACACCTTACCTTCTTCAAAGTGAATGTTAACTGTTTGCTTCCCACTGCGGTGTCTGAGACGTTCAGTGTACCAAGTTTCTCCTCCACCTTTATGCGGTCTTCAAGTGTTTTCCTGCATGACACAGCAACATCAATTAAACGCTACCATTTAGTGTTTCAATGACATGTACAGATCTCTTATATATATATAATATATTTATTTATTTATTTCCTTTTTTTTTTTTTTTTTTTAATAGAAAAAAAATGTAAATTGACAAACAGCAATATCAATTTAAGAAGCTTTCAATTTAAAACGGACGAGATAGATGAGACACAAGGTACAGGTAAAGGTGTCAATGACAATAAACCACAGGTCAGAATGGGAGAAATGTCACAATAGAACCGTTACCATCTCCCACAACACATGATTCAGGCAGTTGATTTGTGCACACATAGCATACTGACAGTGATTTGAGTCACCTCGACACTACATCTAATGGCAACCTCTGTATAAAACATTAACGGAAAGATCAAACTACATAACTCTAACGTATGTCTTCACTGACTAATATAAAAATACAGATAACTTTATAACAAACCCAGATGACGTTTCCACCTGCACCTTTGTGTTAATTCTGGTTGTTTATTTATTCGTATGATGATCAAGATAAATAAAATTTAAGCTTAGTTTGCTCCTATGATAAAATGACTATATTATATAGCCAATAAATAATCATGTATCACCCTGTCCACCCAAATAAATCCAAGTCCTTCTTGGGTGTACACCCTAATTAAAAGATCTATGTCATGCGTGCACATATTTCATTTCAAATGCAATTTTCCCTTTAATTTTCCCTTTAATGTGTGAGAATGAAATTACTTATTGCATTCCTTAAACATAAACAACTTATCACAACATTCTGAAAAATAAAACATTTCTTCCCCTGACCTTGAAACGCTATCTGTAGTAAGTAGTTGGAAAACGCAACTTTTGTTGCATGAGCTGAACAACCTTGAAAGCTTCAGATTCCAGAAAAGACTGTCCGCTATTGAAGGAGGAAGCATCGCATAAAATGATTCTCTGTATTACTAAACATTGATGAATTGATATACAATAAAAAGTATTGAATAAGCCTTACAGAGCTCTGAGATTAGCCAGTCCAAAGAGGGGTGAAAACCATATTAAAAATGAACATGGAGGGCTAGGAGAGGCGAAACAGTATGTAAACGACTTGGAAAAATAGCATATTCGCAAATGAATTCTTTAGAAGTGAGGTTAGCGGATAGTCACGTTGCAACATTTGTTATGTAACATTCTCGTTATTCTGCTAATGAGAGGCCCTTTAAGGACAGCTGAATAAACTTCACATTGATGCCGCTGAATTTTCCATTTGTTGTGACTGCTTTAAAAACATGTCAACAGAGGACACTTACTTTTTTCTTTTCGCAAAATACTTTCAAACGATAGATTTCCATTAGTGCTGTTACAAGCAAACGTACCATTTTTGAGATAGGAGTGTTTTTGGGGGGAATTTAGAAAAAGTAGGTAGTAGGTATTGCTATTTATATCTTCAAAAAGCATGCACGGGTCTGCTATAGGACCAATAAGTGTACGCATATCACTTCATGTCAATGAAGTACACAATCTTTACATTGCAGGGTTAAATTCACCTTTAGTGGCAATGTTGCAGCTCATAGGAAAGCATTGCATTTAAAATCTATGAGAAGCATTTGGATGCACGTGCAACCCTTGCGCTCACACACATCATTCTCAATCATTTGGAGGAACATTTAAATAGCCAACTGCAAGACAGTCAGATAATGCCATGGGAGGACAGGCGGGTGGTGGCACAAAGGGAATCCCAGTGATGGATAAAAGGTAAGTAAAAAAACATTTCCAGGTTTTTATTCCAAACATATCACGCATTAGGACACTATAGCACTTGGAATACAATAACTAATAATTCCCCAGCATTCCCCCTGGCAACGGGGGGTGGGGGTAAATCAGACCACTCACAGAACTTTGCCCAGGAACAGCCAACATTCATGGATATGTTTTGGTACCACCAACTAACTCAATTCATATCAACAATACAGAACAAACCTGGATCACTACCCTACACCTCATTTGAGACCTTGTGATCAGAGCCCCGCACATTGAAAAGACCACTCTTCTCTACTTCACTCAATCCTACAGGACACAGCTTGCAAATCCTTGCCCAAATACACAGAGGACTGGACACAAGAACTAGGACTCACACTCACACCATCTGACTGGCACAAAATATTCAGTATCACCCACAAAAACACACTAAACATCTCACTAGTTGAAGCCAATTATAAATTGATCAGAACATGGTACAGGACACCTACGCGACTCCACCACATATACCCATTGTCCCAGATCTGTGCTGGAGATGCAAGAGGAGTAGGGGCAAATACCAACACATCTGGTGGGAGTGTCCAGTACTGCGCACATTCTGGAGTACCATTCTGGAGGTGGCAGCTGCCTTAGCCACAACACCGAAACCACAATCCTTTCCGGACATCTTTCTACATCTATCCCCGAAGCCTCTAAAAATGTACCACAACTCGTTCAAATTTTACTTGTGGACAGCGGCCAAGGCCCCAATTACTAAATACTGGAAACAACAAATTCCACCCCCAATAGAGGAATGGTTTTCTAGAGTAGAATCCATCAGGACCATGGAAGAGATTGGATACTCCCTCTCTGGTCACGCAACAAGGTACCTGCACACATGGATTCAATAATCAAATCATTACCGAACTCAACTCACTTTGGTCAGGACAAAGACGCAATCATGAACACTGACAATGACAGCCTCGGGAGGACCCGAAGTAGGCCAGCAATGGGCATGGCACCCTTAACCGTTACAGCACCTCAACCGACTGCACCACAGGGACATATGGGAGACTACCTGATAGCTACCATGATTAAAATACATACGAAGAAGCGCACGCATCTATCCAGCCTAATATTATAGTTATATTTCACTACTGTTTGCTCTATCTGAACACACTATTGTTATGTCACTTAGTAGTTAGAAGTGTTTTCTTTGATACACATGCGGAACGCACAGACATGACGCATTATCAACGATTGCTTTACATGAACAGTATTGTACTTATGATAAACATAACTGTATCAGGCCTGATGTTTCTATGCTCCCATTTGTCACTACAATACTTTGTATTAAGCGCAACTTGAACTGTTTGCAATGTTTACAGTGAACTGCATGTCTTTAACGTACGTATGTATCTGCACATGTTGAACCGATAAAAAAAAAATAAAAAAAATAAAAATAATAATAATAATTCATTCAAATAACCAAAAAACATGTCCACGATTCCGATTTCCACTAATGCAAACTACAAAGCCAATGGCTTCAGGCAAATATATTTAGGCTCTTCCCCATAGATTACATTTTATTCTATTTTTTGAACACAGTATGCCAAAAATGTTGTGGAAGCATATTTGACGCAATGAAAAGAACTGGTAATAAACCCTTTGGGTGCATTTCTTCAACTAAGAAGATCTCAAATAATCAAATTACTAATTGACATGATTATTTTTTTGAGATGGGGCAACATTAACGCTGGTGCACAATTTGCTAGAATTTAATCTTCTGCAGTTTTGTAAAGAACATGATGGTAACAGTTGGAATATACAACATTAATACAGAAACCATTTTACCAAACCACTAAATAGTACAAAATATCTGTGATCATATGTTCACCTAACCAGCGTGCCTTTATTGGCTGCTTATCTTTGGGTCTCTTTTAAAAGTCAAAATTAATTCAAAGCCTATTAGGCGCATCTGCTCAATAAGTACATTTAGAATTTTAGCCTTTCAAACCGGCTCATGCTGGTAAAACTTGGATATCGAGTAATTTCTCTTAGAAAGCATTTTCTTCTCTCCCCCCCACCCCCACCCTTTTAAGAAATCACTTGCATCATTTCCACCATTTTGCTATTTCAAGACAATCGGTTTGGTGGGTTTTCGGTCATAATGTCCTGAGCTCTGCTCTTTCTCTCCCAATGCCTTGTACAAACTTCTCATATGTGTGCGGTTTGTTAAGCCTCATGTCTCAGTATGGCAAGAGATCAGTCACAGACTGTACAGCGATTTCTGCTTCAGTCTGAAATTCTACTTTTTTCAAAAGGATGGAGAGAATTTGGCTGCCAAACTGTTATTCTTTAGCCTGATTGCTTGTGACACTAATTTGGTTACCCCCCAAAAAAATTTAAAAATGAAGGGGAAAAAAAAGCAGGAGAGGAGGATAGTGTGGAGTGGTCTAAATGTCTGTCCATTCATTATTCCATTAAATAGTGGTGTATCAGAAAGGTTTCATACAGTGATTTTAACGAACTGTTAAACTATTCTGAAAATGTATTATTCTAAACACGAAATCTTCATCTGGTTGCAAATACTACAGTTATAACAATCAGCATAAATAAGTCTTTATGTTTAAAAATCATGATTTAAATTGAGCCTTACTAACTAGTGATTAAATGCATGATTTAAAGGGACACTACAGTGTCAGGAATCCACACATATATTCCTGACACTATAGTGTTAAAAACATACAAAGGGTTGCTGACCCCCCTCCCCAGAAATAATAATAAAATAACCACCCTACCTTATTTTCAGCTGCACGAAGGTCCGCCAGTGATGGCCTCACCACTGATCCACCTCCTTGGCTGATGTCATCAGAATTAATGATCTCAGCCAATCTCAATGCTTTCCCATTGGAAATTAAACAGTAGTTGTTCTGGTAAATAGTGTCCCTTTAAGTTGCACAATACTAATTACTCTCTTTATATCACTGATCATTAACACTGGTGTTGAGAAATACACAAATAATGACATATAACTCATGCACCACATCATAGAGCAGCCCTGAGCAGCACAACTTTATCACACCATCAGTGCAACTCTCCATCACAGCACACCACCTATCGGTGCAATGTTAAATCACAGTGCACCACCCATCAGTGCAACGCTCCATCGTAATTCACCCTCCATCAGTGCAACGCTCCATTACAGCACACCACCTGTCAGTGCAATGCTAAATCACAGTACACACCCGTCAGTGCAACGCTCCATCACAGTGCACCACCCATCAATGCAACACTCCATCACAATGCACCACCAATCAGTGCAATGCTCCATCACAGTGCACCACCCGTCAGTGCAGCGCTCCATCACAATGCACCACCAATCAGTGCAACGCTCCATCACAATGCACCACCCATCAATGCACCACCAATCAGTGCAACGCTCCATCACAACGCACCACCCATCAATGCAACGCTCCATCACAATGAACCACCAATCAGTGCAACGCTCCATCACAGTGCAACACCCATCAGTGCAACGCTCCATCACTGTACACTACCCTTCGGTGCAACACTCTATCACAGTGCACCACCCAGCAGTGCAACTCTCCATCACAGTGCACACCCATCAATGCAACGCTCCATCACAATGAACCACCAATCAGTGCAACACTCCATCACAGTGCACACACATCAGTGCGACTCTCCATCACAGTGCACACCCATCAGTGCGACTCTCCATCACAGTGCACACCCATCAGTGCGACTCTCCATCACAGTGCACACCCATCAGTGCGTCTCTCCATCACAGTGCACACCCATCAGTGCGACTCTCCATCACAGTGCGACTCTCCATCACAGTGCACACCCATCAGTGCGACTCTCCATCACAGTACACCACTCATTCAGTGCAACACTCCATCACAGCACACCACCCATCAGTGCGACTCTCCATCACAGTATACCACGCATTCAGTGCAACACTCCATCACAGTATACCACCCATTCAGTGCGATGCTCCATCACAGTGCACACCCATCAGTGCGACTCTCCATCACAATACACCACTCATTCAGTGCAACACTCCATCACAGTGCACTACCCAGCAACGCAGCTCTAAATCACAATGCATCACCCATTAGTGCAACTCTGCATCATAGTGAACCACTACATTCTCCAGCAGCGCACTATTTAATCACAGCACTCCACTCCTTCAAAGTGCTCAGCCCATAGGCAATCAATGTACAGCTCCAGTATAGTGTTATGATCACTAATGCAGTGCTCCTTCATAGGAAGACATGTAGCCTCCCAATAGAAGTAATATTTTTTTCTATTCTTGCTTATAAAAAAACTCGTCCCTTTCATGCCTAGTTGTACACAGATCATCTTTTAGGAGGGAGGTACTTTATTATCTATTTTTAAATGTATGTTTAAAAAAACAAAACCCAATTCAATAAATATAGATCATCATATAATACTTGAAAATATTTCTGCAACACTAAATGCTAATGCAGTCTGCCTGTCAGACCGTTCGCTGTACTGTTCTTTTCCCCCCTCTTAATCATTTATGAAATGCTTTTTGTCATAATGAATTCTTGTTAGCCCACTCTTGCTACAGGAATGGGTTTTAACTGCAGCGCACATCCGTCCACCTCCCCCTTCCAAATCACCCTCGCATTATTCATTACAAGTGAAGGCACAAAGGCCACAGTATGTCCGCTTCTTCTGCAACCTAATAACAAAACAAAAACAAACTCACCCACTACGTGAAGCCTTCACATGATCACTTAAAGTCATTTTATTACCTCCCAGAGATTGATAGATTCTGTAGCAAATGTACCACAAAGTCTAACACTAAGAGGACTATTGTGTCAATAATTAGTGCTTGGGTATAATTGGTTTAAAAGGTTATAGATCATTATGAACTGCAGAGAGCCCCAGGAGGATGGATTTCCCAAATAAGTGGGTTAAGATCATAAGATCAGACATTAGGTTGTTCGAAAAGGATCTGACGAAAATGGGGTACACCGGCATTGAGGCAGACTTATCCATATAAATCTATATATATATATATATATATATATATATATATATATATATATATATATATATATATATCAATCTCAAGTCAAACAACTATATACAGGTAGCGCCAAGAAAAATACTCCAAAACACAATAGTATATAATAATAAAAGCAACAAAATCAATAAGAGCAATGAAAACCCACAGGATATAAAAAGAGTCCACAATAAAATTTGAAAGAATAAAAAATACCAAATGATATGGCACAGTCTCAAAGGTAAGCCCTAAGGGGAGAAACGCATTGTGGTTTTTATGCTGTTGTTAAAATAAAGTAGTCATATATTTTTAGAACTTCTTATTATTTATTTTTATACTTTTACCTGACATCTGGACCCATTACCTAATGTGGACAACCAACCAAAGAAATCCTTGGTGGGGGATTATACCACCCAGGCTTGATACATAGAGCGGTTAGTCTGCTCACTCTATTGTAAGTATATTTTTATTTACCTTATGGAGAGCACTATTGGCTGCTTTTTTCTGTCATTCCATATGATCTACCTAATCGTTATCCAGTTGTGATTTACCATCATTCTACTGTGTCCCAAAACCAGAGGGATATCCTGAAAGTGGGGATGGTATACCACTGCATGCTGTTTTACCTAGAGCTGGTTATAGCTCTACCATATGTGAGTTAACATCTTATCTAAGTGTTGTTCATCCTACCACGTACTGTCATATTTTACCATTTGTTTTGCCTCTGTATTTGCTTCCTTTCCATATACGGCTATTAAGCGAAGCTACCAAGAAAGTCCCAGACCAGGACTAGAAGATCTATTGCCACCTTTGAGACTGCGCCGTACTATTTGGTATTTTTTATTCTTTTAAGTTTTATTGTGGACTCTTTTTATATCCTGTGGGTTTTTATTGCTCTTATATATACTATTGTGTTTGGAGTATTTTTCTTGGTGCTACCTGTATATTGTTGTTTGACTTGTTCTGGTCTTCTTGAATATTGGAGGGATTCCCCTATTATCGGGTGTGCAGCCTCCCATCCTAGTGTTCTTCGTTTGTTTAGCGCTGCTCTATAAACACAAAGTGGTGAGACCAAGCACTATAAAACCATTCACATAGTGCAAAAATAGAGAAATTACTGCTGTGCTTAAGGGATCTGGAAAGTCCTCCTTGGGCACACGATCTCGGAATTCTCAGCTTGAGCACAGACAGACATTATGTTTTATATATATTTTCACATGGCAATGCATTACAGAGAATTGTTGAAATACCACGGGAAGAAATAAATACACAAATAAATGGTTGCTAATGAAAAAAAACAAACCGAATATATTTTTTCCCATTTCCCTGTCTTTCTTATTAACCCTCGGTCAGGCGCAACCAATGTTTGTTGTTTTGTCTTGCCAAAGCGAGTGCTCGTTACCGCCCGGCCACCTCAGTAGCTTGTTGTTTTTACATTCTGCAGCGACCTATAATGAGCAGTACGCATTTGAATGTCGTGTGTGCAAGTCGCAGCACTGTGTGTCTCTTAGGCACATTGCGCCCGATTGCAGTATAACCATTATATGTCTATAATTACATTGGTAAGTCATTTTTCTAATTCAAGCATATTAATGCCATACCTGATTGTGTTTTTAATGTTTTTCAATGTTATAATGTTCCACTCAGGCACATTGCGCCCGATGATGGTATTTTTGTTATTTCTTTGTAGATACGGCAATAAAAATGGACAACTCAAAGAGAATTTTCCATTTCAATAATCCGAATGATGTCGCGGATATGATGAAAATGCTAGAGGATGAATCAGATGATGAAAATATTTTTGAAGATTCAGATGAAAGAGACGATAGCGTGACTGAAGATAACATGGAAGCATGCATTGAGAGTTCTGAATCAGAACAAAACCATGAAGAATTCAGCGATGACGACATCACAGATAACGCTTCATATTTTCTCGGAAAAGACAAGTCCAGTAAATGGTATCAAGATATTCCCAACAAGAAAAATCGTGCCGCGCCTCATAATTTGTTGAACCAGTTACCAGGTGTTATAGGCCCCGCAAAGTTATCGAAATCTTCAGTTGACTGTTGGAAATACTTATTCATTTCCTACGTTGGCACAGTAAAGAAAAACAAAAGAGAGCTGCCACCTGAATTTGTCACAACGAAATCTAGGGAAGTATTTTCAAGTAGCTTTGGATTCAATCGCGGTACTACATTAGTATCATACGTACCGAATAACAACAAAACTGTTATCCTTGTGTCCAGCTTTCATCACGATAAATCTCTTGATTCAGAAACAGTTGAGAAAAAGAAACCATCGATAATTACATTTTACAATTCCACAAAGGGAGGAGTAGACAATGTTGACAAAATGTGTGCTACATTCAGCGTTGCAAGGAATATAAAACGTTGGCCTATGAATATATTCTTCACCATGTTGAATGTTGCTGGCATAAATTTGCAGATAATTTATCTGGGAAATGATTTGAAACCAATAAAGAGAAGTCTATTTTTGAAGCAGCTTTCTCACAAACTTACGTTAGATGAACTTTAAAGACGAAGTGAAAAAACAATCGGCATTCCGCTGCATATTCAATCAAAACTGAAACGATTTCGTAATTGTGAAAATGTAGACGAAGATAAAGAGTAAACTTTGGAAACGCCTAGCAAGAGGAGAAGTGCATTACATGCACTACGGATAGCGGACAACGTCGCTTATCAAGATATGAGTGCAGCAAGTGTAAACGTGCATTATGTATGGAAAATGCTACTTTTTATTGTAATAAATGCTCCGAAATTGCTTTCGCCAATGTTGTAGAGCAAATGGAATAATAAACATGTTTTTGAGTAAAAAGTTTGTTTTTGTAAAAGTGGCCTATTACGCACAATGCGGCCGATCCTGTTCTTACTCACGTTGAGCCTGACCGAGGGTTAACAGCAATTGGGAATTGGGGGGTGGGGAATGAGTTTATGAATATATATCATTTTCCTAAAATAGCAGTTGCCTATGTTAACATTATGACCCTTTCAAGTGATCCCTCCTCTGATCTGTGTACCGGTCAGTCTGGAAATGTTTACCAATATTTTGTGTAGATTTTGTGTAGGTGGCAGGTAGTATTTCCCATACTGCAGGCTATATGTTCATTTAAAGCATTAGACAATTCTTCCACTATACATTCTGATGAAATAATTTAGCAGGCCCCCATAGCATGTATCTCGTGCATTATTTATGGGATGCATTCAAAACTAACGTGTCTACCTAAGCCTGAAAATTTTGTATCATTCATTAGCATGGCGTTAAATAAATAACACAATATATTTAAAGGTTTCATTATGTTTGGCTTTGACTTGTGGTCTCCACCGAAGTTCATCATATACCAAAGAAAAACAGGACAACCCCATCTAAAAAATGGCAAATAATGGAAAACTGAGCCAACTTCTCTGGCTAACTTAAATTTAGATCAGAATCCATTATGCCGAAGAGTAACTGCTAGGAAGCCTAATTTAAAAATCTTAATCACATGGGCAAACCCACTTGGACGACCTTCAAAACACCCTCTGCACTTATCTTGTCTCAGAGTCAACCCACAGCTTAGCTTGAATCCATCTGAGAAATGCAAGGACGGCCAGTATCACCCTCTTCACAAACACAATCTCTCATATTACGTATGTGTCTTTAGCTTACAATGACGGGTATGGACATGTTAAGGTAGACACAGACCTGCACAGAGGAATGTGACATTTTAAATGACTAATTCTGTGATGTTTGTGTCATTTGTATAGTTAACAGCCACAGATAAAAATGTTATTTCCGCTACCACTGTTTCCAGTGTGTGTTATAAGTCTTTGGGTGTATATTCTGAAATAAAATGTACTGCAATGTATCAATAGGCAGATGTCCTCTCACTAATAAATGAGCTCAGTCGTCTGCTTGTTCAGCAACCAGGCCCATAAAGCGTATCTCTTAGGTGCCTGTGTCAATCCACTATCGTGGTATACAGCAGATGTGCCCAAGAGAACGAATGTCAATCATTTAAAGAGCTCCTGTTATGCGCATATAGTACATGGTATTCCATTAAGGATAACATAGCTATGTATATACTTAGCTGCCAAATACCTAGAAACTTTTATTTTATTTTAAGATAAGAGTTTACTATTATGCTTTATGCCTACAGTTATCAAAGTTAAGGATGGCCGCTGCTGCGGGAGACTGTGGTGAAATCGCACAGTGCTGCACTTCAGGTGTACACATAGAAAATCCATGTTTGGCCAATGCAGAGCCGAGTGTCATTCTAATGATAGGGGGCAACAAGGAAAAGAACTGCAATATAAAGACACAGCGATGGCCTTTACTATAACAACATGGTGTACTTATGGACACAGCATTGTGTATATTGGAGAGGAAACACAGGATGTAAATGAAAAATCAAGACATTTGAAAGTAAGGATGAGGATGTTGAATGCAACGAAGTAATGTAATTGATGATATTTGGTGTTAGAAGCATACGGAAAAGGGCTGCCTAGGGAAAATAAAAGTATTCTCATGGCCAAGAAAAGAACTGTTCAAAATAATAGGTAAGACAGATTAACAATAGTAGGGTGTTAAAGTAATCCAAACAGGAAATGCACTCGCAGAAGAAATGTTGATACACAGCGAGTGAAAAATCAGAGCTAATGAGGATAGTGAAGGAAAGCAATGAATCTAGAGTTATCACAAAGGAAATGCTGCTGCCCCAGGATAAATATTTAATGGAGCTATCTGCGGTACACTAAGCCGAGGTAAGTAAATCTGCCTCTGCCATGTTAAGTTTTAGGTGACGATCTGCCCTCCAGAACGAGGTAGTAGTTAAACATTCTAATACTTTCTGCTGTATCTTGGGTGACAATGAAGATATTGAAAGATATACATGTTTAGATAAGAGCTGAAATCAAATACTTTAAATATATTTAAGGAAGAATCTACAGAACTAAGAAAAGGGAACAAAAAAGACTACTTACTGTGTTAGTCAAAATGTTGCTGCTATATACTAAATAAAATACTCTTGTTCATTGGAGGAATGCTGGACCACTTTTCTATATTGGATTTCTGTTACTGGTGTGACAAAACCGGGTGTCTATAGCACCCACCATCTAAACAAGAGCTCATTCATTTTATGACTTTTGGTAACACTTGAATCCAAATGTACTTTTCTTCTCTGGTTTATAATCACTCCTCCAGTAAGCTAAAGGTTTGGGGTCCCAAATGTCCTTATTCTTCATGAAACCATACATTAAATGAGTTTGAATAGAAAATATATTAATTGACAATACCCCCCCCCCAAAAAAAAAAAAAAGAATTTTCAGTGAAATAATAATTGCGTCCTTCAAACTTTGCTTTCAGCTAATCTGAAGAACTCCTCAGGATTGGCATGATGGGATTTTACGTATCACACGGTCAAGCTGCTCCCATAACAGCTCAATAGGGTTGAGATCTGCTGACTGTGCAGGTCACTCCATTAAAGTCAGAATACCAGCTCACTGCTTCTTCCCTAGATAGTTCTTACACCGTTTGGAGCTGTGCTTTGGGTCATTGTCCTGCTGTAGGAGGAAACTGGCTCCAATCAGGCGCCATCCACAAGATAAACTGGAGAGATAGCCTTCTGTCTTCAAAATCCATTTCACCCTGTATAAATCTCGCACTTTAGCACAACCAAAGTAAGCCATCACAACGATTGACAGATGGCATCAAGCACTGCTCCAGCATCTTTCCATTTGGTCTGAATCTCATAAATATGCTTTGATATTTACATTTATTTGCCCGTAACATTTTTTTTCTCCAATCTTCCTCTGTCCAGTGTCTGGTACTTGTGGCCATCCTAAAGGAACACTATCGTGTTAAAAATACAAAAATGTATTCCTAACACTATAATGTCCCTCTGTTTCCCCTACACCGGCGAACGAAGGTTAAAACGTGTGCATTAAACCTTTCCCGTAGGAAAGCACTGAAATAATGTTTTCCTATAAGGATTTTTAAGAAGCTGGACATCTAATGAGAAGCGTGAGGTCGTCCAGAGTTGTTTCACAGAGCTAAACTCTGTTTTAATCAAAGGAGCGGCTCTAGTGGCTGTCATAACCCTGCAGTGTAAACATTGCAGTTTCCCTAAAACCAAAAAAATTTACTTTAACGGGTTAAGGGGACACTGCACCCAGACCACTTCACTAAGATGAGGTTTTCTGGGTGCCTATAGTGTCCCTTTAATCTACCAGTTGAGAATCTGTGAAGCATCTATTTGTCAGACTGGACACTCTAATGTGTTTGTCCTCTTCCTCAGTTGTGTACCGGCTCTGTCATTCCTCTTTTTATTCTGGTTAGAGCCAGTTAGGGGGGTAGTGCACAGTCTCGTGTGAGATCTTTGGTTTCTTGGCACATGGAATAGCCTTCATTTCTCAGAATAAGAATAGACTGATTAATTTCAGAACAAGTTTTCAAAGAAGTTCTTTGTTTCTGTCCACCTCGAGTCTGTAATCGAACCAACAATTTCTGATGCTCTAAATACTCAACTAGTCTAATGAAGGCCAGTTTTATGAATTCTTTAATCAGAACACCGTTTTCAGCTGTGCTAACATTACTGCAAAAGGGTTAGACTGAAGTGCGTAGAGTTATACATACTGATATGTATCATTCAATCAAATACTGTTACTAAACCTCCATTATTTTTGCCTGGGTATGTTGAGCTTAAAAGCTACTGTTTAGTGAATGAGTGAGTGCGCTGGACCTTGTATGTTGTATAAATTGTTCTCAGCAGCACCCTATAATGTATGCATGTTCAGGTGAGTGCCGCCGTCTTGGTTTCATTTGTAAATATATTTGGGAAGCCAGGCCAACTCCGTGGTTTTGCAGCCCTCCCTGTGCCTCATTACAGGGACCTATTTTGCCTCGACCTGCAGAGAGTCCCAGGAGGAAGTAGTACCCAAGTGGATTCATCTCATAAGAGCAGGCATTAAGTGTCTAGAGTAGGACCTGCCAAGAATGGGGTACATTGACATTGTGGCAAGCTTATGCAATGTATGATTGTATACTGTATCCAAACCTAATTATTTTTGCCTGAGTGAGGTGTTTTTTGTATTTTTTCTAAATGATTACATTTTGTGAGCTTTGAGGTCGCCGTTTAGTAAATGTGCTGGATCTTGTGTGATAACTATAGAAGGGAATGGGTGGAGAGTGGTGCAGAGAGGATGACTAAGTACAGTGTTACAGGTAAAATATGGAATTGGGGAGAAGCAGTTCTGAAGGGTGAAAGTATTGGATTTCTTTATAGATCAGATCAATCTTTCATATGAAGATTAGTAAAAAGGTTTGATGTGTTAGAAGCTGAGGAAGGAACAAAGGAGAGAAAGAAAGATAGAAAATATACTGCATGGGTTAAATAGATTAGTGATCAGCAATAGCAATCACAGCCAAGACAGGCAGTGATATAAGGCTCAGTGATTATCAATATATAAATGCATTGCCAGAGACATTTTATGAAAAAGGCTTGCTATTCTTAAATGACAATGGGGGCCCTCTCCAAGTTTCTTATATTATAGAAATCTTTCCAAGTTGTAAGTAGGATACACATCAAGGTATCTCTGCTCTTTCACAGAGCCTTGGTTACCTATTCCTCTAGAACGCCCCTACAGAATAAAGTTGACATGAAGAACAGAAAGCCACAACTTTGGATAAGAGCTGCATGACAATGCGCATTAGATAAGCACTCACTGGGAACAAAATGCTATCAGATCTGTCTGTAGACAAACTGGCAGCTACAGAAAGCTTTTAGGAACTACTGAAAGCTATTGGAGATTGCACAAGCTAGTCTGCTCTCTCAGTGGATTTCATAAGACTTGGCACTTAGAACAGTAAATATGGAGGATTTGGTCTTTTAATAATAATAAAATAAATTTTAAACAAAAAACAATTACAGATGAGCCATGGACACGAATACATGCACTCTTGCTTTTTTTGTCCATGCTACATAGGTCGGACCTCTGTGGGAAACACTGGATTGGACCTAAGGTCATCAGGAGAGATGATCTCACTGTAGGTGGGGACTGTCCTGAACTGGATTACTGGTAAGTTTATAATAGGTGGGTGACATATATGCGCCAAGTAAGTAACACTCTAACTTTACTAATAGTAAGATTAAATACATTTCATTTTTATTTTCCTTTAACATTTAGAGATAATATAGTGTATTACGGTATTGTAGGGATTAAAGTGCAATGGGAAAAAAAGGAATAGATCTAAGGCGTAGTTATTATGTCAACTGTGCAAGGTTTGCAGAAACACTCTGCTGCGAGAGGCGCAACGGTTTTGCTTCCAAATTTATGAGCGACAGTGAGAGCAATGGGATTTGTAGCAAACAGCTGCAGGGTAGCAGTTACCTCATTAGCTTCTGTTTCTTGGCTGTGTCCTGGAAACTGCGGAACTCCTCCCCGGCTTTTATCTCATAAAACTGAGGCTTCAGGGCTGTTTGTCGGTCCTCCTTCACCTTTTCCTGCCTCCTGTCTTTTTCCTCTTGGCGTAGAAGCTTGCGCTGTTTCCTGACCTCCTCGACCCATCCCTTTTCATCGTCGGAAGATTCTGAACTCTCTGCATCACTTGGCTTTCCTTCTTGTTCTTCCTCTTCCTCCTTGGGACAGAATTAGAATCAAATGACAGATCAAGGAATAATACAGTTCCTCACACGTGCCAAGCTATTTGTAGCTCGTCAATCGCCTCCAAGACAGATGTATTTAACACATACAAAGAGGCAGATTTACTCTTTGAGAGTTAGATGCATGCTCACACACATTGTTAAAAAAAAAAAAAAAAAAACTGAATTACAACTACGCTACCAAGTTTGAAACATTTGAAGTTCAAGTCATTTTTCACAAGTTACCAAAATGTTTTTAAAATAATGGATTTTATTTTATCCTGCCCATAATGTACGTATGTACCTTGAAGTACTCAATGTGATTTGTTTAGCGTTTATTCAACGATTAAACATTCCTGACAGGGATATAATTATGCTGCCATTGCACATTCCCAGGTGAGGGATGTTTTTGACCAGGGACCACTGGGGAGCATGTCTGGCCCAATTGGGTCCTGTATGGTTCTGTTCACCATGCCAACCTTTCCTTCATTCTGTATCGCTGCTCCCTTTCCTCATCCATCTTCATGCCAGCCTTGGCTATCTTCCACACCCTTAATGTCTATACATTCTATTCTCTCCTAAGACAACCTGCTGTTGCCTCTCTGTGTTTATACTTGTCCCTCTCTCTCTCTCCTTCATGGTGATTCTCCTGTCACCATTCTTTCTTTGTATGCCAGCCCCCATATTATTCTTATTCCTTTACGAAAGTCCCCTTATAATACACCTTCGTGCCAATCCATCCACCCAGTTCCTGATCCCTTGATGACATCCCTTCCATTTACATTTCCATCCTCTCATTCCAGTGTCCAATGTCAGCCTAGATTTTTAATCAACATTCTCATCTCTCTTTTCTGCCAGTTTTAAGTCATCTCTTTCTCCAGTTTCTTGCTAGTTAAGTCCCCCATTCTATGTCATTCCCATGCTGTTCTATCCCTCCTTTATCTCAGCCAACCCCCATTATTCCAGCACTCACTTCCTCAGATATAATTTAGATCATGATTTGAGTGCAGAGCTGATACAGCATTTGAAAACCACGGTTATGCATGTTGGTAACAATAAAGTGAGTTTATAGCCTTGATGTCACAGCAGGTCCACATGTTTGGTCTTGTGAAGTAAGTTGTTTCACATAATACAACTTAAAGCTCTCCTGATTAACTCTTTACCTTTCCTATTACTGGCTCGGAAAAAAAGGCCCCATCCATGCTGGGAAACATAATATACTAAAGATACTACAAGAGAAGGAATTACAATGCCAAGCTATGTTGGCTTCCTGCAGTGTTCAGTCTGGTATAATAATATAAAACTGCATCAAAATGTGACAAGCTCTAATATTGCAAAACTAAAAAAATAAAATAAAAAAAAAACTGAAAAATGTGACTTACTTGCAGGAATACATTGAATAAATCGTGTCACAAAAATGTAATATATTTTATTGTAATAAAAGTTTACCTTTAGGCAAGTATGTGGTTTTTAAATGCATATATGTGTAGGGAATATGACATGTTTGCCACAGGAAAGATAAGTCAATGTGTACATACATACACATTACAAACAAACAAGCTCAACTAATTAAAGCTTTTACTTGAAAAATAATTACATTTTAATGACAGTGTTCCTTTAATTTAAAAAAAATGCAGCCCGGATTTATTAAGCGAAAGGTATTTTATGAATACATTTTAGTGCCACATACCCACAGTATATACACTCTGACCCACTTTGACTAGTAAGGTGTGAATGGTTTCTTAAAACATCAATACAGCACCTCCTACATGTTAAAGAATATGTTAGGAGAGCCAATAAATTATTCTCTGTGTCAATGTACCCCAAGTAAGTCCTGTTACTAGCGAGATAAAGGCAAGAATTTACCCGTGACTTTAGCATTTCAAATGAAAGAAAATAGGAAGAAGTAAGTACCTGGTCCTCGGATTGCAGTGACTCCATTACTTTTAGTTTCTTCTTCCGTTTCTCACTGATTTTAGAAACCAGTGGGTTCAGCAGCCGGTACTCCTCACTCTGCTCATCCACTTGGAAGTCAGGGTTCTCAAACATGGATTTAAACCGGTCATCACTGAGGATGTTGGGCATTTTCTGTGTAAATAAGAATAAATTAGAATGCGATTATTACCATCTGATCTGCTACAGGAGTGTACAGAATGAAAGAGATAGAAAACCCAGTTCGGTACAGTAACAGATTTAAAAAAAAAAAATTTAAAAAAAAAAAAAGGATTCTAAAACATGTGGTGGATCTGGTAAGTAACCTTTTCAGACACATATTCAAACGTCTGATCTACACAAATATATATATTTAGTAAAGGTGCCATTTGAGGGATAGTTTATTTAACACATCAAGAATAATGTGAATATTGAAGCAAGTAATCAGGTCAGGGTATTCCAGGTAGGATGTTAAAAGTAACATTGCCATAAAATTAGATATTTAGGAGTCTGGCTGACCAACCGAAGTGAGGACATGTTCAGGGAAAATTTCACAGACACACTCCAGACGTTCCAAAAAGACATGCGAGAATGGTCGTACCCCCACATTTCATGGCTAGGGAGAGTCCAAGTAATAAAAATGAACTTCCTCCCACGCCTCCTATACCTCCTCCAAGCCATCCCCATTGAGATCCCGGGCCCCTTTTTCAGTACCCTTAGAACAGAAATGACCAGATACGTATGGAATGGACGGAAACCTAGAGTGAAATTCTCTACCCTGACACGACCTAAGGATAAAGGAGGGTTAGCCCTCCCAGACCTCCACCTATATTATGTGGCCACACACCTCCAGAGAATTGTGGAGTGGTCAAAAGACGGCGTGCACAAACTCTGGAAGACGGTAGAAGAGGCGGAAGCAGGCAGACCACTCTCGGGACTACCCTGGGGACGTGAACCGACAAAATGGGGCGAAATGTCCATATACACAAAACACACCATGAAAGTATGGAGGAAGATAGCGAGGAAGGGGACCATGTCACCATACCCCTCCCCCCTTCTTCCACTGACGCACAACGTCGACTTCCCCCCGGGACTAGACCCAAGAGCCTTTAGAGACATCCTCCCAGACCCACACCCACGCCTACACCACGTCCTGCAGGGAGAGAAATGTAAAAAACTGACAGACATGACGACAGCGACGCACCCGACTTTCATGCAGCACTTCAGATACACCCAGCTAACCAACTTCGTCCACACCTTACCACAGGGCTCAGCGCTCACTAGACAACATACCACACTGGAAGTGGTCTGTATGCACCCAGACCCGCTCCCACATGGAGTATCTTTCCTTTACACCATGCTACAAACGGACATCCCGACCGAGACACCCCTATTTATGAGGAAATGGGAGGATGCCCTCGGATACACGCTGACAAATAAGGAATGGGAGTCCATATGTTACCTCACACACCACTGCTCTACGCACAGCAAAACACAAGAGACAGCCTACAAACTTCTGACACAATGGTACAGGACACCTCACTTCCTACACCAGATAGACCCAGACCAACCAGGCCTATGCTGGCGATGCCAACAAGAGGAGGGCAGTATCACACACATATGGTGGGAATGCGCAAAGATCAAACCATACTGGCAAAACATCCACAAAATGCTAGAGAAATTCACAGACAAACCACCCCCCCTGGAACTGGCAGCAATGCTCCTACACCACACTTCTACCCCTCACTCCAAATACAAAAAATCTATGACTATTCGAATACTCAACGTAGCCAAACGAGTGCTCCCCCAATTCTGGAAACAGGCCATAACACCTCCACTTAAGATCTGGTTTAGCCAAATGGAGGAACTGAGGACAATAGAGGAACTGACCCTGACGACTAACACTTCCCCGACAGCCTACATGGACATATGGACACATTGGATCCTAGAGACGGCGAAAGAAGGATTCCAAAGGGAACTAGAATCGGCAACTGCCACACCACAGACAGGAAGGACTTAGGGAACACACACCTGACGACAGGCGACGACTGACTACCCTCACACCCCTTCCTACCCCAACCCTAACTTTCCCTTCCCCCCTCCAGAGGAAAGCCAAGAGATAATAAACCCAATCCAGGTAGATACACAAGTCAATGAGAGGGCACACATGAGAATTGAATGTCAAACTCACAGGGAGTCGGGTCACCCCGACCAGTAAGTCGGACGAAAGGCCGACGAGCCTCTGTACAACCCGCACACAAATTACAACTGCAATAAATGTAATGAACTGTAATAGAGAAATGCTCGTAAAATAAGTTAAAAGGGACTTGCAAGTCCGTCAACGTTGTGGGCCTGCGAGCCCGACTAAAAGTTACTGTTTTTGATATATTCCAAATGCCTTCATATCCTTTGATAACTCACCTTGGAGACCTGCGAGTCTTCGAATCTTGACTAACCAATACAAATAAAAATTATATTCACAAAAAAAAAAGTAACATTGCACCTAGAAGGCCTCTCGATTCCCTGTATTTGGTTATGATGATATCCATTCTGCATTGTGCCGGGCAAGCTTCAGAATTCTGTGAATATATACTGTAACGGCAGCAGATATAGCTCGGCAGCATGGAGTGTGCAATGCATCATTTAATAGAGGATCAATGTCCAACATTTCTGGATATTAATATTGGATAAACTGTGAATTAAGCAACAGCATTTTTCCAGTTTATATATTACTTTACAAGCAATGGCCACTGTAGACCCACTGAACGTTAATAATGTAAATTATTAGTTTGTTAACAACTGGCCATTAGCCACGAGCATTGCAAAATCCAGTGAAAAATCATGGTTTACTGTAATCTGGACCATTTCCATGTCTCTACGTCGAATACATTCTGATAGCAATTGCAAAATCATTGTATCGAAATAAAAAAAAAAAAAAAAGACAACTTTCCTTCCCGAAAGCTCACATTACTTGTATGGCCTAGTGTTGACAGAAGTTTATCTCATCGTACTGCATTGTTCCAGTCATATCATTCGCAGGATATGCCATTCTCTGTTCTTGTAAATCTAAGCAAGTAATACCACTAATCGTGTGTTGGCTGCATCCCCCCAGGGCAGGGAATGAGGAGTGTCCAACCGATATATCTGTGTTTTTACACAGCTAGCAACCTATTATTGTGTAATTACAGAAATGGAAGAAAGTGGGATAAACATTTCTGTAACTTTGAGGATACATTAAATGGAAATATGCTGTGCATTCAACACATTCTCCACATGGAGCTCATTATTAAATAAAGTCCAAAGCAGTAAATTCTATACTTGTAAGTAAATGGCAGCAATAGCGTTTCAATATCAGAAACACGGCCAATGAGATGGCATGAACGTGTATGTGATCCTCAAATCCACCATTTGGCCAAAACGTTGGCCATCAGCTATGCAAAGCAGTGACAACTAACCTAACACGAGTGCTGCCCGAGCATCATGGGAAATGTAGCTCAAACACACACCACCACCACTGACAATGCCAGCTATCACCGGATCAACCCTCCCCCCCCCACCCCCCAATCGTGAGCTGGAACTGCACAAGGTGAGAGCAGAGTGCCATATTCTGAGCAACACCAATGAGAGCACACTCACTTTCTGTTTCTTCTTCTTCTGCATAGCTTGTGTTTCGTCCTCTTCCTCATACAGTTTGAGTGCCAGCTCCTTGTTCACCTTAGGCAGTTTCTAGTTGTGGGTAGACAAGAAAGGGTTAATGAGGATTGAACATAATGTAACGGATCAGCTTTAGGGTTAAGTAAAATGCACTTGGATATTGTACATAACCTTCACTGCGAAGTAATTTGCAAACAAATAGTCAGGGCTTTTTGTGCTCTGGAAACGTACGCCATTAAGGTCGGGTGAACCAAAACAAAACCTTGGATTTAAACAATCGATAATGTAAGGGGTGTATGTGTTTTTATATATATATATATATATATATATATATATAAATTATTTTTTTTTAAGAACAGAAAGGGCCTTTATTTAACATCCTAACAACACTGTGTGAATAAAATGTGAAAAATATTTTTTTCTCACATTTTTCTTATAATTTTCACACATCCAATGCAACTAAAAAGAACTGAAACTAAATTAATTTTATTCCTGAATGTTAAATGCACACAAACACTATACTAATCCTATACCAACGATACAACAGTTACACTAACTCAACCACGTGTCAACCCTAATCTTACTCTTAACTTCAACCCTTAACTAACTTTAACCCTAAAACATTTCTGTAACTTTGAGGATACATTAAATCGAAATATGCTGTGCATTCAACACATTCTCCCCACGCAGCTCACTATTAAATAAAGTCCAAAGCAGTAAATTCTATACTTGTAAGTATAGAAGCATTAACCAACACCCAGCATTAACCCTTACCTTACCCTAACTCTACCCCAACACTAAGTGTAACCCTATCCTACTCTTGCACCCAAATCTAACCCTATTCTAACCCCACCACTAGCCAACTGCTAATATTAGTTCTGATATTAGAAATGGGTTATACCATTTAACACAGTAGATGGTGTTAAACTGGCTGGTTTCAGAATTACACAGTGTAATTCTAAATGAGCCTGGTTCCCAATCCATGTACAGAGATTGGTGCTGGGCAACTGGCAAAGCCCAGCACTGGTCCCAATTGGCCGGGGAAAGGCTAACAGGAACCCCAGGTGTCCATGGTTACCTGGGGTTAGTGGAGTCATCAGGAATTTAACCATCACAGTGATCAAGCTTTGAATGCCTATTTAAAGAACCGTTTGCAGCACTGGCTTCAAGCACTTCAAAAAGTTCATCTAAAAGTGTGGGGCCCCGACTGATGGGAACCCTAAGTACCCACTGATACCTAGGGTTCTTTGGTGTAAGCTTTAGAATGCCCTAATGTTGTTAGGTGTTTGTTTTTCTCATCCGTATGACTGTATATTATTTGAAGACAAAACGTCAAACTCTGTGTTGATCCTTGTTTAAACTGGAATCTAACCCATGAGATTAACAAACATCAATCTATTTATACTAGAGTTGTCATCAGATTTGAACAATCAAGGATTCAATGCGTTTCATATTAAAATGACTTGTTTCAATGTTGCAAAGTGCTACAGGTTACACCTCAAACCACATGGGCTGTTTGTGAATACTCCCTTAATGACCATTATTGGGTGTATTTTATTGTGTGTTTAATTATATAACTTTACCTTAATATGGACTCTCTGGGCTCGAGTTTCTTCAATTTTCTGCCTTATCTTCTCCCGTTTATATTCCTCATAAGCAAATGGATTGACCATGGCTTTCACCTTTTAGGGCACAACACATCAAAGCAAAGAATGACTTAGTATTGTTACACAAACGGAGAATACGTTTCACGTACACAAGGGAAGCAAAATGATATACATACATCTAAACGGGTATATATTCTGCATAAAGAAACAAAAACAATATTTAAAGCCATGACATGATATACACACACGAGCGAGATGGAGAGATACATATTCGATAAAATAGGATAACAATAACAGACTGTCACTTTTACATAATAATGTCAAACCTACATAATGGAAAGGAGCGCACACAGGGGCAGTGGGAGAAATAATCTTTGTCAGATGGAAAGAAGTAGTTACATCATAGAAGAGTTAAGGAAAAGAGTTTCCACTTTTTCTCAGAAAATTACTGGAAGGAAGCACCCACAAACTCTTTCCATATGAATCTTAAAAGGAAATAACAGCCAAAATAATGAATGGGTTTAGTCTTTCCTGGCACTCTCCTTTTGATGTGCACAGGTGCAAATGCCAGCTATGCTGGAGTACAATAAATAAAGTTTTTTATAGCAGGCCTGACATCAAGAAATGTGCGGATTGCAAGGTAACTTCAGGTGAGTTCTAAAATATCCCCCCCCCCCGAGAAATCCCAGAAGGCTAAGGGATATTCGCTACTGCTATTCTCTTAATTTATGCCATTAGTACAGGGATACCCCTTAAATTTACACGATGAAGACTACATTTTAAGCACATGCTGCAAATAATTTAGCTAGCACAATAAACGGTTATATATTGTATAAAGTGCCACCAAGTCACATTCGCTAGCTACATGCATATCCACTACACATAAGACAAAATGCTACAGCGCTTTTTTTTTTTTCTAACAAACGGCGCCAAGATGTCCAACAATGAAAAGGCAATCTATTGATGCAGGTGTGTGTGCAGGAAGCACATGTTGGTAACACATTTTTTTTTTTTTGTCATGAATCAATGTAAAGGTGTAGTAAAGTCCAAAAATATAAACTGTACAAATCACTTTCTATTAAGGCAGTGTCAAAATAAAAATAATCTTAACCCTTTTTAAAGGATTCTGTGCTTCCATCATACAAGAGGTGATAAAATTTTATCACAGCAGAAAAGTGCATGTTAGACGGCAATTTTTTCCTAAAGTGCATTAGAGAAGCTCACCCCTTCTAACGTAAACTGCTTAAGCAATGCTGGTTTCCAGATCATTGATTTATCATTGAATGTCATTGTTCTCCCTATGTTACGAAGTTTAATGATTATAGAAGTACTGCATTAGGAACTTAATGGCGATAACATTCCATGAAATAGATTCTTAGATAACCACTGGTTTCGCCCTTGTACTATTTCTGTCAGGTAATTCGAGCATTTATCATCTGACAAGGAGAGAACACCGATTTAAAGAAAAGGCTTTTTTTTTTTTTGATGTTCCAAAACAGCGTCCACAAGCTTAATTATAACAATTATTGGTGGTAGTGTGGCATTTCAAGTAACAGCACATTTTTTTTTTTAACGGAAGAAAAATCAGTCGTGCATTAAAGGACCACTCTAGCACCCAGACCACTTCAGCTTAATGAAGTGGTCTGGGTGCCTGGTCCAGCTAGGGTTAACCCATTTTTTTTATAAACATAGCAGTTTCAGAGAAACTGCTATGTTTATAAATAGGTTAATCCATCCTCTAAAGCCTCTAGTGGCTGTCTCATTGACAGCCGCTAGAGGCGTTTGTGTGCTTCTCACTGTGAAAATCACAGCGAGAAGATGCCAGCGTCTTGATCCTCCGCTTGGGAGTGGGGTGCCACAGCTCTGCCCGTCGATTGCGTTATGGGAGCGGGTGTAGTCGGTTGCCGACTCCGTGCCTCCACTCTCCTCCAAAACTGCCGGCAGATGTTGTCGAAGGCCATCAGGAACGGAGTCTCCCAGTCCGGGGCAGGTACCCCTTCACCATGCTGAGTAGCTGGGTTGTCTGCTGCCATCTTGGACCGCGTGGGTGCTGCTTCCACCAAGCGATTTTGTGCGGTGAGTTTATGTTTATGTTTGACTCCATGTGGAGCGGGATAACCCCCACCGGTCCGAGGGGGGGAACGGGTGCCCTTTCCAAGAGTCTTCGTTGATTGCAGCGGCGGGAGAGCGGCCGTCTACCCCGTGCTTGCCAGGCTTGTAGGCCGCGTGGTCGGGGCCGACAAGAAGTTTGTCGTGTTTGGCATGAGTGGGTAGCTCATTTTTTTTTTTTGCCTTTACCAAATTAGAGATTGATCCAAGAGGGAATTGCAATACTTTGAAATTCCAAGTAAAAACACCAAATAACAGAAACAAAGGGAAAATAGAGAGTTGAAATAATAATTACATAGACATCTATATAACAACTGTTAAGGCTACTTACCTTGTGGTATAACCGTATATCAATGAAATATCCATGCATGTACGCCCTAAGCAACTGGGAACCAATCAGGTGACCAAGTCCTGTGAGAAGAATAAAACAGAAAGCAGGACATATAAAGGACGGATTTACTGCATGAACATACTAAGTGACCGAGTAAAGAAAGCAATACAAATGAGCAGCACGAGGTGTAGGTGGGTAGCTATCATGCTAAGTGAGCGTGTGTTCTCATTGAGCAGCACTGTTACAGTATATATCCTATTCTCATGGTATAGTGCCAAAGGCGAGAATCTGCAATATGGGGGGAATTAAACCCCTGTTTACTGCTCAGACAGGGAGGCCGGGACATAAATAGTGGGTTTAACAATTAACACTATAGTGTCAGGAATACAGGTTTGTTCGTTAAGGTAAGAAATAATAATGCAACCGGACAAGAGACTCACCAAGATCTTCTAATTCATTTTTGGTAACAAACTTATAATCATCATATACTGTGCTTTCTGGATTTTCTTCCAGTTCTTCAGTTAAGTTATCCAAGAATGAACACCACTTGGGTGCAGGTCCCAAAGCCTTAAAAAATAAAAACATTTTTTTGCTTAATCAGAGACAACATTTAAACCTCCAGATATGCGTAATATTTTGCTGTGACCAAGAAGAATTCCAGAGGCGGTTTCCTTTTCGTTGATACAGGAGCAGGCTTACCAGTTCTTAGATATCATATAATAAAGTTAAATAGAACCCTACAACTACAAGATTCTGTCTATAATGAATAAACCTTGGATATAAAGTTAAAACATTGTATTACACCACCAAAACTTAGGGATAGCTATTTTAAGTGCTTATATTGGATCAATAATATTGCAATTTGTCAAGCATGGATCTAAAATGCTATCACATGAGAAGACATATTTGCAGCTTGCATACAAGTCCTGCAATGTGCTCAGAACCGCTCGTGTACTTTTATCTGCATGGGCTTTTGCTACAGTGAAAGGGGAGATAAACATTTACAATGAACGGCTTAGAAACACACTAGAAAATGTAGGCAGTGTACACACTGGGTTGGAAGGAAAGCAACAAAAAGTATAATAAACCCAGAAGACACTGTGACCTACTTCTTAGATATTATACACCGTATCTAAAGCTGCTGATCAGAGTTCCAATCAGAAAGTTGCTGTCTGAAATGTAACTGTGTAGTTGCCTTGACAGCTAAGGCAGGCATGACTTTCCGTGAAACTAGATTCAGACATCACAGGCTTCCTTCACGTCTCAAACAGACCCAGAGTGGGTGTAATAATATACATCGTGTTGAAAAAAGAAAACAATACTATATGATAAAATACCCATGGTAAACATAAGCTAACTGCACCTGTAAAGGAAAGCTGAATTACTGAGGGAAAGTTATCGCATCTTATTATTTAAGAATAAAAAAGCAGCTTTAACCCCTTAAGGACAGAACTTCTGAAATAAAAAGGGAATCATGACGGAATATGTCCGTCATGTGTCCCTAAGTGTCTGCAATTAAAAACAAGAACATACGAACTCATTACAGACACCCTCTTGCTCTCTCTTAGCTCTTTCAGGTCAACGTGCAATAGATACACACAGTCCCGACCACACTACCACTTGTCTCATTGCAGCTCCTCACGCACATCAATGTATATACATAGCAGCTATAACATCCATGAAACAAAATGCATATTGATGTACAGGTAGGTAAGCAGACACATCAGCCCTAGCTATGTTACACGTCACCTGCCAAAAAACAGAATTTTCATACACACCGTGTCACACAGCTAGCAATTTTGGGATACATTTGTCCAATAAAGGTGGTTAAAAGAAGACTTGACCTCTTTTCATATTGGTTTTGATAAAGAGGATTTTTTTTATATATAAATAAGTATCTTTCTATATATAAACTCCTTACCTCCTGACTATCTAAAAGGAAACCACATGGATTTCCTGTCACCAGGGTTTATTTTATATTTTTTTGTTATTTGCATTACTTTAGGATGCACATGTTTCCAGTCTCATAAAACAAAAAAGCTGTTAATGTTTTTACATGCTTTCCTCTGTTTTTACATGCTTTCCTCTGGGCCCTCATTATCATTCACAGCTTAGCACGTCCAGTGGTCATAAAAAGGATGGCATTTGGAGTTGGCGACACATCTTGGCATTAACAGGTGATTGACAGCTTCCTTCATCTCACACGTCTGACTGCCAGAGTGAGTCCAACTCACACTTCCCTAAACTTTTTTCAGATTTTTCAGTTATGATAGATTGTAACAGGATCGGTGTCTAATTTTAATTTAGTCTCATGTCCAAATGAAAAAAATGCAAGTTTAAACATTGCTCGTCACAATGTCGAACCCAGGGGAATCCCATACTTTCAAGCCTAAAGCAGGTGTAAATCTATTCAGCTCACACTGTGTCCTAGATATTATTCACTCATCAGGTTTCTAAGAAGTCATATGATATGGTGTAATATCGCTAATATTGCTAGTGGGTTTTTGTCTAGGTTTTTGGGCTTTCATGAGATGAAGTGGCAGCATGCGACAATGGGTTTGATATTGTGTTAGTACAAAGGTGAGTTAAAGGATATTATTTAAAAAATAAAGCACTATTAAGTAGATATCCCCCCAATGAAAACATACATGCATATAATTATACATTTTTTCATTGGGTTATATCTACAAATCACTTGTAAAAGCTTTCAGTGTCTGTCCAATCACAGCCTTCCCAATGCAGCTCAATGAGAAGTCTTTCCAAGGCAGGTGCTCTGGGCAATCACTGCCTCTTATATTTAGTTCCACTGAGCTAATCAAACCAGGAAGTAACAGGACCAGTTGTCTGATTGACAGCCAAGGGGTAATTACAATATGATTTTCTAAAAGTGACAATTTATATTGAAATCTGCACTTTTTGTAAAATGAAAAAAAAAAAGGACACACTCTTCACACATAAAGCACTTCAGCAAATTAAACTGCTTTAGGCATCTGAAGTGTCCCTTTAAGTTGCCCTGTCAATCTCGATTTCTTCCACACAATCAGCATTGCAGTTGTTTACAATTCAAACAACTGGCTGTCTCTCATATTGGATCAGTTTACCAGCTTAACCCACAGTTGTAAGGAAGAAAGCATATTCCTTACCATGCATTTACAATTCTTTAACCCCTTAAGGACCAAACTTCTGGAGTAAAAGGGAATCATGACATGTCACACATGTCATGTGTCCTTAAGGGGTTAAAAGAGAATTGAAGACAGGAAACGAGAGAAACCGCAAATGTGGAAAAAGTAGCACAAGAGTTTCTGATGTGTTCATAACATCACATACACTCATCAGCCACAACATTAAATCCACCTGCCTAATATTGTGTAGGCCCCCCTCATGCTGCCATAACATCAAGGCATGGACTCCCCAGGACATCTGAACATGTCCAGTGATATCTGGCACCAAGACATTAGCAGCAGATCCTTTAAGTCCCACAAGTTGCAAAGTGAGGCCTCATTGAATCGGATTTGTTGTTCCTGCACATCGGATTGAGATCCAGGGAAATTTGGAGGCAACACCGTAAATGGTTTGTCATTTTCCTCAAACCATTCCTGAACAATTTTTGCAGTGTGCATTATCCTGCTCAATGGGGCCACTGCCATCAAGGAACACCATTGCCATGAAGGGATGTACATGGCCTGCAACAATCTCTACGTAGCTGGTACGTGTTAAAGTAACATCCACATGAATGCCAGGACCCAAGGTTTCCAAGCAAAACATTGCCCGGAGCATAACACTGCCTCCGCCAGTCTGCCTTCTTCCCTTTATGCACCCTGATGCCATCTCTTCCTCTGGTAAACAACGCATAAGCACGTGGCCATCCACCTGATCTAAAAGAAAATGTGATTTCTAAGACAACGCAACCTTCTTCCATTGTCCCATGGTCAAATTCTGACGTCAGATGCCCACTGTAGGCGCTTTCGGCAGCAGACAAGGGTCATCGTTGGCACTGACCGGTCGACAGCTACACAGCAAACTATGATGCACTGTGTGTTCTGACACCTTTCTATCATTGCCAGTACAATTTTCAGCTCTTCTGTGTGATAGGAACAGCCTTTGCTCACCTCGTGCCTCAATGAGCCTTGGGCGCCCACGACCCTTACATTAAATTCACCAGTTGTCCTTCTTTGCACCACTTTTGATAGGTACTAACCTCTGCATACTGCCAGTTTGGAGATCCTCTGACCCAGCCATCACTATTTGGTCCTTGTCAAAGTCACTCAGATCTTTTTGCTTGCCCATGTTTCTTGCTTCCAACACTTGAAATTCATGAACTGACTGATCACTTAATGCCTAATATATTCCCAATGTTATTCATTTTACCTGCCAGTGGTTATAATGTTGTGGCTATTTAGTGTATTACATATAATTAATCACATATGACCAGGGTTATTTAGTAAACTGAGAATTCAAAGTGATTTCATTTCAAATTTAGAGTAGCCAAAACTGAAAGCATCGCAGACTTCTGAAGATTAATCATTCAGAAATCTTGGCAAACAAAGGCCATAATTACAAGAAAAGGAAAAAAGGGTTGGTTTCCGATAATTGGTGAAATGACTTTGGAATTACTTAAAATACAGTATTTCGGTATTTACTTATGCCCACACACGATTATCTAGAAACCTGCTATCTTTCATTCTACATATTACAGTAACAAGGATCTAAGATACAAAACAAAGAGCACAAGGTAAACACATTATAGAAAATACCATAAATAGATGGGTAGATTTACCGTCAGGAGAGACGTTATTGTTTGTTTTGGTGCAACTATTCAAAAGAAACCCTTAGTCAATAGACATTATATGTATAATAAGTGCAATAGGACTGCTAAAAATCACTATGGAATTCAAACAATTCACGAGGCATAAAATAAATCATTTCTAGCCAAACCTTAAAATATCTCAGCACGCAACACCTGACTACAGAATATCAATAGAAGCTGCAGGCTGCGCACAGACATGGTAAATATTTTTCCTAGCCATCATAGACTTGTAGAACTACGGGTAGGTAGGTATGTAGGTGGGTCTCTCTGCTGTGTGTTATCGTTCAATGGTCTTGCATAACTGTAGTGACCTTGAAAGGGTCTGATATTCACGGAGGTGGTGATGCTAGGAGTATTTTTTTGTGTGTGTGTGTGTTAGGAGTATTTTTTTTGAGGGTTTATTGTTTATTTTTTTTCCCCGTGTTAAAGGATTTTACAGTGGTTTGATTAAAAATGGGGGTTCACGAGATGCCTGGAAAAAGCTTGTATTGCTCAGGTAGATTTTACACTTTTCTATTGGCAATATTAACTTCATCCACAGTTGGACAGCAATTAGAGGCTTAGAGCATGGATGAAACTGACAATATTAATGCAGACACATTCATTCCACATTAGCCATGCGGCAACTCGGGTACGGGGGCTTCTTCCCATAGGGTGAGGGGCACAGGGCTTATTCTGTGTTTCTTTAAGAAACACCATACAGTATGCCAAGAGGTAATAAAATTGAGTCAAGATAAATTTTACTTTTTATTTTTCTTATTTGCTACATTGTTATCTTGAAAGCTCCACTAACCTAATGAACAGATTTAAAAAAAAAAAAAAAAGGCAAATAAGTAACTTCAGAGTGGGAAGACAACAATGTGAAATTGCAGCAAGAACATGATTTTGGCAAGGTTTAGCACAGCTGTCCTGGTAAAAACAGCTACCAGCAAATACTTTGCAAGCGGCTGTGTGCCATGGACCAAATCCCACGGGAAAGCCACTGTTTGCAAATACAACATATATAGTATTTTTCCATATTATTTACAATCACATGCCACTATAATGAAACAATAAAAATGAATTACTCCAAAGCAGCTGCTTAATTCTAGGTAACAACATTCCAAATTCTGATTTTCCCCTGACGCTAGTTACCGTAGCTGATGACGTTAAAAGGCTTAAATAAAGGGAAAACAGGCCTCAACACACATGCCCTTTCATGTCAAGGCTGTAATTATATCAGTATAAAGTCACTGATCATTAATGGGGCATCCTGTTGAGACTGTTCGACACACACCCAAAAAGCCATGCATGGTTACAGTTTAAATGTCTGTATATTTCCCTAAATTTCCCAACACTTCCTATGTCTGGTTCGCCGTCACAGCCAGATTCCGAGGGACACTGCAGGTGTTCCACATGGTTTTAGCAGGAGGATGTGCTTATTGCTGTGAAAACAATAAAGTGCCTAACATCTTTGGTGTGAAGAGCTAGATTTTATAGACCAACATGCTGGGGTGGGGAAGCTGGGGCCCAAACGCTATACAGAGGAAAAACCAGACACATGCCAATGTGAGATTTAATACCAGTAATGGGCTGCAAAGCTTCCATCACAGGTTTTAATCGTGGAAACAAACTACATTTAGTGTGCAGTCTAGTTTAACACGGGATCCCTGAAAACAATGTGTGCACTGTTTGATGGTGTGCAGCACAAAGCATCACCAGTAAGGAACACACAAAGGAGTATACAATTAATTAAATACCATTGTTGCTGATTGCAATGTCAAAATAGACAAATGGCATTTAAATACTAATGTGCAACCCACATATTTGGCATTGCCCGGTTCGAAAACCCGGATCAGTCACATGTTGTACAGCTAATGTGACCCCATAATAAACCAAATTATACAAAGAATGTATGGTAGCACACGTAGTAAGAGGAATCCGAACTGGTCATCCAGCATTCTCAGTTTGTAAGAAAACTAAATGACAAAACTTTTGTTAATTCCTTATTAGCCAAGGACCTTTAAATGAATGGCTTTGGCAAATCACTTGCCACAACGGGGTTAAACAATCTTTGGACAAGAGACAATTGCGGGGGAAAAGCACAAACAAAAGTAAAATAATAAACATGAAAATAACTATTTTAAGTCCCACTGCCCTCCATCTTCTCTCCCAGATATAATTTGCGTAATTAAGTTTTCACCAGCAGTTGGCACATCCTTTGGGTTCTAAATCAGGTTCGTCATTATTATATGTAACTGTGGATTCTGGAGGAAAAACACCCACTCTTCTTTTAAATACATTGCAGCATGCATGTCCATACATACTGTGATGATACATATTAAGTGTGTGATGTTTGAATAAAGAAACTGTGGTGAGGTTGGTCACTCAGCTAAACATTTTATTTGGGATTGCAAACTCAACACCTTAGGTTTGAATAAACTTTTTTCAATGTTTCAGTAGGTTTCGTGACACAGCATGTCAAAGCTGCTAGTTATACTCTAATATGTCCTGCGTACACACTTAAAGGGACACTGTAGGAACCCAGACCACTTCAGTTAATTCAACTGAAGTGTCCCTATTGCACTGAGTGCTGCAATGTAAATCATTGTAGTTTTAGACAAACTGCAATGTTTACATTGCAGCACTGAGACAGCCTCTAGGTCTTGAGGCGCTTCTGGAATGTCCGCTGACACTGGATGTCCCCACACTCTGCATGAGGACATCCAGTGTCAGCTATTTCCCCGTAGAAAAGGCATGCTTTCCTATGGGGTGGGCCCAATGCCCGAGCGGCATCAGAGGACACTGAGCCACGACCCAGCACCGAAGGACATTGGCAGGCGGGGTTAAAGGAGTTTTAACAATTTATTCACTGGAGCGGGAGGGGAGGGGTACTTACTGGGAGCTATAGTGCCACGAATACAGCTTTGCATTCCTGCCACTATAGTATCCATTTAATAAAATTCTTTTTTTTTTTTTTATTTAGCTTTTTCTACATTTTGTGTGTCTGTAGGAAAACAAGTCAGATCCTCTATAATTTCAGTGACTAAACTGTACACTAGCCATGCCAATGGTAGATTGTAAACAATAATAAAAAAATGAAATACAGATTATTATATCAAACAAATCGGAGGCTACAACCCACCAAGAACTTTCCCAAGCACACAATGAAATCACAGGTACTTACCGGGATATAATATACATTCATTTTAGGGGCCTCGTTTGCAGTAAATAACATTCCTGACGATACACAATAACACAGATCATAGTTAGAACAGACAGCTTACCAGTAATTTCACATCATACATAAAAATATATAAGGAATGTTTTTAAAGAAATTCATATTACAATGATCATCAAAAAAAAAAAAAGAAACCAATACTCTAAATTATTCATCTTCCATGTTTAAGACTCCTTCGACTTATCAAACTCTACACTAACGTGTTAATCAAGCTTTGACCCATGACCAACCAACACCTTTCCCCTCTGTCAGGTTCTATCCTACTCTAACCGAATATGTTCTAAATCAGCTGATCCTCTACATCCCAAGTCACTCAGACTTCCGTTAGCAATTACCTACAGATCCTCTTGACCAAGCTACGTTATATTTAATTATTTTTCCCTGTTATGCACATGTAGTCTCACCTGAGTCAGGATAAATACACACATCATTTACATCTGCCTCTGGTTCAATTGAAGTAAATATTTTGCCCTTAAGGAGAAAAATAACCTAAAGTTAGTGCAGAGGAATATTTACTAGACATATAGCTCACACATTATCCCAAAATCAATACTAGGAATGATTAGCACCGAATAAAATACGTAATTAATCAACTTAAAACCAACCACAAGTGTAAGTGTGATTATAGTGAGACAAAGGAAAGAGCTATTCACCCAAGTCTAAGCCTGTGACATAATTGTATAGGGAGAGGGAAAGGTATTAGCAGTAGAAAGAGAGAAGTGCTCATGCCATTGTACAGAACACTGGTGAGACCTCACTTGGAGTATTGTACGCAGTACTGGAGACCGTGTCTTCAGAAGGATATTGATACCTTAGAGAGGGTTCAGAGAAGGGCTACTAAATTGGTTCATGGATTGTGGGATAAAACTTACCAGGAAAGGTTAAAGGATCTTAACATGTATAGCTTGGAGGAAAGACGAGACAGGGGGGATATGATAGAAACATTTAAATATATAAAGGGAATCAACACAGTAAAGGAGGAGACTATATTTAAAAGAAGAAAAACTACCACAACAAGAGGATATAGTCTTAAATTAGAGGGGAAAAGGTTTAAAAATAATATCAGGAAGTATTACTTTACTAAGAGGGCAGTGGATGCATGCAATAGCCTTCCAGCTGAAGTGGTAGAGGTTAACACAGTAAAGGAGTTTAAGCATGCGTGGGATAGGCATAAGGCTATCCTAACTATAAGATAAGGCCAGGGACAAATTAAAGTATTTAGAAAATTGGGCAGACTAGATGGGCCGAATGGTTCTTATCTGCCGTCACATTCTTTGTTTCTATGTTGTCCGGTCTCTCGCTCTTCACAGATGAAAGGTGAAGCATTAATGCTCCATGTTTATGTGAGTCTGGTGGTGACCAACGTTTTCATGAAAGCACCACAAGTTCCATGATATGGTATTAGTAGAATACTTGGTGCCATGAAGTGACTGGCCAAAATACAGTGAAACATGGACATGTCTTACAGTATTCTTGTTCCACATCTTGATAATCCTCGAGTCGGCAGATATAACTAGTTCTAAAGGCTCGTGAAACTGTATAGATTTAATAGGTAATCCATACTGGTGATCCTTTACAATCATTGGACGACTGGAGCGGAGATCATAAATCAGAACCTGATGGAGAAAGGAGGAAGCAAAATAGTAAAAACTTGACAAAGTAAAATGAAAAAAAAAAAAAAAACATAAAACCAACTTTCCTTTTTTTTTTTTAAATAGGTCAATGACCTTTACCTTAAATTGTGCCTATATGTGTATATGTAATTCTTTGAATGTGCAAATAAAACCCAAGGACAATTATACCATCTGGCCACGAATACTACTAAAAATGAAACCTATTAGAATAAATAAATATTTGCACTACTTGCAAATAAAATAGGCAGCCACTCTCATTAATTTCAAAATGCTTTGCTCAAAGTCCTATTATTGACCTTGCAACATTTCACTTCAAACAGATCTCAATTCATAAAGGCTGAACAGAGACCTACCTGTCCCCACGCACAGACTACAAGCCCCATTTCTCACTGCTATGTCATTTTCTGGAAGTTTGTTCCTGGTGTTAATTATTACCTATTGTAACTAATTACCTATTCTAGCTGTGGTTTTTCTCTTACAATATTAACATTAAAACCCATGCTAATGGTAGCATGCAAGACGCTCATATGACAATTACAATCAAAACAGCAGCACCATAAGAATGGGGACAGAGAGAACTGAATTAGGGCAGGAATTGGAGGAAACAGAAATGGTCAGAAAAGGAATTTAAATAGCAGAGATGTCTGTGAGAGGGGTTCCTCCACGACAAGAGTAGTAAGCAGAGTGTAAGAATCTGTATGATCCATGTAAGCACCTGTCCAGTTGATGTGCCAACGGCCATATGCAACGGTCCACTAAACTTCAAGGCTGATACTGCTGGTAAACCTTCGATTCTAAAAGACAATAAATGGACAAAAATCAAGAACGATTTTACTCTCTGGAAAGCTCTTACAGTGGTGGATTTGTATTACAACTAGTCGTTTTAAAGCCCTAGTCAGCAATACTTTATTTAATAATTATATTTTTTTGTAAACGTAAAAACTCATTCTTGTTGGATGTCATAATCTTTTATATTTGCAACCAGATGAAGTTTTCCTATTTAACAACTTTTCAGATAAGTTTGTTATATCAGAACAGATTTCTTTAGAAATACACTGATAATAATGAAATGATTGCAAAGTTAAGCATCTCCACTTTAATACATTAATCACTCATGTTTTGAAAACAACTTAAATTAAAAGGTGCTGATTGTGTGTATATAATGTCTTTTTCTGAACGTTGTATTTTACATTTACGTTTTTGCTGTAAAAAAAAAATGCTTGTTATCTCTACAGACAGAAGTTCGATTAATGGAATTCATTTAACAGTAATGCAAATATTGCACAAATATACATCCTCCTGCTACATAACTAATCCATATTTCATACAGAATAACATTTGGACTATAATGTATCTTAAATCGATTTTCCTTTAAATGCAATTATTTTAAAAACCCCAAAAACAAACTGATTTAAATGAAAAGAAATCGGATTTTTACCGACCCTGGTGTATTATAGCCAAGAAAGAAAAATCTAATGAGCATTAATCTCAGAGGAGGAACGTGACCCTGACAGAGTTCTAGTCAGCAATAATAGTCAAAATTTTCTCTCACAAAAGTCAAAATATTATTATTTACCAACCTTCATGAATACACAAAGTTACAAAACTCTACTTTTATTTAAGCAAACTATAATAGTAATAAACAATGTTTTAACCATCTAAACTACATAGTTATGTTAAATCCCTATACCTATTAAAAAAAACTTGCCCTTAAACAGACACTAGTACCGTACCCTAAAGAACTTCAGTTGTTAAAGTGTTTTAGGGGTTAAATGCATATCCCCCTGGTTTATGAAATATCCACTTATTAACACCTCTCGGCAGTAAACAAGACACTGTGAGTGCTTCTCATAAAGAACCATTGATGCGGAATCAAGGAGAGTGCTGCACATGTGCAATGCTTCACTGTGAGAAGCACCTGATTGCATAAAACCCATAAGTAATGATGATTCGAAGCCCTTTTGGGTGAAACGTGTTAGTGTTTTAAATAGAACTAGGTTTTTTTTTGTTTGTTTTTTTAAACCTTACAATTTTATCCCTGAATATTTTATCCGGAGGAGCCACACTTTTTACATCCTTGGTGGGAAGGACACCACCTACGCTACACGGGATTGGGGAAAAAAAAACAACTCTCCTTATGTGAGTATACCTCCTTTTATTATGCTTTTACAAGAACAAAACAAAGAGCACTATTTTTCTCTTTTTATTCTCATTTTTTTTCACTTTATAATTCTTTATTTTAAATGTGCTGAGAGGAACAAGAGTACCTGCAATGCCAAGACAGCAGAGACAGGCGCATGCATATCAAAGTATAACATAGGTATTACACTGAGAATCGTGGCACATATTTTTTGTTAAGTAATGATCAAGAAAACAGGATGTGTTTCAGCATGAGTTTGAAAAGTTGAGGAACAAGTAGTGTAAAATTAATGCAACAAAACATATAAATCTGTAAAAGCTTAAAGAGGGGTTTAAAAGTGTGCTATATCAACATAAGAACTAAGCTTAGTATAAGACAGGAGTCCACCACAGAGTATGTGAACTGGCTTGTTGCCAATACTGGCCAGATTGTCATAGCAAGCCAGGAGTCTGCTGGTTCCCCCACACTCTTTCACCCAATTCCACGTTTTAGGTGGGACAGGAGGCTTCCGACTGGTAGGTACAGGTATTGCGGTAGTCTTGGGTATACAGCGTCAGAGGGCCTCTGTGCTTCCCATTGATGAGTGTACTTAGGCAGCCGCTGGACAGGCCTTTGCACCATCCTACGTTTGGGCAAGGTGCGCCTTGTACTCTGCTTCTGTGTGGGAGCTTTCGCCATTTTTGGAGCCGTGGATGCCTTCAAGGGACCTTGATGCGAGCTTTTCCAACCGGGTGAGTATATTGCCAGTGTCAGCGTTGGGGGCCATGCGGCCTCCGCCATTGCAGGAGAGTGTTACTTCTAAACTCTTGTCTGAGATTCTTGTCTGGGTGCCCGGATAACCCCCACCGGTCCAGATGGGGGAAGAAACAGGACTTGCCGCCTAGGATGCCAGTGCAATTCCGCCGAGGTCGGCCGCTCCTCTCGGTTGGAACAACACCAGGCCGCAATGTTAGTTGCTTGGAGCCCCACAGCCACCGACAGCAAGAGTGCTACCGAAAGGTTCCCTGTCGATCCCAGGTGCTATCATGTAGCCACCAGAGGAATAAGGTATGTATGGGTATCAAGATTAAATGCTAAAAAGCAAGATTTGTAAGGAGCTCCCGTTCCATGCATCTGATCAGCATGGCATCAAGCCCCGCCCCATTTCTAATTTTCCTTTTATGTGGTTAATGAATATCTGTGACACTGAAATTTGGAGGGAAATACCCGTGAATGCTCAACACTTTAACTGGTCCTTGACCCTGACCTACCATCTACAAGGAACCAAGCTGGGTATCATACCGCCCAAGCACATATATCTGGAGCTGAACATAAACTCCAGAAAAAAAATTTTAAGTGTCATTTTTCTTATTTTACCTCACCACCTATAGAATATACTACATTATATTCTATTTTCATATTTTCCCTTCTGACTCACCACCATACGAGTTTGAGAACACCCAGAAGGCACTGCTTCCCTGTACCCTTTCCTGACCTAGACTCTACTGGAGCTTGAATAAAGGGGAGTCTAATAGTTTATTATTGGTTTCAAAGATGGAATGCAAGTGGAGGAGGCAAGTAATCGAATCCTCCAATTAAAAAAATGAAATTTATTTTTTTAAATTAGATTGTTCCATTAATATATAAAAGTCATATACTCTGTTTATTAACAAAATGAACCGACATCTGACAATTATTTCTTGAAAAATTAGAACAAATGAATATGACACACATAAAAATAGCCTGCACATCCTAGAAAGAAGAAAATCTATGGCAATATGCAGATTTGGTGAAAAAAATTAAATAAAAATAATTGAGGTTTTAAATGAAAATAAAATTCCCTTGTACCACCATGATTTTTTTTTTTTTTTTATTGATTTTTTTTAAGATTAATGTAGTGGTCACAAATCTGACTACAGAAATGACAACTCCAGTACAGCCAGCTATACTTGTTTTAACAACTTTTAACATAATAGACTATGGAAAGCATGCGTAAAAAACTAAAATAAGACAAAAACATTGAGCAATTATTACAACCCCTAAATAACATCAACTATGAATATTTAGGGCTACAGAAAAAGATAGCTGTCTTCAAATTAATATATCATCTGGGTATATGATATGATGGGGATGGTTTGCCAGACCGGGAATTTCTTTCCCCTAATATATATTGTTTTTAATTTTATTTAGCAAACACAACTGCTCTCAACTAATATACACTTGCCTCTATTTGAGGAGTAATGTTTTAAGAACTTTCGAAGGGATTATGTATTTCTTTTAGCTTCGTAACTTGCTTTACTGATTAGGTTGTTTACAGAACGCCTGCACTGTAAACGCTATAGTGGTTATTTGCTCAATGTCTAATTAGTTATGGCTTTATTGAGTGGTGGACAAAATCAGAATCTAAAAGACAATAGTACATTTCTCACCAGTAACAGAGGGTATAGATCTAACCTTCGATACTAACATCAGGCAAATTGAAGCCAGATCCACCATATTTTTCTATACGTACTGATGGGCAAACAAGCAAAGAGCTGCTCAGAAGTACGCTGTCAGTATAGATCAAAGAGGAATCCCACAGCATTTGAATGCTACATGCTTCACACTTTTCATGTGCTGTCTATCAGCTTGAAGATGTGTGTGTAACCTATATGGCATGCTAAGGGTTATGGAAACTTTATTTTAAAAAAAACAAAAAAACACAACAACAACTTACTCTGTGTCTTCCGTTACACTACTCAAAGCACAGTCCAGAACGCCTACGCTACTTCTTGTCCTTGGATCCCAGCATTCAACTTTACCCTGAGCGAGATCAGAATAATACCAGTTAGAATAAAGAACTGAGAAAAGAATGGTCCGATACAAGACACACACACACACACATATATATATATATATATATATATATATATATATATATATATATATATATATAAAGAAAGAAAAGCAATGGAACAGAAATATACAGATAAAGAATCTAAAATAAATATACTGTACACTATGATTTTTTTAACCAGTCCCATTAGAAGCTGAGCATTACAGTGTCAAAAGTTTGCAATCATTTTTAATTCATATATGAACACAAATGTAGAGAGTAGTTTTTAACTCCTTAAATACAATGTTTATATAGCATTTACATGCAGTGATTGTTCTTTAACATAAATAAGACAATTGTCAGTCCACTGATCAGAAATGTAATAACTATCTCTAACAACGGCTCAAGGAGGAAAAAAAACATTTCAGCAACATTTCTGGGTTTTTCAGAAGAACTGCTCTGTATACGGATAACCGGCAACATAGGCCTTGATTTAATTATTTTGGATACGTTTTTTAAATGATCACAATCTGTTAGGAAAAAAAAAAAAAAATTCTAATTATTTATCTACAGAAACCCTCATTAGGGTCAAGGGGAATTTTTGCAGATAAATCATTTGAAATGTTTTTCTAAAAGATTGTGTTCATTTGAAAAGCTTGTCCAAAATATTAAAATCGAGGCCAAAAGAAAAAACACAATTACCTCTGCTGTGCCCACAGCCAGTAAATGATGTGCTGGATTGATATCACAAGCATTAATTTGTCTAAAAGTAAAGGAAAACAAAGATTATCAAGAAATCATTACTAAATACAAATCATGTTGCACACATACATACCGTGTTTCCCCAAAAATAAGACCGGGTCTTATTTTTATTTTTTTCCCCTGAAAAATGCACTAGGGCTTATTTTGGGGGAAAAATGTGTGCTAGAAAGCAGGTGTATGTTCAGGGGAATTCCCCCAAACATAGACCATTTTACTAGGGCACGGTATCCTGCAAATCTATGTTCGGGGAAACTTTCCCAAACATAGATTAGCTTACTCGTTAACAGAATACCGCAAATCTATGTTCGGGGAAGTTTCCCTGAACATAGATTAGCGAACGACTAGGGCTTATATTAGGAGAAACACGGTATATATGCATATGCACATATATATCAAATTAAATAATGAGGGAATGTGATACTCTGCCTCCACCTAGTGGCACAACCGCATTGTGACAGTTGCAGAATAGAGAGGCATAGTTGTACTTACGAGGCTTCTGTTTGAAGAGAGTTCAAGTAACGTCCTTGCTCTAAATTCAACCGGTAAATCTCAGAACTGTATTTGGGAGAAAAAAAAAAACACGGTTATATAACCTCAGAATTTTACTGGGGAAAAATGATAAGAAAAAGTGTGTTGACAAAAATAAAATAAAAAATTTAGTATTTTTTAAATTATTATTATTATTTAATTTTTTTTGGCATCTTTAACGTATCATTTCACTCTCTGTTCTAATTTGATTCTAGAAAGAGCTCTGAGGTTTTCGGCTAGACATTTTCTCCCTTATAGACGGTACATAAAAACAGCCGGGACTGGCAGAGCACAACACTCACATCAACACAAGACCCAGAAGTGGAACAAATTATGCTGACATTTTGGCAATAGATGTCCAATAGCAGATGTGATGTATAGATGTAATTATTTCAGAGTCTGCACACAACTCAACAGAACAGCTAACTGAACGTATTGCAAAGGGAAATTGTGAATTCACAAACTATGTATTTTGAGATTTCTAGGTTTATTTCATTTTCACAGGTGTAGCAATGCTTTCTCAAAACACAGCTCGAGATCCTTTTACAAATAATCAATATCAAATTAAATTTACTTTGTTTCGGGTAACATACTGCAGTAATTAAACTGGTGCTTAGAGCTTATTCATTTAAGTGAGAACTAGTCAGCTAAGCTCTCAGTTTGACTAGCTTAAAACAGAAATTCACTTTACATTCTCCTTTTAGTAAATGACCCTGTTAATGAGTTTGTTGACAGCCTAAAACCACAAGGACAGTATGGCTAGCCACTACCAGAAAAGACTAATCTAAGACTTTGCACAGAGTATAAGGGAGCTGTCCGTACAGGCCCTCTAATAACATTGGGAGGTGTAGGCTAGGCCAAGTTCAGGCAACCTTCACTAATTAAACTTCTGAGAATTACACCCCGGTCTGGAAGATAATCAAGGGAGTTTTAACTCACAGCTGATGAGCCTAAACCTGTCCAACCCACGTCAAAGTGTTAAATAGATTAAAACGACAGTGACTTCAAAAATAGCCTGAAAGACCTTATTTGTAAGTTTTCTCCTTACTAAAACTTACTGAAACTATAACTATCCTTCACTAGTGTTTTAACATCATTTAGGCACAAACTCTAAGGATGGGAAGTCTGTTAGTATATATCAAATCTATGAAGATATATTTAAGTTTTCCACACCCTGACCTGACTACGGCTACTCATATAACACGGCAAAACACTTGTAGAAATTGGCCCGCGATACTACACACAGCAGACATTACCTTGCCCCTACAAAGAAAAGGTCACAGGACGGGTAATGGTAAGCAAAATCCCTGCCAAATTTTGGTATCCGGAGTCTGTAATAACGGCCATGCTGGGAGTGAAGTTCAACGTATCGATCACACTGAAGGAAGACCACCTGCAACAAAAGAAGTAAACAGAGTGATGCTTTGAGAGAATACACCGATACATTGAAATATTGGGAGTTGAATCGCCTATTGCTGAAATTTCAATATCTGACCACATCTGATGGCAGTACCATAGCTAAATCCAATTATTATTTCAAAAGGAAGTACCTGGCTGACAATGCATCAACAAGTATCCCTCTTAACACTTAATGGTCAGGTGTAGATCATAAAACCCCCAGTTAAGTAGTCGAAACGTGGTTAACCAGTTAATTGCCAAAGCAATGTATTGTAGTCCACTTTGCATTTTTAGTTACTTTTCGAGCAATGTGAACCTGGGTTAATCTTCTTCTAACAAGAACATGCATTTCAGCAACGTACTGATTAGAGGGGACTACAAAACATGTATCTATTTGTAGGAGACATTTAGCTGGTAGTTTACCCAAGAACATATGTACTATTATATATAAAGCACAGCTCTGAAAACGAATCTGGTAGATGCAGAGTAATACACAGTACCTTTGAGTAATCCTCGGAAAGAATGTCAAATTTAACCACTGAAAAATAAAAACAAAAATTACTGAAGCAGCAAGTATGCTTAAAGGGACACTATAGTCACAAAAAACAATGTCAGCGTAATTAAGATGTTTTTGTGTATAGATCATGCCTCTGCAGTCTCACTGCTCAATCCTTTAGGAGTTAAATCACTTTTGTTTCTGTTAATGCAGCCTTAGACACACCTCCCCTGGCTGTGACTGACACAGCCTGCATGACAACAAAACAGTTTCATTTTCAATTAGATATAACGTATTGTCATCTCCTGCTCTGTATATTGAGCTTTAATTACATACAGGAGGCTCCAGCAGGGTCTAGCAAGCTATTATCAGTTCAGAAGATAGGAAATTGCAATAAAGAAAGTATAAACATTAGTTGACTCTTTACAGGAAGTGTTTAGGAAGGCTGTGTAAGTAACATGCAGGGAGGTGTGGCTAGGGCTACATAAACAAAGTGATTTAACTCCTAAATGGCAGAGAATTAAGCAATGAGACTGCATGGGCATGATCTATATACACAAACTGTTTCATTAAGCTAAAGTTGTTTTGGTGACTATATTGTCCCTTTTTTTTTTTAAATATATTTATGTCATTGTATTTTCTTACTTTGAATATCACACAGTTAACAGTGTCATGAATAACCATGCAAATTTGAATAGCCAACTGGCTAACACAATGCACACAAAGTAATTTAAATTAGGAACAAACAGCTGATGTTGCCCCTGGACAAGATAAATTGATTTTCTATTTGCCTCCACTGCACTACTCTCCCAAGCAAATGTTCCAATAGCATTTACTATACAGAAATATATACAGGATCAGCACAAACAGCTCTCTCATAACAAAACATGTTTTTTTTAACAGTAATGTACAAAAGACAAAATACCATCTATGGAGATTTAAGAAAAAATATATTTTTTCCCCAAGGGACACTGTAGGCACCCAGACCACTTCAGCTCATCGAGGTGGTCTGGGTGCTGTGTCCCTTTTGCACTTAATGCTGCAATGTAAAACATTGCAGTTCCAGAGAACAATGTTTACATTGCAGCTCTAAGTCTGCCCTCTGTGGCTGTCTGCCAGACAGCCACTGGGGGCTCTTCCAGAATCGAACAGACTTTTGGTCTGTTATCTGATGCTGGACGTCCTCACGGACCTCCAGCGCCAGATTTTCCCATAAAAAAGCACTGAATAATGCTTTTCTACGGGGAGGTCTAATGCGCACGCGTCCATTGCTGCGCATGTGCATTAGGTCTCCCCGCTGGCAGACCCAGCACCGAGGGACATCGGTGCTGGATTCAGGTAAGTGGCTGAAGTGGTTGTAATCCCTTCAGCCCTGCAGGAGGGCGGGATCCTATTAGCCCTATAGTGCCAGGAAAACAGCTTTGTATTCGTGGCACTATAGGATCCCTTTCATCTACAGCAGAGGAAATGGTCATTTAGAGTGCTAAAACAGATGTGGATTTTCCTGCCCATATTTGCTGTTTTATGAGATTCTGTAGAGATTTTTATAGATAAGCCAACAATAAATGAAACAAAGTATTATAAGACTATTTCATGAATCCCTTAAGAATGGAAGTTATTATCCATATTCTAAACCAAAACAAAACCTAGAATTTGCACTGTTTGTTCCACTGTAATTTAAGGGATTCTCTACAAGTGCCTCCATACATATTACATATTTCTGTTTAAAGAACAGAAACGGCTTCATTAAACATCCTTTATGTATAATTAACACACCATGACGTGAATAAAATGTTAATGGGAGGGAGCAGGCACATGCATTTTTTCACATTGTTGCTTATAATACTGTTTATACATCCAGTGCAACTAAATAAAAAGAACTCAAAACAGATTAATATATCAGTCCAGATTGTTACATGCCTAACATGTTTAGGATCTAAATAAATGTTCTGGTAGGTAACGTTAACCTTATATATCAAACCCCACCGAAACACTATACCAAACATATCGCAAAACCCAGCATTAAAGGACCACTATAGTTTAATGAAGTTGTCTGGGTGCCAGGTCCCTCTAGTTTTAACCCTGAAGCAGAAAACATAGCAGTTTCAGAGAAACTGCTATGTTTCCCTGAGGGTTAATTCAGCCTCTAGTGCATGGGTCCTCAAACTCCGGCCCCCCCGATGCTGCTGAACTACAACTCCCATGATTCTTTGAATTACATAGATAGCCAGAGAATCATGGGAGTTGTAGTTCAGCAACATCTGGGGGGGGGCTGGAGTTTGAGGACCCATGCTCTAGTGGCTGTCTCACGGACAGCCGCTAGAGGCGCTTCCACGATTCTCACAAGACGCTGTACGTCCATAGGAAAGCATTGAGTAATGCTTTCATATGCGCTGTTTGAATGCGCACACGGCTCTTGCCGCGCATGCGCATTCGGATCAAACGACAGCAGGGGGTGGAGAGTTCCCCAGCACAGAGGGAGCCCGGCGCTGGAGAAAGGTAAGTGGCTGAAGGGGTTTTAACCCCTCAGCCCAGCGGGAGGGGGGCCGTGAGGGTGGGGGGACCTAATAACCCTATACAGGGAGTGCAGAATTATTAGGCAAGTTGTATTTTTGAGGATTAATTTTATTATTGAACAACCATGTTCTCAATGAACCCAAAAAACCCATTAATATCAAAGCTGAATATTTTTGGAAGTAGTTTTTAGTTTGTTTTTAGTTTTAGCTATGTTAGGGGGATATCTGTGTGTGCAGGCGACTATTACTGTGCATAATTATTAGGCAACTTAACAAAAAACAAATATATACCCATTTCAATTATTTATTATTACCAGTGAAACCAATATAACATCTCAACATTCACAAATATACATTTCTGACATTCAAAAACAAAACAAAAACAAATCGGTGACCAATATAGCCACCTTTCTTTGCAAGGACACTCAAAAGCCTGCCATCCATGGATTCTGTCAGTGTTTTGATCTGTTCACCATCAACATTGCGTGCAGCAGCAACCACAGCCTCCCAGACACTGTTCAGAGAGGTGTACTGTTTTTCCCTCCTTGTAAATCTCACATTTGATGATGGACCACAGGTTCTCAATGGGGTTCAGATCAGGTGAACAAGGAGGCCATGTCATTAGATTTTCTTCTTTTATACCCTTTCTTGCCAGCCACGCTGTGGAGTACTTGGACGCGTGTGATGGAGCATTGTCCTACATGAAAATCATGTTTTTCTTGAAGGATGCAGACTTCTTCCTGTACCACTGCTTGAAGAAGGTGTCTTCCAGGAACTGGCAGTAGGACTGGGAGTTGAGCTTGACTCCATCCTCAACCCAAAAAGGCCCCACAAGCTCATCTTTGATGATACCAGCCCAAACCAGTACTCCATCTCCACCTTGCTGGCGTCTGAGTCGGACTGGAGCTCTCTGCCCTTTACCAATCCAGCCACGGGCCCATCCATCTGGCCCATCAGACTCACTCTCATTTCATCAGTCCATAAAACCTTAGAAAAATCAGTCTTGAGATATTTCTTGGCCCAGTCTTGACGTTTCAGCTTGTGTGTCTTGTTCAGTGGTGGTCGTCTTTCAACCTTTCTTACCTTGGCCATGTCTCTGAGTATTGCACACCTTGTGCTTTTGGGCACTCCAGTGATGTTGCAGAAATATGGCCAAACTGGTGGCAAGTGGCATCGTGGCAGCTGCACGCTTGACTTTTCTCAGTTCATGGGCAGTTATTTTGCGCCTTGGTTTTTCCACACGCTTCTTGCGACCCTGATGACTATTTTGAATGAAACGCTTGATTGTTCGATGATCACGCTTCAGAAGCTTTGCAATTTTAAGAGTGCTGCATCCCTCTGCAAGATATCTCACTATTTTTGACTTTTCTGAGACTGTCAAGTCCTTCTTTTGACCCATTTTGCCAAAGGAAAGGAAGTTGCCTAATAATTATACACACCTGATATAGGGTGTTGATGTCATTAGACCACACCCCTTCTCTTTACAGAGATGCACATCACCTAATATGCTTAATTGGTAGTAGGCTTTCGAGCCTATACAGCTTGGAGTAAGACAACATGCATAAAGAGGATGATGTGGTCAAAATACTCATTTGCCTAATAATTCTGCACTCCCTGTAGTGCCAGAGAAACGAGTTTGTTTTTCTGGCACTATAGTGCTCCGTTAAGTCTTACCGTATCTAACACCAACCCTTACGGAAACACTCTGCTAACAACAATTCTGTTTTAAGGAAATGGGTTTCCAAACTAAAACTGTAGTTAGTGCTCTGTGAACGCCATCTATTGGCTATTTTTATAATTATATTCAATGTAATTATGAATAGAGCCTGCTTACCAGCAGTGCTGATCGGCTGGCAAAGCCAAGGTATCAGCTGATACCTGGGGCTCCCTGGTGAAAGCAGTGATTTAACCCTGCTCACACCAAAACTGCAGGAGTTCCATGATGTCCTAAAAGCATTAAAGTCAAGTCAATGAATGACAGCATGGAACATAGCATCAGGGGTTAATAAGTAGGGAGAATAAATAAAGGGCAACAGAAGATTACAGATGGGAATGAACTGCATGCAAAAGTAAAAAAAAAAAAAAGTCACTCTGTTTATAGCTTCTATGTTTGCTATGGATCTATTGTGGGTTTCAGTTAAAAGGTATCTGCCTGTACAGAAAAATATATCAGAATAAATACTTTTAAAAAAAAAACAAGAAAAAAAAAAACCCACACACACAAAAAGAACCATTTCCTTGCAGCACTTGTGTGTCCAGAGTGATGCGTCACTGCGCCATGATGCTCCCACTCATACTTGCTTGGGTACCTGCTAAGTGGTAGCGTGTGAGCAAACATACATTGCTTCTATAGTGTGTGTTTTCAGTTCTGAGAAATGGACAATGTTTCGGCACTATCCTGTGCCTTTATAAGTCTCTTGACAAAGGCACAGGTTAAAGCGAAAATATTGTCTTTTTTTCTGAACTCCACAAACAAAACTGCAATCTTTTACATTACATGGTTAAAACGACTGGGCCACCGCACCCAGACCACTTCATTTAGATATAGTGATCTGGGTGAGTTTAGTGTACCTTTAATTGGAACCTTGCAATAAAGGGGAAAAAAAACTAATAAATAGGGTGGGATAGGGTTAAAAAAAACAAAAAAAAACAAACAACAACAACAACACACACACACAAAATGTATTTCCCCCACCCGCATGTTACAGGTAAAATGTTATATGCCCTCTCTACCTCTTGTATTTGTCTGTGTATATTGTACGTTCTCCACCAATTGTACAGCGCTGGGGAATTTGCTGGCGCTTTATAAATACCAGTAATAAATAAAATAAATAAATAGGTAAATTTAAAGATTACTGACCATCTGAGTCCAAACATCGTTCAAACTTCAAAGAAAGCTGGTAAGTGTCATAACAACGGACTCTAGGCTTGTAGGTTCCTGGAAAAGAATTTCAGATTAGTGAGTTAATCTAAAAGAAGAAGAAGAAAAAAAAACAACAACAACAAAAAACATTCTACTTCTTGAGTCATATGCCACCCAAGGGGTACAGAAAAATTAGACATCACAGCAGAAACCCTCTAAAAAGCAGTAGGTTGTACTTCCAATAAGAAGCATTTTTTAATGAAAATATTTTTGCCCAGGTTACAGCTCTGACAGGGACCTTCCAAGAAACTGTTCCCTAAATGACTGATGCTCCACAGGGGCAATTAAAGGGCCACTCATAACATAACAGCAGTTTAGTTTGTTTTGATACCCTTCTGGAAACTGTACTGCCTACCCACTGACAAAATATGGGAAGTCCAGCTTCCACTCACACACAGCCTGTTCACACTGTTTGAGTGACCCTGAGCTGGGCAAGGAATTGTGTGTACACACTCACAGCACAACTCGTCCTACTGAAGGAGTGTGACCTGAGTGATGTAAACAGACTGAGTGTAGAAAGATTTAAGGGGTAGGTAGACCTCCCCATGACAGCTTCATAATACCATAACCGCTACAAAAGTTATGATGCGTGGCGTGTCCCTTTATGTCTAGCACATACATCTCCAAGGCTATCGTGAAACTCTGCATTACTATGCATCAATGGAAATGTAATTATTCTGGTATTTATAGAGGATACACAGTTTATTGCCAAAGGCTGCATTAACAGCTATATTACATTTAACAAAAAAGCATTGTAAACATAAACATTTAGAGACTTAAGAGTCCTGGTGAAAGAACACTCAAAACACAATGTGAGAGTCTGGTCTCATAGAATTCCATACTTATGGTATTTTCTTACCTGTGGCCATAACATATTGCCCATCTCTCGAGACTTTAATGTTGGAACTGACAGCAGGCATTTCAAAATCCTGAATAAGTTCGATCCTTCTCCGGACATCTTTAAAGAAAAATACGTTAATCAAGTTTATGCTGCTTAATTGGGATTCTAACGGACATTTACACAGAAACCGTATTTGTATTTGCACTGCGGAATTTACACTTCTGCATTGGTTGGCTGAGAGCGTCTGCTGACATGCTCAATACTACCTAAATGTGGATGAAGTGTGAATGGCACATGCTGAAGTGCAATAAGTAATCTACCGCCAGTGGCCAGGCTGCAGGTATCTGGAGGACATTCGGTTTGTGTTAAACCAATCAAAATCACAGAAACATGAGACAGTACTGACAGCCTGCTTGCACCATTGCCACTACGCGTTATAGCGGTGATGGTGCTTTGAGTGTCACTTTAAAATATACGTGTTCCATACACATGTAAACATCAAGTCACACGTTAAGATTTACAGTTAAAACAGAGAATCTCATTTAAATATGTGCTGACATTCTACTTACCCACATCTTTCTTCTGTAAGGCTCTTTTTTTGCGATCTGAAAGCCACTGGTATTAAGAAAGAAAAATGTAAAACAACATTAAAAAAAAATTTTAAAAAAAAATCACAAAACAAGCTTACACAGGGCTAGATATGCTCAACTCTAAAATTCTAATAAATCTAAGAGCCAAAGAGGGATCCCAGGGGTAGGCAACCTTCACCAATCCACAAGTTGGAGACTACATCTAGTCCACATGTCCACAACATCTGAAGTTCTGACGTAGCCCACCCCTGGTTTAATTAACCTATTCAATAGTATTCCCAGTACACTCATTTCTGATATAATTTCTACCAAAATGTGGGCTTCTCAAGTTTGATCCACAATGAAACCAAATTCAATATCATGTGATTCACTTATAGGGGATATTGTATCCCCCCTCTACACATTGTTATTAATCCATCTATTAAATAAATGATTTCTATTCCACCTGCATTCGTCCCTGAAATTCTAACCATCAATTCCACTGAGCCCTGACTACGCATGTTTGCTGCCATGGCTCACGATCTCACAGAGAGCTGGAAAAGTGAGATAGGGACTTGCCCACCATGTACACAAACTTCTGATGGCAAAGAAGGATGCATACATTCCAGCTTTGACATCATAGTGAGAATAGGCTGTTTTATAGCTTACAGCAATCTTTACAAATCAGGGCAATTACAAGTACCTGTGCTTTGCACTGGGCATAAGTTGTTCCCCAGTTAGTTGGCACCCAGAACTGCTCTACAGAGCCAACATCAGCCCAAGTATGTTATTGATATAGAAGATAAGCACACACAATAGGATGTGAAGCTCAGGGAAACACGATACACTACTAGAGGTACAGTGTTCACTGGAGTGAGTTTTATTGCTGTGGAGAACATTGACACATATACTAGAAAATAGACACACTGTGACGCTCTCACATGCTGGAAAAGACACACTGACATACTGCAAAAGAGACACCCTGTGATGCTCTCACGTGCTGGAAAAGAGACACTGACGCTCTCACATGCTGCAAAAGAGACGCACTGTGACGCACTCACAGGCTAGAAAAGAGACACTGACGCACTCACATGCTGCAAAAGAGAGGCACTGTGATGCTCTCATATGCTGGAAAATAGACACACTCTGTGGCGAACGTTCCTATGCTACAAGCTCCTTGAGGGACCTGCTAGCTAGCCTCCTGTCCAAGTACTATGGGCCATATACAAAGACCCTTTGTAGCTTGCCCTGGGTGCCCTTTGTTCGTGCAAATGGAACCGAAAGCTGTCTCTCTGGCAACTGCTCGCATGAACCAAGCCCATGAATTGTCCTCAGCTGTACTTAGCCGTGATCGTTATGGAACTAAATTTGGAATGAGGACTTCATGGGTTCCCGGTCACCTCAGCGGGACTTAGCAGCGAATGTTATGGAACCGTTTTCGGCATAAGGTGACCGTGCGGTTCCCGGACAACTTGGTTTGTGGATTTGAACCACTTTGAAATCCGCCAGGAGAGCGCTTTTTGGAGGAAAGGTGTCTGAGACTAAGTGGAACAAATGCTACCTAAGATCCAGCCAGAGCACCACGTATAGCGCCTGCAGGAGCTCCTGAAAGTGTGACGCTCTCACAAGCTAGAATAGAAGCACGGTGACGCTCTCACATGTTGGAATAGAGACGCGCTGTGACTCTCTAACATGCTGGAATAGAGACACACTGTGACGCTCTCAGGATAATAAAATGCACACTGTGAAACACACTAAGAGAGATACAAACTATGGCACACAATCACTGGCTAATAAAGAGACACTTTTTAGTAAAAGCGATTCACATACTAGGATAAAAATAAACACTGAGACCATGCTAATATAAGACACCGTGACACACAATAAGGGTAAAGGACATGAAAACCCAACTATGAAGAAACGTGTAACTATTGTGCCATTGACATCAAAGAGAGAGAGATTAGCAAAATCAATGGGCAATCCAACTCAGCTTAGTTCCCTTTTATTGCAGTACATGTAGAGGGTGACTGTAATACATACATGTTAGTATGATTTACATGTAGAGGGTGACTGTAATACATACATGTTAGTATGATGTACATGTAGAGGGTGACTGTAATACATACATGTTAGTATGATGTACATGTAGAGGATCACTGTAATACATACATGTTAATATGATGTACACGTAGAGGACCACTGTAATACATATATGTTAATATGATGTACATGTAGAGGATCACTGTAATATATACATGTTAGTATGATGTACATGTAGAGGGTCACATACACTGTAATGTTAATATGATGTACATGTAGAGGGTCACTGTAATACACTGTAGTGTTAGTATGATGTACATGTAGAGGGTCACTGTAATACACTGTAATGTTAGTATGATGTACATGTAGAGGGTCACTGTAATATTAGTATGATGTACATGAGAGGGTCACTGTAATGTTAGTATGATGTGCATGGAGAGGGTCACTGTAATACACTGTAATGTTAGTATGATGTACATGGAGAGGGTCACTGTAATACACTGTAATGCTAGTATGATGTGCATGGAGAGGGTCACTGTAATACACTGTAATGTTAGTATGATGTGCATGGAGAGGGTCACTGTAATACACTGTAATGTTAGTATGATGTGCATGGAGAGGGTCACTGTAATACACTGTAATGTTAGTATGATGTGCATGGAGAGGGTCACTGTAATACACTGTAATGTTAGTATGATGTGCATGGAGAGGGTCACTGTAATACACTGTAATGTTAGCATGATGTACATGGAGAGGGTCACTGTAATACACTGTAATGTTAGCATGATGTACATGGAGAGGGTCACTGTAATACACTGTAATGTTAGTATGATGTACATGGAGAGGGTCACTGTAATACACTGTAATGTTAGCATGATGTACATGGAGAGGGTCACTGTAATACACTGTAATGTTAGTATGATGTGCATGGAGAGGGTCACTGTAATACACTGTAATGTTAGTATGATGTACATGGAGAGGGTCACTGTAATACACTGTAATGTTAGTATGATGTGCATGGAGAGGGTCACTGTAATACACTGTAATGTTAGCATGATGTACATGGAGAGGGTCACTGTAATACACTGTAATGTTAGCATGATGTACATGGAGAGGGTCACTGTAATACACTGTAATGTTAGTATGATGTGCATGGAGAGGGTCACTGTAATACACTGTAATGTTAGTATGATGTACATGGAGAGGGTCACTGTAATACACTGTAATGTTAGTATGATGTACATGGAGAGGGTCACTGTAATACACTGTAATGTTAGTATGATGTACATGGAGAGGGTCACTGTAATACACTGTAATGTTAGCATGATGTACATGGAGAGGGTCACTGTAATACACTGTAATGTTAGTATGATGTGCATGGAGAGGGTCACTGTAATACACTGTAATGTTAGTATGATGTGCATGGAGAGGGTCACTGTAATACACTGTAATGTTAGTATGATGTGCATGGAGAGGGTCACTGTAATACACTGTAATGTTAGTATGATGTGCATGGAGAGGGTCACTGTAATACACTGTAATGTTAGTATGATGTACATGGAGAGGGTCACTGTAATACACTGTAATGTTAGTATGATGTGCATGGAGAGGGTCACTGTAATACACTGTAATGTTAGTATGATGTACATGGAGAGGGTCACTGTAATACACTGTAATGTTAGTATGATGTACATGGAGAGGGTCACTGTAATACACTGTAATGTTAGTATGATGTGCATGGAGAGGGTCACTGTAATACACTGTAATGTTAGTATGATGTACATGGAGAGGGTCACTGTAATACACTGTAATGTTAGTATGATGTACATGGAGAGGGTCACTGTAATACACTGTAATGTTAGTATGATGTACATGGAGAGGGTCACTGTAATACACTGTAATGTTAGTATGATGTACATGGAGAGGGTCACTGTAATACACTGTAATGTTAGTATGATGTACATGGAGAGGGTCACTGTAATACACTGTAATGTTAGTATGATGTACATGGAGAGGGTCACTGTAATACACTGTAATGTTAGTATGATGTGCATGGAGAGGGTCACTGTAATACACTGTAATGTTAGTATGGTGTACATGGAGAGGGTCACTGTAATACACTGTAATGTTAGTATGATGTACATGGAGAGGGTCACTGTAATACACTGTAATGTTAGTATGATGTGCATGGAGAGGGTCACTGTAATACACTGTAATGTTAGTATGGTGTACATGGAGAGGGTCACTGTAATACACTGTAATGTTAGTATGATGTGCATGGAGAGGGTCACTGTAATACACTGTAATGTTAGCATGATGTACATGGAGAGGGTCACTGTAATACACTGTAATGTTAGCATGATGTGCATGGAGAGGGTCACTGTATTACACTGTAATGTTAGTATGATGTACATGGAGAGGGTCACTGTAATGTTAGCATGATGTGCATGGAGAGGGTCACTGTAATACACTGTAATGTTAGTATGATGTACATGGAGAGGGTCACTGTATTACACTGTAATGTTAGTATGATGTACATGGAGAGGGTCACTGTAATACACTGTAATGTTAGTATGGTGTACATGGAGAGGGTCACTGTAATACACTGTAATGTTAGTATGATGTACATGGAGAGGGTCACTGTAATACACTGTAATGTTAGTATGATGTACATGGAGAGGGTCACTGTATTACACTGTAATGTTAGTATGATGTACATGGAGAGGGTCACTGTAATACACTGTAATGTACATGGAGAGGGTCACTGTAATACACATGATGTGCATGGAGAGGGTCACTGTAATACACTGTAATGTTAGGATGATGTGCATGGAGAGGGTCACTGTATTACACTGTAATGTTAGTATGATGTGCATGGAGAGGGTCACTGTAATACACTGTAATGTTAGTATGATGTGCATGGAGAGGGTCACTGTAATACACTGTAATGTTAGTATGATGTGCATGGAGAGGGTCACTGTAATACACTGTAATGTTAGTATGATGTACATGGAGAGGGTCACTGTATTACACTGTAATGTTAGTATGATGTACATGGAGAGGGTCACTGTAATACACTGTAATGTTAGTATGATGTGCATGGAGAGGGTCACTGTAATACACTGTAATGTTAGTATGATGTACATGGAGAGGGTCACTATATTACACTGTAATGTTAGTATGATGTACATGGAGAGGGTCACTGTAATACACTGTAATGTTAGTATGATGTGCATGGAGAGGGTCACTGTAATACACTGTAATGTTAGTATGGTGTACATGGAGAGGGTCACTGTAATACACTGTAATGTTAGTATGATGTGCATGGAGAGGGTCACTGTAATACACTGTAATGTTAGTATGATGTACATGGAGAGGGTCACTGTATTACACTGTAATGTTAGCATGATGTGCATGGAGAGGGTCACTGTATTACACTGTAATGTTAGTATGATGTACATGGAGAGGGTCACTGTAATACACTGTAATGTTAGCATGATGTACATGGAGAGGGTCACTGTAATACACTGTAATGTTAGCATGATGTACATGGAGAGGGTCACTGTAATACACTGTAATGTTAGTATGATGTACATGGAGAGGGTCACTGTAATACACTGTAATGTTAGCATGATGTACATGGAGAGGGTCACTGTAATACACTGTAATGTTAGTATGATGTACATGGAGAGGGTCACTGTAATACACTGTAATGTTAGTATGGTGTACATGGAGAGGGTCACTGTAATACACTGTAATGTTAGTATGATGTGCATGGAGAGGGTCACTGTAATACACTCAAAATGTTATGATGCATGGAGAGGTCACTGTAATACACTGTAATGTTAGTATGATGTACATGGAGGTGGTCACTGTAATACACTGTAATGTTAGTATGATGTGCATGGAGAGGGTCACTGTAATATTACTGTAATGTTAGTAAGGATGTGCATGGAGAGGGTCACTGTAATACACTGTAATGTTAGTATGATGTACATGGAGAGGGTCACTGTAATACACTGTAATGTTAGTATGATGTGCATGGAGAGGGTCACTGTATTACACTGTAATGTTAGTATGATGTGCATGGAGAGGGTCACTGTAATACACTGTAATGTTAGCATGATGTACATGGAGAGGGTCACTGTAATACACTGTAATGTTAGCATGATGTACATGGAGAGGATCACTGTATTACACTGTAATGTTAGTATGATGTACATGGAGAGGGTCACTGTAATACACTGTAATGTTAGTATGATGTGCATGGAGAGGGTCACTGTAATACACTGTAATGTTAGTATGATGTACATGGAGAGGGTCACTGTAATACACTGTAATGTTAGTATGATGTACATGGAGAGGGTCACTGTAATACACTGTAATGTTAGTATGATGTGCATGGAGAGGGTCACTGTATTACACTGTAATGTTAGTATGATGTGCATGGAGAGGGTCACTGTAATACACTGTAATGTTAGCATGATGTACATGGAGAGGGTCACTGTAATACACTGTAATGTTAGCATGATGTACATGGAGAGGATCACTGTATTACACTGTAATGTTAGTATGATGTACATGGAGAGGGTCACTGTAATACACTGTAATGTTAGTATGATGTACATGGAGAGGGTCACTGTAATACACTGTAATGTTAGCATGATGTACATGGAGAGGGTCACTGTAATACACTGTAATGTTAGTATGATGTACATGGAGAGGGTCACTGTAATACACTGTAATGTTAGTATGATGTACATGGAGAGGGTCACTGTAATGTTAGTATGATGTACATGGAGAGGGTCACTGTAATACACTGTAATGTTAGTATGATGTGCATGGAGAGGGTCACTGTAATGTTAGTATGGTGAGACCTACAGTTTAGCCACTTACCTCTGGCAGGGACTTCCCGCAGCTCAGATTATAGATTTTCACATCATTCACATTAGAGATCTGCATGTTGATAGAATCCGGCCCCTAGCGGACCCACATCACCCAGCACTCTGATAGCGACCCAGGATCACAGGTACCCACGTTGTGCCTGAACCGGAACCTGGCAGTCACGTGACCAGGAAGCAGGTAGCGGCAGGCACACTGTGACGCCATGATTTGGATGTCACACGCTACACAGTCCGCCATCTTGTGATTGGCAGGCACAACTTGCCCTATGTGAAGATATATATTAATTTTAGTTTATTTTTTATGTATTTAATAAAATATTTGTCACTGTACACTGCAGTAAAAGCTTTTATTTATTATAAATTTTTTATTTTCATTATTTTGCGTTTGCAGTTATACTTTATTTCTTACAATTAACCTCTCAAGTTTCAGTTGCAAAAATGTTTTTTTTTTTTTTTAGAGATTATTATTATTATTATTAATATAAAGCGCCAACATATTCCAGAGCGCGGGATGTGACAAGCTCCACTTTTTTTTTCTTTTTGGTTTATTTTTGTTTTTGTTCACTACTTGCCAATGAACATGCCTGCAAATATTACATGCAAGGAGATTCCTTATATATAAAAGGAAAAAAAAACATACAGTTTTTTTGTTAGATTTTACCGAAAGATATATCCAGCTCCAAAAGGACAGATGGCCACACATGGCTTCTATGTTTAAAAAAGAACCGTGACTTATCGGGATTTTTAATATTATAGAAATCCCCAAAACAGAGCTCCCAACATTTCAAATAGACAAAGAGGGAAACTTTCATTTTATGGGTGTGAGTTGGGGTGTGACATCCCGCTGTTCTGAAAAAATTGGAGGTAATTTATTAATATCAATTTATGCAACTGAAATGTAATTTAAAAAAAGAACAATGTATATTATTTACACAGACTGATTTCTTATTTTTTTAAAAAATTCTTTATTTTGTCGTGCCTGTTTTAACGGTTGCGATACATCAAACATTTCAAGGCAGGTACTCCAGGTTTGGGGTGTTAGGCATGCTTGTCGTCAAGAAGGTGTGGGGGCATGAGTGTGCCGTGACATGTCAGTGCATGCGTGCTTGCTGAATGCCAGCTGTTGTGTGTCGGATGGGTGCCGTGTGTAGTGTGCTGGACTAGGCAGTGTGTTTATTGGTTGGCATGTTTTCAAAGTATAGAACAGAAGTAATGGTCTGGCATTCTAGTTGTGACCCCTAACCCTGCGGGGGAGGAGGGGGGTTAAGGTAGTAAAACACCACTTGTCTCTAGGGAGCCTGGGGGTTCATGTTTCTGTGTTGGAAAAGGGACGACTTTTGATAAGCCTTAAAGGCAGTACGTGCTTTAGCCCATGTGACTCTTTTGTTTGGGGAGTATGGGTGTCCCCTCGTGTGTTTGCTAAACGTCGTGTGTAAACGCAAATATCAACATAAAAAATAAAGGTATCAATAAATGAACATTGTGTTTACTGTATTCTTGGTCTCCACGTGGCGGATCGCGCCTCTGGTTGTCTCGTTCCCTGGTTAACTTCAGGTGTTTGGGAGTTGTGGGCTCCTCGTTCCAAGGTTCAGTTACCATCTGTAGCGGATGGCACTGGGCTGTCCTGAGAAAGTACATGTATTTGAATGCATTAGTGTAAAGTAACAAAGTTCAATGTGTTAAATGTATTGTATTCGTCTGAAGGTTAGGTAGTTTCATTCCCTTAGTTTGTTCGAATGAAACTACCGAACAGTCAGACCTCCCCTGTGTGAAGTGTGCCTTCAATTACCCGTTGCAACATTGTTGCGAACGGGTAATTGACAAGCTGAGTAGCCATCCTTTGTTCTCGGGGGTGGCCGCCATTCGAGAAACGAACACGTGGCGGCGGCCATTTTAAAACTCCCGAACAGCGGTGTTTTGCCGTCGAGTGTCTGGAACTCAAAACGGACACTCGACTAGGCGAACACCGCTGAGACCTCCACAAGCCTGGTCCGTTCGGTTCCAAACTACCGAACGGCCCCTCGTTCGGTAGATAGAAATAACCGAACGAGGGGATTCAGGCGAACCCTCCCTAGTCTCTGTAGCTAGAGGCTTTCGTGCAGTTTATTCTCTGACTCCAGGACCGACCACAGGGCCCATTCGCATGGAACCTCATTCGGCTGTTCTCTCCAGTGCGGTCGGTCATTTTATTCCCTCCATGAATTTTTCCGAACCCCTGGTTTGATCTGGGTGATTTTTGGATATGTTGTTCACCCAGATCAGGGCTACCAGGGGATGTATAATTTAAAGTGGTACCCCTAAGTTTAGGGGTACATCCAGAAACGGGGGAAATTGGTGTCCTGGATAAGGGGATTATGATGCAGGCTGAGGGGAGGAGATGTGTGGGAGGTTACCAGAGCAGGATTGGCTACTGTACAAATTAATGAAAATCCCTCCCTTGCATGGGAGCAGGCTTTAAAAGGCCACTGTGTGAATAAATCTTGAGTTCTGCTCCTGATACTGCGTGTCGTCCAGTTATTGGGATTGCTGTGGGGATACTGCTGTGTTACTTTGCCTGCTGGGTACTTTACCCTATGGATTTATAATTGCTTGTTCCTGAACCTCCCTGGGATCTAAAGTGTAGATAGGCTGTGTAATACCAGCTCTCCGCTACACCATCCGTAGAGGGCATTTGCGTGGGTTGAAGTCCCAGTGCACGCACGAAAGCAGATGCTCCGCTTAGGGATGTGAGGTTGTGAGCAGTCCCTTGGCTTTTCTCAGGGTAGTAGTCACTGTTCCAAAGGATTTACGCCGGGGTAATGTTGCCCTGGTGAGGTCTTGGAAAAATAAGAGCTGGGAGTCACCAAACTCTAGTGGTGGTTTACCTTTCAAGGCTGACATTATTTGTATTTTGTGGTGTATTGTTACACAGCATAGTATGACATCCCGGGAAGTGTTGGGTTAGATGCGGACATAGCCTGACACATGGTATATCTCATCCAGGGTGATTTTCTTTGCGACCAGTTGTGACAGTATGGAAGACAGGAGGCGCCGAATGTAATGCAGCAGTTCTTCAGTAGTGACTCAGTATACTTCACGTATTTTGATGTGAGTCCGGCGTTGCTTTTCTTCAAGAGACATTATTTGGGCTGCCAGTACTTGTTGCTCTGCATGTAGTTGTTGGACTGAGTCCTGCAAGGTGGTCACAGTAGTGTGGACGTTTGCAATGTCGTTTTCTGAGGTTGTAACTCAGTCATAGACCTGTTGTATATCTCTTTTGACCAGGGCTACATCAGCAGCTAGTAGCTTCTGTATATACACCAGGAGTGCTTTCAGATCCCCTTTAGTGGTGGGGGCTGAGTCCTCTGCTGATATTGGGGTGGTGGTACATTCAGCCTGGGGGGTTTGTGTGTTCTGGGGTGCCCCACTGTCTGATTCTGGAGTGGAGGCCATGTTTGGCGGTAGGTCCGCGTGCTTGGGCTGTGCTGATCATAGCAACATTTCCCCAATGTTCCTACCTTGATTGCCGGTGCTGGTGGCGGGCTTCGGTGTGCGGCGACCCATAGTAGGTGTGCAGACGGCCGTGTTATGCGGGGAATACGCAGGGCAGCTGCAACCCTCTAGAAGCGCCTCGAGGCTCAGGATTGGCATTGCGCGGTAGGCCGTGGATTGCACCGATGCCAGGGTTGCTTGGCAGCCTGGAAGAAAGGCATCAATCAGCTCGGCTCACCTTTGTGGAGCCAGGTAGGTGCTTTTTGTGGTCGGATGGGCACTGAGTAGGGCGATATACCTCCGATTTTGTTGGGCTATCAGAGAGCGGATTGAAGTGGTGTCTTATCAGGATGGCTGTCAGGCTCCGCCCCCTACATAGACTGATTTCTAAACACATTTATTGTAGTTTAAATATACATTACTGTGAGTATTATTGCTGTGGAAGTATGTTATACACAGTCAGACACACCAACAATATTTTGCTTCTTGAAAAGAGGGACATAGAAAAAAGGGTTGGAGGGATTTGGGCTTTAATAGTGACCGTCTTTCCTAAATAGGGACACTTGGGAGGTATGAATCTTGCACTGCATTGTTTGTATTCAGGGTATTCAGCCCATGGGTAGAGCGCTTCAATAGTGCTCTGTGCAGCCTGGGTTGACATGTCAACGTTTGGACACGCCTAACTCCTTTCTGTGCAGGCACAACCCTTTTGGTATGAATAAATTGGAATTATTATTATATTTATATAGCTCCAACAAATTCCGTAGACTAACAGACATGTAATTGTAACCAGACAAGTTTGACACATAGAAACAAAGGGGTTGAGGGCCCTGCTCAATGAGCTTACATGCTAGAGGGAGTGTGGTAAAGTAACACAAAAGGTAATGGAAGGTTTAAATAATTGTTTTGTTAAATGCACAATTTAAATACCCCAACCACTACACACACACAAACACACAAGCACACATAAAGTAAATAAAAAATAAGGCCCTGGGGAGATAGCGCAGCTAAGCGGACAAGGGCACATGTAGGAGTGTGGGGATAGATCCAGGGGAGTGACTTGGGAAGTGTGGTGGGAGGGGTTAGGTTTAATGAGAGTTAGTGTGGGGGAGGTATTACTTAGTGCCACTTAGGATACGGGCCAGCAAACAGCTTCCCTCCCGCCCACCCCTTTGTAGTTTTAGTTAGTCACAGCTAGCCGGGGGTATGTCCTTGCCAATTAAGTTTGAGGGTTTAAGTTTAAGTATGGAGTAAGTTTTTATGTTTTGCAGGTCTCAACCTCCCCTGCTTCAAAATGTTAAACATTAGGTTGCCTAAGGTATCGTGCCCATCGAGCGTGGATAAGGTCGGCTGATGGCGGGCATTGGAAGGATTTTTTATGACGAGGGGGGAGATGAGAGGAAGTGGTGATTAGGAACCACTGGATGTTTATTGGCAAGGACGGTTGGGTCTCTGCATAGCACTATGTTTTAGTTATTATATGTACATATGTTAATTTATGATTATTTATTTCTAACAGAAAGAAGAGTTTAATAAATAAAGTTATGGATGTGTTATGCAGTAATTTATTTATGTTATAATAAATGCTGTGGCCTGTTCATCCATACTAAGTTGTCTGTCGTTATTGGTTTTTTTTTTATTGGAGTTATCTATTTTTATGTGGCATCGTAATTCCCCGCTACATACATACAAGGAAATATACATTGTGTTTACCAATAAAAAAACAAAAGAATGTGTGCCCATATAAGAATATACACTCACAAAATTAGGGTGCTGGTCGAACTATTATTACTCTGGGAGAGCCTCTGGTTCATACAATATGCAGAAATTCCAAGATGGTCTTCCCAGAGTATAAGCAGATACGCAATGGATTATGTTCCCCAGCATCTTTAGGTGGCAAGCTGGACTTCCAAGTATACATCCTCCTTCATTACACACGGACAGCTCACCCACGCTGTCCAAACCTCTGTGAGGTGTGTCACCAAAACATGAATACACACTCGTATTAATGAGTCTATATACATAAGGTGACAGTAGAGAAATGTTATGTAAAAAGACAAATTCTGGAAACCTCGATTTAATGATAAAATAACTATATTCAGCTACCAATCGATGTTTGGTGAACTACTTAGATCATTTGGTTCACCAATACATTGCTCCCTGGACTACCGCTACAGGCACAAATAAATACGTGCAAACATTTGTTTTAGGCGATTCGTCTGAATAAACTTCCTTGTATCAATAAACAGGAATTTCATTCAAACTAATCACTTCAAAAAATGTTTGTTTATGTCTTGTCACAAATATGGAATCAGGACTCAACATGCCGTTTAAATCTTTCTCATTCTATTATTGTACACCAACATAACAATGGCAAATGTTTAATTCCTGTTTTCTTTCCCTTTGTCTAGAAACGTGTTACATCACTGATTTATAAAAGTATATTATGAAATCACATCGCAGGATGTGATGTCATATTTTCTGATTAGTTGTGTATTGACTCAATATACTACTCGAGTATGATCGTCAGTTGGCAAAGATTTTATACAAAGTACAGGATAATCGAATAAGAAATTACCAAGTTATGTTAAGATTGCTGGAAATGTGTAATGTTTTGTATACAAATAAAGATTCCGATGACACTTTTCTCAGTGGTGTTTGTTTTATGTTTTGGGTAAAAGAGACAGTGTTTGTTTATAAGAATCATGTTTGTTTATTCCCTCAATAGATAATAAACAAATATGCTTCCCAGAAACAAACATACAGGGCTGTTCACTAAAGTTCGTGAATTTAAAGTGAATTTAAAATTTTAAGCCAACAAAGTCAAATAGTGAAAATGTGTCTTATAATTTATTTTTTTTCAAATTCAGCTATTTTGCCCTAAAATTTTACATGTCTGGTGTTCAAATGTTTAATAAAACCGGAAACCAGTGTTTTTGGAAAATTTAGATTTTGGTTAGAGAAAGCTTTTCTGTGCTGGACCCCTCCAAACCAAGCAATCAAAACCCCTAAAATGCATCTCCTTTGCTCGATTGCCGAGCCCGAGTTCTCACCTAGCCCTACCTCCTTTGGCTGATGTTACTCCCCATCACTGGAGGTTGGAGGGAGGTAGGTCGGGAGGGTTGACTGAGGGAAGGTCATAGGGGTTGGGAGTGCTAACATTGTTTGTCTGACACCAGCATGCTCTGCGTTCTGGCGACAGATGCCGGTTTAGCACAGAATTGATATTAGCCTGACCAGATCTCTGGTTCCAGACTGGCTAATGACTCCAAATGATGCTGCTGGAGGCAGAGTTACACCTTCGGCAGCAGAGGGGTTAATCTCCGTATGTGCAGACTCCAGGCAACATGACCACTTCAGATCACCGAAGTGGTCGTGGTGGTTGCAGTAATTCTTTAAGGCTTTTGTGATTCTTTACATCCTCTATAATATTTTAAAACTAAATAATAATAATGAATAATGCAATAAACTACTCTTTTTAATATTCCATTGTGCTGACATTCTTGGATCTGACATTTACACTGTATACTCCAAGTACAGCTCAATCACGATGACTCTAGTCCCCATTCTGTACTTCCCCTCAGTCCTCAGACACCAGGTGGCATAGCTGGTCTGTTGGGTGATCGACAGGAGTGAGGATAATAAAGGTGTCACATACGGATATTCTGTGACTTAGTACGTCTATCATAAAAGGGAAGATAAATTGTGTAAATTGCATGAACATTTAGCCAATACACCATGAGCAAACACCTGCGTTTATAGGGTATTATGTGCCTTATTTTTGTACGTTTGTACAGGTATATCACGCTAATAAAGCATGTGAGAATTCCCACCAGGGCAGTATTTCGAATATCACACTAAAGTCAATCACATGCTTTTTTTATTTGTCACTCAGTGCATATAAAATCTTTAAAACATGTTTACGCTGTCTTAACTGCCAAGGTAGATAAAATGAAAAAGTGGATCCACACCTTCTAGTGGTTCGATGGTATGCAAATCTATCAGAAAATAATTAAACACTAAGTACGCTATCTTCTTTTACGTTAAAGATTTAAATATTAGGGCAAATTAACACTGTTTCAAACGGTTAGCTAACTAAAACGCCGCACTTATATACAAAAAAAATAAAAAATAAAGATAGGATGTTCAATTTTGTCCTCTCTGTATCCAGGTGCCTTCATTAATTAGCAATTGCATTAAAATCCAACATACATTTGGTTAATAATAGTTGATTCGTAACATAACAAAATATTTTGTAGCACTCCAAAAACTTAAATGCCTCAAAATGTAAATCCATATCATTTTCATGTTTAGGGTAAATAAATAAAATACCCTGTACACCCCATTTGACCTTCAAACAATGAATTACCCCTATACCTGGTGTCCTCTCCAATAGGAGAATGATCTAAGTGTGGCAGTAAGCAGCAAGGGGCTGGGTTAATACAGGTAATGCCCTAAGGTGGGGAACATAAGTCACATGGGACACTTCCTGAGTAGAGTGGGACAGATAAACTTTGAAACTGAGCTACAGGTGGAGCATTTTGTGCTCAGGAGATGAAGATTGCTGGATAGTTGATTCAGACTGGTGCTACAGCACAGACTCAGCAGTGACACTGCACAGCAGATCAGACAGGTAGGAGGGAGTGTCAGATACTGGGAAGATACAGTTACAAGAATATAATCTGTACAGCAGAGAGGAGGGTGAGATAAGGACAGGTGAGGTTTGCATTTTGAGAACAGGTATACAGAGCAAAAAATATACATACACAGTCTAGGATCCTCCAGAAGCACCCAATGTACCACCTCTACCTGGGAGTCAGACCTCCACTGTTCAACATGCACTTGTTATGAATTCAATCTGCACCTTCAGGTAAGGGACTGACCAGGTAACTGACTACCTGCCCAGTAGGAGACTGTTTGATCTGTTGGACAGTTGTAGCTTCAATGAATATTTGTGAACTAGGTTTATTGTATACTAGATATAGTACCCATTGCTCACACAGTAATTCCATACTCAGGTTAGATCACAGGTACATGGAATTTGATCTGCATTCCCTTTAGAAAAAAACTAAACATTTATTATACAGTAAACTGTGTTTATACTTTTAAACGTATTTATCGGTCTAATATGAAGTCTATATGTCTATATATCTATCTAAATTGTAATGTATATAAATTTTGTGATGTAGACTAAATATCTATGTCTGTCTAATGTGGAGTCTAGATATATGTTAATCTATTTTATATGGTGTCTATGTATATGTATTTATTTATCTATTTATGTATCTAGTCATTAGATACACAATAATTATTTCAGCCATGCTCATAATTATTATATCATAGTTATTTCTCATTGTGATTCACTATTTCTTAATAATTATCTCAAATACCATTTTCACATATCACGAGATTAGAATTTCAAGCTTTCAAAGAATGAGGAATTCTGGATCCAAATAATTTATGTTTTATGTTTACCCTAGTAATCTTTGGGGCGAAATGGATCTCTATTAAACAGTGAATGCTCACTAAGGATGTACACATTAAATAAACCAAATAGATTAATTTAGGGTGATTGCTAATATTAGATTAGTACTAGTGGTTCGTGTCCAAATTTGACAGAATTGGATGATCGATAGTGCAACCTCCAGCACTTCAGATGCTGTGGACTACATCTCACATAATTATTTGAAAGCATAAAGCATCAGGAGAGATGTAGTCCAGAGCATCTCAGCCGCTGCTGATTGCCTACCCTTGCCCTAAATGCTGATCCTACTGTTCCTTAACCCCTAGTTTGAAAACTTCTGATTGGACAAGTAAATAAGCTATTTTATTATTATGCCACCACAAATGTTTGTAGATTTATAACTGTTAATAAAACTGGCATTAAAGTAACTTAGAACAATTTTCATGGTGCACTTAAAATACACTCCTTAAATGTATTACTTGATTTACTAAACATTAGGCTGTACCATAAACAAGTATAATTTATTTACACGCTGTAACCTACTGTGTTCTCGTCATTGAGAATTCAATTTACCTTTTGTAATCTTCTATTTACACACAGATAGACGTATTAACTGGTCCCTTTTCAGTTAATTATAGTTAATATAAAACAATTTATCTTTAAATAAACATTAACCAATATCCTTTCTACAATATACATTGAAAAAACAAAACAAAATAATAAAATACTGATAAGATGATACACGTATAAAAAAGGATTGAAATCCCAAATAATATAAAAGAATATTAGACCAGTCCAAATAAAAATATTAGTTCTGGTACAAAATGAATCACAAAATAGACAAATAATTGTAAAACATATTATGAAAATAGTTTAATATGTACTGTCCAATTCTAATCTGTTTTCTTAATATCTCTTTGCAGTGACTGAGAGTAATCATTGAATTTGAAGATGTCGGAGTTTTGGTTAATTTCAGTGCCAGGGGATAATGCCAATTTAACAGCATTGGACAGGATGAATACTGTCACCTCCAAAGCTAACCTGTCCAGCAATGCAAAGTTTGTCATACCTGATCTAAAGGTAAGTGTGCAATCTGCTGGTAAGTGTGCTGTGATAGAATTAAAGGCAAACTGTCACGGTCAAACCATTTGAAACTCTATCTTTACCTATTCCCTGTATTTAACAAAAATGTATTTGTTATGTGTGAAAATGAAATTTAATGTAATAATCCACAACTCTTTATGCTGTAACTGGGTGCCGACAGCTAAAAGCTCTGTTTCTTGGCACGTGGCAGAAAGCATAAAGAAAACATACAAAGATGTGTCTATTTCTCTTCTTCCTCTGTCAAGGCTATGGGTTTTTCCTAATCTGAACTGGATTACAATGTAATTTGCTAAATCATTAATATAAATCTAAAAGAAGTCATAGCATCTCACCAAAAAAGGCCACAAGATATAGGGGATTGTCAATGTTTTATACAGCGGTGTTAATTATAGAGAGTTTTCCTTTAAATATTAAGCTTTTGGCATTAGTCACTAAAAGTTGGAAAGTTGGAATCATGAACAAATGGAATAGAGAAGGAAAATAAAACTGTATTTAAAAAAATAAATAAAAACTAGACCCAAATACAAGAAATTAAATAAAATATTAACAGCTGTTTTCCACCTCTCCTATTAAGGCCTTAAATGGGCAAATCTTACTGAAATTCCCCAATTTTTGTCTTTGTGAATAACCCTATCATTTTTTAAAGGAATAAAGGTTTAATACTTTAATATTACCTTATTCATAGCACTGGATTTTAGCTAAACGTCATCCTTAAAGGGACACTTCAAACAACTAAAGCAGTTTAGCTTGCTGATGTGCTTTATGAGTGAGGAGTGTGTCCTTTTTCTTTCATTATACAAAAATTGCAGATTTCAATAGAAATCTGAATTTTTTTTATAAATTCATCTTGTTACACTGCAGTCCTGTTTCTTCCTGGTTGTTTAGCTCAGTGGAGAATGGAGAGACAGCAATTGCCCAGATCACCTGCCTTGTAAAGACTTCTCATTGAGCAGCATTGGGAAAGTCTGTGATTGGACAGTCACAGAAAGTCTGTGCGGGGTTAGAAGGGGAGGGCTTGTAAATGGTGAAAATAGCAGTTTTGCAAGCTGTTTTTAGATCTAACAAATATTTTAAAAATGCACAATTAAATGTTTTCAATGAGGGTATATCTACTGCATTCTATTTTATTTTACTTTTTTATTTTATTATATTTTATTTCATTTAAGCAGTGAAGCATCCATATAAAAACTGATGTATTTTGGCATATATTGAGTACACATATAAATGAACAAAAGCGAGTCTGATAAATATGAATGTTAATAAGTAATTGGCCAGGCACAGCGGGGGAAAGGGAGTGAATGGAGGAAGCAACAGTTCCAGCAACAGTATCTTACGTTGCAGTTGTTGTAGTCGTTTATTCCTACACCTGCTGCTTCTTAACCCCGCCACTTGCTTAATTTTACCCTTTTCTGGAACTGAGATTCTTGAATGCTGAGTACCTTTGTGAGTAGGTGGGCATTCATACTGCTGATGGTCAGTTCTAGTTCCTGTGTGCTAGTTGAGGATAATGCATGTTTAATAAATAGCAACTAATTAAAGTCTAGACTCTCTAGTGTAATCACTATTAGCACAGGTAGACTGAAACTCATTGCTACTAGTTTACAAATAGCACGTAGACATTTATTTCAAGGTCATCATCAATTGGAAGGTCGGGTAGTGAACTTTTATTCTCAGTTAGTAGAAATTTTGTACAAACTGGTCAGTCTGCCCTGGCCCTATCTGGATGATGCACCCTTTATTAAGTCATTTTGCTAGAACTGGCTCATACTGACTTTAGTGAATGATGACTTTGAGATCTTTGTGTAAAAACACACGGAATGCTCTACTTGATTTTTGTTGAAAACAAAACGTGCCTGATCACTCTTCGTTTACAGTTAACAAATGTAAATCTGTTTGTGGCGATTTTTTTCTCAGTTAAAGGGACGCTGTCAGGTGGATTATAAAGATAAAGCTCTAAAAATAAATGCAAACATATCATTGAGAATATAAAAATAAAGGAAAAAAACACTCTAAATAAAATAAATATATTATTTTTAAAGCTAGACGCTGTGGCTTTTGTCCTTAGAGTATTCCTTTAAAAGTAACAAAATGTGTAAAAAATATACTCACATTTGAAGTTCCTGCATTTGTTGCAAATCCCTTTGCTTTGCAGGGTCAGAAATTAGCACTAACCAAATCAGGAAATGATTCAACCAATCATGATTCTCGCTTCAAGAGACACAATAGTCACCCAAACCACTTCATCTCAATAAAGTGATCTGGGTGCAGTGTACCCTGTTTTTTTTTTTTAACACTGCAAAGTAAAACATTATCATTTTGAGAAACTGTAATGTTTACCTTGAAGGATTAAGGCCACATCTAGTGGCTGTGAGTGTGACAACCACATAATTCGCTTTCACAACATTGACCGACATGGGCCAAAGCATACTATGAGTACTTATGGATAGGACTTTGGCAAATGAGGCCATTACTCTTTCGTGATGTCGCTGGAGGTGAAGAAGTGCTGGAAAAAATTAAGCCGTTCTTTTTTATTTTTTTTTATTTTATTGCACCCGGTGGGGAACCTGAATAATTGTAGGGACAGGAACACTATCGATTTGTACAGATTTGTATTCCTAACACTACAGTGTTCCTTTAATGTCCTTTAATGTAGCTGAGATTATCCCATAAAATCATGTGATTCTGAGGATTGCAGTTCTGCAGAGGATTCTGGGAATTTCCAGATTCCTCCTGTAGTAATCTAAAAGCTGAACTACAACTGGTAGAGAGATAGTTCTGAAATGATATACATTGGTACTTTTTTGCAGTAAAAAGGACACCCTGTAGTTTGGGAGGGAGAGACAGAAAGGATGCTCTTATAGAGCAAAACTATATTTTTAAACTAAAGATTAATAGAAAAAAAGTCTCACTTTATTCTATCATAAACATTACTTCTATTATGTGTGATTGCCCTTTAAGGAGCCTGCAAATCATTGGTTTATTTACTTACAAAAATATTGTATTCTGCCCGCTAGAGCCATGATTTAATATTTTTGGATACATTTTTTTTTTTGGTTAATCTTTTAACATGATTTTTTTTTTAATATTAAAATGTCAAAAATATACCAATATATAAAAAAGTATCAAAATATTAAAATAGTGTTCAAAAGATGAAATATATGAAAATAAAATCAGAAAATAATTTGAAAAGCTTATCCTTTACTATTAAATCGAGGCCTCGTTTTAAGATTGGTTTTAAAAACAACATAATCTATAAAAAGTGATCAAACTACAAAAATCAAAACCTTTAAAAAGCTTTCTTTTCACTGTTTTTTTTTGTTTTTTTTTTAATTGGTATGATTTTGTTTGCTAAACATCTCATATAATGCAAATAACACATAGCTGACCTTTCCCTTATCTGTCTTATATTCATCCTTTTGTTATGTATATAGCACATGTACAACAAGCTTCAATGTAACCCCATAGAAAAGTTGTGCTTTTTAAATATTTTTAAATCGATACCCTTTTTTGTTGTTGACATTGATACAGTAACAGCATTTTTTTTGTCTCTTTTTTTTTTCTTTAGGTGGGAACGTTAGATGCTTTAATTGGTCTTTCTGATGAGTTGGGGAAACTTGATGTCTATGCGGAAGGGTAAAATATCCCTTTGTTTACTACACACAACCCACGAGCTGCTATTGTTTTCTCATACACAACAATCCTGACTGAGCCAAACTCAGTTCTGACTTGCTCTGGATTTAAAGATTAAAAAAAAGTGTCTGAGTTTGGTTTGGGAAAGGTGACAAGCCTGTTTATGCGGAGAGATATATAGGGAGATATGCTTACATTAAAAGAACACTCTTAACATGAATGATACATTTATATTTTAGTTTGAAAGTGTTTCTGTGGACTTTTAGATTGTGATAAAAGATTTAGCATGGTCCCATCATACTTCTTGACCAATGGCTGATGGGAAAAAGAGACGAAAATTCTGCGTTTGGCATATATTGCCGAATATTATAAATTACATGAGACAAAATAGTCCCGTTACATGACAGTCAAAAAGATCTTTTCATAAATATTGTGTAAAACTAATAATACAAAACTGGATATCGTTACAAAAACCGATAATGCAATAATTATAATAACTATCAATTGTTTAAGAAGGGATATCTTCCATAATTGCGATTAGGGACCAGCTCCATCATTTAATCTCACCTTTCGATTGAAACTACTTTAATTTCTAGAGAAGGTCTGTCTTTCGAGATACACTTACGTTTCTAAATCTTATAATTATATCGTTCTTAAAAACATTTTATTCATGAATACTACTCCCTTTTGGGACTTATGTTGTTATTCAATGTTTTGTTTTCTTTATTCTTTTATTATAAGACTATGCCAGTGTCTTAAAGGAACGGTTTAGGCACCATAACAACTTAATTGAAATCCCATTGATAAAACTGACTTGAAATTAAACGTACCTTTTTCAAGCCAGTTTTATGAATGGGGATTCACCTATTGACTGAGAGCGTCAGCTGATCATTCTCAACCAATCAGCAGCGCCACTGCCTGATTCTGCAAGAGCCTTCCAGGTTAGAGATATTGATAGGCAAAGAAGCAGGGAGATTTACCCCAAAGTCTGGAACATAGACTTTGGGGTAAACCATTCAAGATAGGCTAACCTCTTAAGGCAAGCCAGCACCAGGGACCTCCTGTTACCATAATAACAACTTCATGTTGATATAGTTATTGTGTTACCCAAATTGTTCCTTTAAGTTATGTTTACAAATGAAACATTTACATATTAACCACTGTTTCATATTATTACGTGTCTATTCCTTTGATATAGTCATGATGTCTTTAATGCATTATAAAACCAAATAAAGATAGAATTTAAAAAATAAATAAAATAAAATGCTGTATGCAGTTAAACGATGGATTAATTAGTCATTTGGTACAAATGCCGTATGCAGTTAAGCAAAGGATTACACCCAGTGGTAGAAGTGTATAATCACTCAGATTACACCCTGTGGCTGTAGTGTATAATCACTCAAATTACACCCAGTGGATATAGTGTATAATCTCTTAGATTACACCCAGTGGCTGTAGTGTATAATCACTCAGATTACACCCAGTGGCTGTAGTGTATAATCTCTCAATTTACACCCAGTCGCTGTAGTGTATAATCACTCAGATTACACCCAGTGGCTGTAGTATATAATCACTCAGATTACACTCAGTGGCTGTAGTGTATAATCTCTCAATTTACACCCAGTGGCTGCAGTGTATAATCACTCAGATTACACCCAGTGGCTGTAGTGCATTATCACTTAGATTACACCCAGTGGCTTTAGTGTATATTCACTCAGATTACATCCACAAACTGTAGTGTATATTTACTCAGATTACACTCAGTGGCTGTAGTGTATAATCTCTTAGATTACATTCAGTGGCTGTAGTGTATAATCTCTCAGATGCTATCCAGTGGGCGTGGCCATTGTGTATATATGAAATAATTAATGATTTATTAAATGTCCCCACTGGTTGTAGTGTATTATGTAGGTACTGCAGATAAATGAATGCAGCACAGTATCCTTAGAGGTAGGGAGGGGGAAGGGGTCCTCAATGGGAACCAAGCAGGCAAAGGTTAACAATAATATGAATCAAATAGTATATTCCAATATAAAATAGGACACTTGTAACTTGATACTTGCCAGCAAGTTCGTTTAGTGTATAAAGAAATATATCTGCTATGTGACAGGGTTTAAGTTAAATATGTACATATACTCTAAACAGGAAGATTATTTAGAACGTATATAGTAATATAATTAATTATTGCATGGCCATCTGTTTTTTTAATTATTTTTTTTATTATTAGTTCTTTTTAGCGTTACTATTACACGTTTTCTTCATATTGTGTTTTAATCTTGATTGTCTATTTTAATGATTATTGGTAAATTGGATGGTTAATTAACATATGTTACTCCAGTATTGATCTGATTGGTGACTAAGGGATGATGAAATCAATAAGGGTATAACAAGATTCCAGGTCTTGGAGAGTATCAGAAGCAGATTGTTTACCCAGCTTTATTAAGTGGTCTGGGAGCCAGGTCCCCCTGGTCCCCCTAGTTTTAACCCTAGAGAAACTGCTATGTTTACACTGTAGGGTTAGTCTAGCTTCTAATGGCTGTCTCCCTGACAGTCTCTAGAGGCCACTTTCGCGATTTACACAGAGTAAATCGCACTTATTTGACACTGGACATCCTCACGGCGTCAAAAAAAGATTCCCATAGGAAAGCATTGAGTAATGCGTTCCTATGGGCAGGTTTGAATCGCCGCGCATGCGCATTCGGCTCCACTCGGGAGCTGACCTCCGCGGGGGAGGAGCGGTCACCAGCGCCAAGGGAGCCGGGCCCTGGATTAAGGTAAGTGGCTGAAGTGGCCGACGGAGGGGGGCATGCCAAGAGCCTATACTGCCAGGAAAACGGGTTTGTTTTCCAGGCAGTATAGGATCCCTTTAAAGCTCTTTATCGCTTAATTTAGTGTATTTGTGCTAATTGTTCCAATAATTAGTCCAGGCAGAGGCATTGCTTGGTTCCAGAATCTCCTGGGATTTCCCCCCAAAGGAAAACTTGACGACCCCTACACTAACAGAGAGGTGGAGCTATTTCAGGAGATATCCCTCCCTGCCTTGCTACGTTATGCTCCCTCCTCTAAACCCGTGAACAATCTGCTTCTGATACTCTCCAAGACCTGGAATTAAAGCATAGCATATTCTGCTCATCCGGATATTCAATGTGATCCCACCATGCTACATATCTGATCAAGGAGAGTGCAGCAAAGATATGTTTGCCAGCACCACCTGGGGGGCATCGCCCACTCCCCTAAGTAGCCTGGCAGAGCCCTGTACTACTAATCTTTTTTTGTATAACGGATGGCGGTGTAGTTGGAGTAGCAACAGCCTGATGCAAAATAATAATACTTGAAAAAAAACTAAAACACTAATAATCCCCCCACCTCCCCCCACACCAACCATAGAGATCTTGGACTAAAGAGCTCCACATCTGGGGGATCAGACCCCAAGTCAATCTCCTCATCCATCCCCCAAGCTATGCCTATGATTCCAGGGCTAATCATAAAGATTAATAGTGATGGAAAGTTCCAAACTGGAACATTCGCCATGGAAACTAAAGGATTTCTCCTGAAGATTTCACCACGTTTAGAACGTTCCCCCTACATAGCCTGCCATGCCTAACTCCCATCATCAAATTAATGTTGTTTAGCTTATAGCATTTTTCTTTTTTTGGGACCCACATTACACCAAAACAGATAAAAACCCCTCTACAACCATGTACGTTAATACCAGGCAAAAGTGTTTGGAAAGGAACTGCCATTTCACAGGATGTGGACTACATCTCCTCGGTTGCTTTGCCAGCCTGCAATGGTAGAACTTGCCCCTTGTATACATTAATATATTTAACGTTAAAGCAATACTGTGCTTATTCCACACTTTATATATGTGTTTATCAACCAATATAGTTACATGTTGCTCAAAGTATATTCACATTTTCATGGTCTCTAGATTAATGGGTCGATTCTCAGTATTAACGGACAGAATCTAAGAGTAAATGGGCCGATTCTCAGTATTAACGGACAGAATCTTATAGTAAATGGACCGATTTTGAGTGTTAATGGACAGAATAGGAGAGTAAATTGGCCGATTCTCAGTGTTAATGGACAGAATCTGAGAGTAAATGTCATGATTCTCAGTGTTAATGGACAGAATCTTAGAGTAAATGGGCAGATTCTCAGTGTTAATGGACAGAATCTTAGAGTAAATGGACCGATTCTCAGAGTTAATGGACAGAAGCTGAGAGTAAATGAGCCCATTTACTCTCAGATTCTGTCCAATAATACTGAGAGTAAATGGGTCGATTCTCAGTGTTAATGGACAGAAGGGTATATGGGCCAATTCTCAGGGTTATGGTAAATCTTCAGGATCTCGGCAATGATTGGACAGATTTTCAGAGTGAGCAGATTCTCACGGTGAATGAGAAGATACAAATGGTCTCAGAATTTCCAGGAATGTTCTGTGCTGATTTGATGACACTTGATACTCACAATTCCACAAATGCCATTGTTGATATCACCAACTGACTACAGATATATAAGTGGGCATATGTGGCTTAATTATGCCATTTTGACAGGTTGGTACGTATAATGTGTACTGGCTGCTACAGGGTTAAACTTATGAAATATGTCAAGGTCATCCGATTTCAGGTTCTGAGATATAATAACACCTGTGCAGGCTTCATGCTCTGCTATGACAGCTTATCTCCTGTGTTATGGGATATACAAAATCCAAGGAGCATAGCCTGTAAAACAAGGCAGCACGAACCTGTCAGCTCTACCTCTATCCAGGACGAGATAGCGATGGACTATTTCACAGCTTGTTTTTTCCATCTAGTTTGATTATTTATTTATACTGGGCAGTCTTTGAGTGTTTTTCCATTGTCAGCCTTGGACAGTGGTACATTTTCTAAAGCTTATATTGTGTTCTTGTAAAACATCTTCCTAATGAAAGAGTTCATATTCTGTACGTGCATTTACACCCAGTGACATGTATTTTTACAAGTAGTTTTTTTTACTTTTACTGTATAGTATTTGCAAAACAATATTTAGAATTTTATTGGGTTTAAAACAGGGGTCCTTAAAGTCATATTACCCAAAGGGTTGCCCAAAATGGGTCCTAATGACATTTCTCTAAACAGTCCAAGATCTGTCAGAACAGTCCGACCTCCAGATTAATACCTTGTAGAGATGGGTATTATGTTATACCAGTGGCTAGAACAGCATAGCTGCCCACTATAAATGATTCACTATAGTATTATTATATTTATTATTATTGTTGGTATTTATATAGTGCCAACTTATTCCGCAGCACTTTACAATATTATAAAAGGGATAAATTTAACAATAAATGAGACAATTACAAAATGTTACAGGAACAATAGGTTGATGATGCTCAAAGGAGCTTACAATCTACAGGAGGTTGGATCTAAAAACACAATAGGACCCCCCTAGGATATGCCGAATGCAAGTCTAATTATCTTATTATATATAAAATGTGCCAATAGACTGTCACGGGTGGCGGTCCGAAGACCGGGACCTCTATGTGCCTGATGAGGATGATTGGAGTCTCAGTGTGGAAATAGACAATCAGGGTCTGGTTTCATGGCAATCAAACAACAAGGAGGAAATGTAGCAGATCTGGGGGTGAGAGTAGAGTGCGGCCCTTCAGGATAGAGCAAGAGACAAGTTTGTGAAATGGAAGTTATTCCGGGAGGCCATAAGCTTTTCTGAACAGTAGCACAGTCTTCCTAGTGCATGGTAGACACATTTAAGTCTGGGAAAAACATTTGATTTTGACAAGTGTTTTGCAGAATTTACATTAGGATATATTAAATTACAGTTGAATAATGGATCACTGAGATTATTTTACAACTGAAGAGTCAACTTTCTTGCTAATGATATGTACGCAATTTAGTTCCCCATCAAAAGAGGTCAAGAAGTAGTAAGTTGAAGAATATCCGCACGCAGATCGCATTTAATCACTGATACTTTGTTTATTCACTAAACAGCTAGTTAAAAAATTAGTTTCTAATACAGGTAAACTGCCAATATTATTTGATATTTTTTTTCTCCTACTTTAAAGGATCACTATAGTGTCAGGAAAACAAAGCGGGTCCCCCTCCCGTGGTGCTGAAGGGGTTAAAACCCCTTCAGCCACTTACCTTTATCCAGCGCCGGGCTCCCTCGGCACTGGTGACCTCTCCTCCCCTGCCGACATCAGCTCCCGACTGGAGTGGAATGCTCATGCGCGGCAAGTGCCACGAGTGCATTCAAATAGTCCATAGGAAAGCATTTCTCAATGCTTTACTATGGACGCCCTGCGCGATGGTTGCAAAATTCGCATCCAGTGTTGCAGATGCGCCTCTAGCGGCTGTCAGGAAGACAGCCACTAGAGGTTGGCTTAACCCCTAATGTAAACATAGCAGTTTCTCTCAAACTTCTATGTTTACATCTGAAGGGTTAAAATCTGGGGGACCTGGCACCCAGACCACGTCATTGAGCTGAAGTGGTCTGGGTTACTATAGGGTCCCTTTAAGATATTGTGCTCACAGATGGTGTAAATGTAAAGTATTGATGATGATGATGATGATGACAACCAGTATTTTGTGGCCTTGTTTTGTCATCCATCAATGACAATAGAATATAATAAATCCCATCATGAACACATTTCGTTCTTACCATAGGTATCATGTGCTGATATGTACACCAGTAAATCCCAGTGTGTAATAAAACAAAAAAAACATATATATGTTTAACATAATTTTCTGTACATTCCAGGTGCACATTTGTATGTAAATGGACATATTGGCTGATTCACAATTACTGTCATGGACACATTGTTTGTGTATATGTGAGGTAGAAGTGGTCTTTATAAAACCACCTAGGTAAATGAGAAACTTTAAGAATCTATTAAAACAAACAAATGGAACTTTCTGTCCAGAGTTCTTTGTACGTGGCATAAACTACATGTAAAATTATGTCTGAGGGGTGTGGATAATTTGTGGCGCAGTATTCATTTTTTCTAGTGACACATTTTTATATAGCGCCAATATATGCTGCACCACTTTATGATTATAGATGTAAAACAAGTATTTACATGAAAAGTAAAGTTGAGGTGAAGAGGGCCCTGGTCAAATGAGCTCACAATCTAAGAGGAAGGGAACGAAGAACACAAGAGGATTAAAAAATTGTCAGAGGGGTGGACAGGGTGGTGGATATGATGCATGTGTTTAGTTAATTCTGGCAATCTAGAATGGAAGGAGAGGACGAGTTGAGTGGACAGTGAAAGTGTAGCTGGGGGGTTGGAGGACTGTTAAGTTGCGAGAAGTTACCCAGAAATAAGCTTTCCTAAAGATACTTTTTCTTAGAATGTGGTTGAGCATTTAATAGAAAGGGTGCAGTCCAAGAGAAATCCTGTAGACAAGAATTAGCTGAGGTGGATCGAACAGAGGACAAGAGAACCTCATATGGACACACACTAGTTAGAATGTTTCGGAGATAAGGATTATGGCGAGCCTCAGTTCGGCGGTTGGAATATTTATGTGTTTCTTATACAATCTTTCTATGTGTTTGATAATATGTAATTCATAGAACATATTAGTACACATTATGAATTGTCCTCTTTTATATTTGATTTTAGTTTTAAATCTATCAGTCCAATGCAGAGAAACTGGTTTTGTGGGCCAGTGGAAAGTGGAAACCCCATTTTGGCCAATGGTTTAATTAAGAAAATATCTATTGTTCTTCAGGATTTTAATGTCTGATTTATTACTTTGCAACTGTAAATATAATGTAAGGCTAAGGAGATCTATGGCAAACATACTTACATGCGAGTTTGAACAGTGTGTGAGCACAGACTTTAAAATGGTCTAAAACTTTATACCATGACCACTAGTGTGCCTTGAGGACTTTTTTTAGGAACACTTATTGAATAAAGATGAAGTCCACCAATGTGTGTCAGCAGGGCCGGACTGGGAACTAAAAACAGCCCTGGAAAAAAATTCTATACCAGCCCAATAATGCGTCGCGCCAGCATAGTGTCCTGATTAAGAGGGTGAAAAAATAACTTGAAATTGAAAACTCTTACTCCAACGAAAGAACGCATATATGGCTTCAAAATAAACAAAAGAGCACCTTTATTTTAAGTAGACGTACATTTGCATGTAATCAATGTTTCAGTACAACTACTTTGGCCTATTAAGGACATTTTAGTAATGGTACTGAAATGCTGAATGTCTGCAGTTGCACAACTAAAAAATTAAGTGATCTTGTTTATTTTGAAGTTCTATGGGTGCGCTCTTCACTTTGAATATGTTATTGTGCATGAGTATGCAACTAGCAACAAGACTGGGCCAATATGTGCTCATTACATGTGTGTGTGTGTGTATTACTGTCAGGATCACATCAATTTACGTCTATTACCTTTACCTCGTTTAGTGTATCTTGTCTCCAATTGTCTCCTTTTTTTCTCTTACAGCGACCCTTGTGCATCTTTTACTTCATCCCAGCCCCTGTGTGTTTCTTTTTACCCTTCTCCAGCCTCTGTATTTCTCTTTCCCCAGCCCCTTTTGTGTTGTTCTTAGCCCCAGCCACTTTGTCTCTTTCTCCCCTTCCAAATCTCATCTGTGTGTCTCTTTCTAACTCCAGACTCTGTGTGCCTCTTTCTCTTCTCCCAGTCACTCTCTGTCTCTTTTTTCCCCAGCCCAGCGTTGCCTCCCACAAATCTTGTGTCACTTTGTTCCCCTTCCCTACTGTATGTCTCTTTGTCCCCCCAACAAACCTTCTGTGTGTCTCTCTTCCCCATCTCCTCTCTGTGTCTCTCTTCCCCATCTCCTCCCTGTGTCTTTCTCTTACCCCTCTGTCTCTTTGTACCCACATCCCCTGTGTCTCTCTATTACCCCATCTGTCTCTGAGTCCCCCCTTCTCCTGTGTCTCTCCATTACCCCTCTCTTTGTCCCCCAACCCCTATGTCTCTCTGTTACCCCTATGTCTCTTTGTCCTCCCTTCCATGGTGTCTCTCTATTACCCCATCTGTCTATGTGTCCCCCCTTGCCCTCTGTCTCTTTGTTCCCCCCCAACCTGGTGTCTTTCTATTACCCCTCAGTCTCTGTGCCCCCCTTCCCTTCTATTTTTTCCCCCACCTTCCCCTTCCCCTTCTGTGTCCCTTCTGACCTTGTTACAGGAGGACTGAGGGAGGGGGCAGAGCTAACTACCATGCTCCCTCGCGGTTCCCATAATTCCCAGCATGGACACATCATAGAGTAGTGATTACTCTATGATGTGTAGATGCTGGGAATTATGGGAACCGCGATGGAGCATGGTAGTTAGCTTCGCCCCCTCAGTCCTCCTGTGCTGACAGTTGTACTGCTGTCAGTATCAGTGAGTGTATCGCCGGATCGCTTAGGCGGCCGCCTGGCACACTCACTGATACTGACAGCAGCATAGCTGTGAGCACAGGAGATGGGGCAGCCGCGATATTATCAAAATATAGGGAGCAGGGTTCCCTCTCTATTTCCAGCCCCACAGGTGCCGCGGCCCACCGGGAAATTTCCCGGTATCCTGGTGGGCCAGTCCGGCCCTGTGTGTCAGTCACCAACAAGTACAGACAACATACTTCAGATTAGAGAACAGAATGATCCGTTTTTGTGTTGAATGCTTTTAGCTGTTAATATGGGTAAATGGTCAGTATTGATATTTTCATTAATAACAGATCATATTTATTAATATTTGTATTGATAATAGGATTTATTGATATTTTCATTGATAATAGACATCATTTATGAATGTTTTGTTTTGATAATGAACAGAAATTATTGATATTTCATTGGTAATGGACAGGACTTATTGAGGGTTTTTTTTTAATATGTTTAATGTAATCATGTTAAACTGTGCATCAAAGTAATTTTCACCTGCTTTCTGACCCTCACATTTCAGTCTGATGAAGAAGATTGCTCAGTACATAGGAGAAGTCATGGATGATTCAACGGACAAGGCACAAGAAAACCTGTTGGCAAATGGAGGTAGGTACGCTGGATCACAACCCAGAGGCAGAGGATGACATAATCCTCTTAAATCTTCAAGTTAAAATTTCCATAAAGGAAAATTGCCATGATGATTTATCATGCGAAATAATATACCACACGGATCAGAGTCTGTCTGTAACCTCTTGTAATACATGCTCATACATAAATACCTATTTTCAATAATGCTGTGTCTGCTTACTTACTGGCACCCTATGGAGGCAGCCACGGAGTAAGGGTACTCCACTGTTCTCAAATCTTTAGCTTACTTGGAAGCCCTAGACATCTAAAAACATGCGCTGAGCCGGTCCCAAATAAGCTGCACTTTCAGATAAAAAAGGACTTAAATATGTCCATCAATTATAAAAGAATTATGACAGTTTTCCTTGAATACCATGTCACATCATACCTCCCAACAGTTTTGGATCCATCGAGCCCATCATGATTTCAGGCTCCTGATTGGTTCTTTGGTGTCCTGCGGGGGGTAAGGAGCATACTGTGCCCAGGTGCATCTGAATATTCACCCATCATACCCCTTGTGTGCACAACTTCCTCTCTGGTAGAACCTACAGATCATTAAAATTTATTATTGCAACAAAGCAAACACATTTTGTATCTTGTTTGTAGGTTTGTAAAGTTTAGTTATTATTTTCAATGTTTTCTTACCATTGTAATGTTAAGTGTCAAAATGTTTATACTGAGTATGCGATATGCTATAACCCAGGGGCCAGTAATGGACACTGTTTTAAACATAGCATTATTTTAAAAAAATACAAAAACATGGGGTATGATCCAAAGAGATCAGTGACAAGAACACAGCCATAGTCTGCATTTTCAACCTTGTGGGTCTCAGTAGCCTGAATAAGAATCAATCAGAAATATGTATTTTTAAAAAATCCTAATAATTTTTCTTGCAGACATTCTCTGGGTTGATTTCATTTGAGATTCCTACCATGATTAATTAATTGTGTTTACTCCTATATCATGTGAATACCACACACTGCAGGGAGTGCTTTTTCTGCAAAGTCCAGCAGCTTGACTTACTAATGTATATGCCTTTCCTGCTCTTGTGACATGTGCAGCTACCAGTACATCCATTGTAGTCCCTGATCTCCTACACAAGTCAGCAACCGGAGTCCTGTTTATACACAGAACAGTGCAGGAAATCTCTATTTTGGCAGAAATGCTGCACATTGCCCTAACAGCCACGAATGTATTTTATTCATAAAATAGTTTTTACATAATCTCTTAAAGGGATATGCATCAGTTGACAATTATTTTTTAAACCATCAAGAAAATATACAAAACAAAATAAAGAAATACATTGAGAGTGATGTAACAATTATGTTTTTAAACCAGTGAGAAAATACTTGTAAGCAAATATACAAACCTAAATAAACCATGAAAAACTTTAAAAAGTATGGAATAAACGTTTATAAACTTACTCTGAACTTGGTCAGATTGTATAGTTGGACACACCTCTGAGTAAGGGGACTATCTTCAGCCTGCAACCCACCGCCAAGCCCCATCCTCAATTTCAGACCAGCCCATTATGTGTATGAGTGTCTGTATAATGGCGTGTGCGTGTGTTGTTTGACTATTTGTATTGTTGTGTGTGTTGTTGTGTTGTATGTGTATTTGTGTGTGTGTGTGTTTGATATTTAAGCATTCAGAAAAATTATGGTTAAATCCTATCATTACGTTAACCATATTTATTAGCGACAATTCTTTTGGGTAGGAATTTAGGATACTTTTCGCTGACATATATGCTTCAGTTAATTGTAAATTTTAGAGTTGCAGATTAAAAGTTAAAAAAGACAACTCTTTTATTGGAAAATGTTGAGGAAAGATAGATAAAGGTGTGGTTTTGCCCCAAACTTCTGTATATTTTTGGGAAAACCTGAACGCTATAATGAACTGTGACAAAAATTGTGTGGGTTGGTTTGGGGGTGGGGAGCGGGTGAGGGGGGGTGAGAGCATTGAGCTAACTGGCCTTGGGTCATCAGAGAGGGTGAATTTGGCCATGCAAATGTTGGCACCTCTGCTGACTCAGCCAATGGGCATGCTACATAATACCAAGCAAATCTACAGGAACTCTCAAATATGTTTATCGCTGTTTATTTTTAAAGCTGTAAACCTTACAACTTGTCTTGTTCCAGGAAAGAAGAGTAAAGTGAAATGCTCACACAGTATGTAGCATATTAAAGTTTGGAGTGTTTTATAGTCTTTCTTTTTTTTAGCATGGACTTTAGAGGACCTGGCTTGACAAGACACGTCTAGTTGTAGGGATACAGTGATCAGGTTACGATGGATTTCTGACGTAATGGCCTCGTAACCGGGTCACGATATCCGTATGACTCAGATAACAACGCCACTCTCTCTTGTGAGTTTTATCTTTCCTGTGTAAGAGCTCTGCATGTACCATGACCGATGCCTCTATCTGTGTATCATGACTATCGGTTTGCACAGTTCTATCCCATTGTGTAGGAATATCTGTGTTATGAACTAAACGCCTGTATTTGCATGTATTGTAGAATAGAACACAGTGTGCAGCCAATCAGGAACAAACTTTGCAGTAATAATGGATGCCATTGGCTGCACTCTGCTCTTGCAGTCTGTCTAGCAGTCTGTCTAACAATTCCTTTTCAGTAGTGAAACATTTTTATACCAATTATACAGTATGTGTTAGTTTTGTCACCAGCTGGTAATTAATATGATTACAAATGTGTGGTTAATGGTATGTCATCTTGTTGTGAAGAATCACTACTTACAGAAAAAATACTCAACTTGGTTTGTGGCATCTTATAAAAAGAGATATGTGCAGTAAACACATATAACATTATCCAAAATAGATGTCGGTTTTTTTTTTTTTCGTTTTATGGCTTGATGATTACAGTTGCTGTCTTTAGACATATTAACTAAACTATGTTTAGAAAGTTTTCTGGGATCATATTGCTTATTGCTGTATGACCGCCTTTTTTAACGTTTTACTACAATACTAGAGTCTCCAGCAGTCCATCACTTCTAAATCTTTCAGCCTTTCACAGCGCCCATTGCTGATATGTATTGGTATGGCTACAAGAAAGTGTGTGGACAGGGCCGGCCTTAGGCCTTTAGGCGCCCTGTGCGAAACATCTTCGCAGCGCCCCCACCCCCCCACCCTGTCATCCATGTTTAGTGTGTGTATAGAAGTGTAGTAATTGTATAGGGGATTTATTAAATTAATAATGATTTAAAAATAAATATTCATTACACACACACACAGAGTTACAGGCAGACAGTCACACACACACACACACAGTTACAGACAGACAATTAAAAACACACACAGGTACAGATGGACAGTCACGTACATACAGCCACATATACAGTGTCACACATACACCATTACATGCAGACACAGACAGCCACACACACAGGCAGAGAGCCATGCACACAGGCAGACAGTCACACACACACACGCACAGAGGCAGACAGTCAGTCAGTCAGTCACACACACACACAGGCAGACAGTCACACACACACAGACACAGGCAGACAGTCTCACACACACACACACGCACACACGCACACATAAGTAGTGCAGCTCCTGGATTCTGGTTTTTGGGGAAGCAGGGACTCCTTCCTGCTTCCCATGCAGCAATTATCCGGTACTTCTAGCCCTGCCCCCGCTGCACGCTAAGCCCCGCCCCACCGCAATGTTTTGGTTTTGTTTTTTATCCCAGGTGGAGAATAATGAAATCCTCTACCCAGATAGCTGGCAATGTGTGAGCTGTGCCGGTCGCAGGGCGCCCCCTGCTCCATGGCGCCCTGTGCGGCCGCATAGCTCGCACAACCCTAAGGCCGGCCCTGTGTGTGGAACAGTTTAACACTGAATGCAGATACTGGACTTCAATTAGATAAAAGTGATTATAGTGCCTACAGTGTCTTTTTAAAGGAACACTCTGGACACCGAACTTAAAGGCTTACTCCAACCACCATGAAACACCAACACTGCATGTACTGAGATATCTGTAATTGTGTGATGGGGGCTAGTTGCATCCACAGCACATGTGACTCTGTTCCGGACTGCATAATGTCAATTCTGTGCAGAAACTACGTCTACAGACGTAGAAACCTTTCCCTTGCCTAAAGGTGGAAGCCAGCTTTCCCTATCACCATTCCCTCCCCAAGGGCCCTCCCTTATACCTCCTCCTGTTGTACATTTGTGTTGTTTTTTTTCTAAAGCGCTCTCTCCTCTGCCTCCTTCCCCTTGCCTGTCCGGAGAGTGCGCAAGCGCGCTGAGAAGGCAAAAGGGTTTAATCACAGGCTTGTGCACCCTGTGATTGAACTGTGTGTGCCACCAGTGACGTCAGGAGGAGGCATGGCAGAGCAGTGATTGGGAGCTTCACCTGGCACTGGATTTGTTTTTTACAGGTTTTACTAAAATTTGAGGAGGGAACCTTCTCCACACTGTCCGATAGGGCAGAGCGCACTGGAAAGAACCCCTCTCTCAAAAAGGATTAGTAACCCTTTACGTGCATACGATTGGTTTTGGCCTCATATTCATGTTGCATTTTTCAGGTTCAACTCTAGTTTTCTAAGAAAAATAAATATTTTCTCAAGCAGAATCGCCCCCAACCCCCCTTAGCCCCAACCCCCCATTCACCCACAGCCAATTACTGCCCTCTTAATATTTAAATAATATTTTAAAGCCATGCTAAGCAAAAATAGGGCAGATAATATGAGGAAAGCGAGTGGCTCAGCAGCTCAGCCCACACTGATCTTTCATTCGCTGAGCAGAAAATTTCCTCAGAGTACATCGAATAAGGAAGTTGCTTTGTGAAAATATGGGGAATGGGTGAGTGGGTTTATTGCATTTAAATTGAGTTGTGGTGTCTGTAGTGTTTGGACAGCATAACAGTAGTGGGCACATATATCTACTGGAATCATAGCTGTTTGATGTATAAGATATGTATGTCTAACTCCTCGTAATGAGCAAAGTATCAGTTTGTACGCTAACTTTTAAAGTGGACCTTGAAATACCATAAGCACTACTGCTTCCTTTAGTGTTTATGGTACTAATTGTCCTCTGGCGCTATCTCAGAGTAAGAAGTCAAAACATTCATGGAACCCACCGATCCTTCTGTATCTTTCTGCTGATATATGAATAGAATGTGCTTGTTACAACCAATTTGGAACTACCGTAATAAATTGTTACCATCCTCTCCTCCAAAATGAGTATTTTACAAAGATAAAATCTTAATGAAATACTCACATTAACTGTGTTGGAATTTCACTGAAATCCCAACTCCGTCAAACGATATAGGGACTACTTTGTCTTATGTTTTGACAAAGCTTGACAAAAAGGTGGAACTACCGCTGGCAAGCTTTGTCAAGTCCTCAGTCTAGTGGTGATGACTGAGGGGCTAAAGACTTTGTTTACGGAAGCTCCTGTGGCCTCGCAAGCTCCTCCATAGACATCAGTATTGTACACTTGCACATGTGCGAGAGTAGAGTGCTGATCTCGGCTCTTTGAAGATGGAGCTCCAGGAGTCGAAGAGAATCCCACAGAAATAGATGGCAGCATCCACAAGGAACAGCTTCAGGTAAGCAAAAGTTTCCCTGCACCAGCGCATTGCGACTTTGCAAAATATGCAAAAATTGCATATATTTGAAACTGAAATATGGGATTTTTTTTTAATAAGTAGATATAAATAAAATAATTGAAAATGTTTCTGTTTATAAATGAACCTATCTCTAATTTGGATATTTGTTACTTCTAATTAATGATTTATTTTTACAATTTGTTTGGGATGTCACGCAAAACAAAGGTATAATGCTATAAATGCAGGACATAAAAATCAGAATGTTCCACGGAATTTTCTGAAATGAATGGAAAACTCTTTATTCCTTTAGAACCTGTAAGAATGCTTAACATATATTTATTCAGCACTAATATTTCATGAATAATGTTTATAAAAAGAAATACATGTAAAAGATAGCACACACTTGCTTTTAGTGCAATGGAAAACTGATGTGCGGTGTAATTGGTGTCTATTTCATGATTGCTGGTAGCCAGTGGAAAGTTGCAGGTAGGGTTATTTATCGTAGAGAACACAAGAAGCAGATCCTGGCTCGTATCATTAGCCATGTACCTGTTCAATGTCCCAGTGTTCTGGAGACTACCTGTAATTTAAGGCTCATTACCCCTGCAAGTTCGTCCTTTGTACTTTGAATCAACTGGTGTATTAAAGTGACATTACTCTTCTCGTAATGCCATGTTAAAGTCGTAATAAAGCTTGATAGCGAAAACGTCAGCTGTGAATACAGTTCCAGCCAGATATTAGCATTTTCTTAAACACAATGTCTAGATAAGGTAATACACCCTGTAATTGGATATAAAGTAAATAAAAGCAAATCTGACGGATTCATGTGAAAAATATACATCTGCAGACTGGTAATTAGCAATATTTCTTTTCAACTGTTTTATTAATATTATTATTCTTTAATTCTATAAATCCTATAGCGCTGCACAATAGGTGGATTAACAGACACGTATTTGCTACAAGATGAGTTGGACGTACAGGAACCTTCACTATACAATATTGTAGCCTATACTAACAAATATATATATATATATACGTATGGATATTGATCATAACATTATGATAAGGTTATATTAATGTCTCTCCCTGCTGGTTGTGAAGTGCGTATTCATTTTTTTGTTTTTGTTGGAGTTTAATCAATATTTGTTCATTGTTTTCAGTTGATCTTATCAGCTACATTTCACGATTTGAGTGGGACATGGCAAAATACCCAGTGAAGCAACCACTTAAGAATTTAACCGAATCCCTATCCAAGGTATCTTACTGTAGTGTTGACATCTGCAGTGTGGGGGATTCAAATATTGTTTATTTTCTGTAAGTTATGTACACACTAGATTGGAGTTTTCTATAAATTTAGCCCTTGGTGAATTCACTATAGATTCAATGATGACCAGCAATGATTTTTAAATTTATCTGACCTTGATTTACACACAGTGAAGAATATATACAATAATATAATTATCTTGTTTTCAGCAAATGTCGCAGATAGATACGGATCTAAAATCAAGGACTCTTACATACAACAACATCAAAGGGAACCTTCAGAGTCTGGAGAGAAAGACTGTGTATGTATAGTTGTATGGGACTATTTTAACATGGTATATTTAGATTACATGATACTCGGGACGGAAATGTATTTTGGCACCCCCTCAACTGTAAAAGCAATTGTGTCTCCCTCTGCATCACCTCAACATCCTTATCTTAGGGAAATTACATCGACATACTGACATTTATATACACATACACACGTAATTACATTCATGTACACAGATATATTAATATAGACACAAATGGACATATATACAGACACAACCGTTGATATAGATACACACAGATTCATACACAAACACACACGGACACATATACACACACTCATTCCTTCATATATACATAAACACATATACACAGTCTCAATCATACACAATCACATACACAAACAGTCATTCGTGGTACATCTCCCCCGTGCTATGTTACAAAGTAAGTAGGCCGCCATGCAGTGCCGCCATTTGTGAGGTCAGAAAGAGGCTGCTTATATAGCGTCTATTTGGTCACCAGGGTGTCCCCAATCCAGATGTGACTAAGATTATTCAATGAGTTCAGATATGTCAGTTTTGTATATGAATAAACTGAGTTCCTTAGGAGAGCTGCAACCCTGTGCTTCCTCTGCATGCTCCCCCACTCCCCGATGAGTTCAAATATGTCGGTTTTGTATATGAATAAATTAAATTCCTTAGGAGAGCTTGCTCTCTGCATGCCCCCCTGAAATCACTGGTTTGGTTTTAGAATCCTTTAAAATGTTCCCACCCTTTAAGGACCAGGAGGCTGCTGAAATTTCTCAACCGGTTCTGAACTTCCTTTGTTTTTAATGAGAATGCAGTTCATATCACACAAAACCCTGGTCTAATTTTATTATGATAATTTATCCTTTGCCGCATAGTGAATCTTTAGATGATTAAATTATTCTTGCTTTGCTATCTAGGGGCAATCTCCTCACAAGAACCTTGGCTGATATTGTTAATAAAGAAGACTTTGTTTTGAACTCGGAATATCTCATAACACTTCTTGTGGTTGTTCCAAAGTAAGTTTTAAAAAATTATAATTCCATTCTCAAAAAACATAAAGAGTTACTGTCACTTTTAAAAATTTTGTGTAAAATTAATCCTTTTGTATTCCTCTATTTCCCTGGATGTTATCTGACTGTAATATTATAACAATAATATAACCATTTACTCTGGATACAGTGACCACATCTAGAATGGTTCTAAAAATAAATATTGCAGAGAGGGTTGCATTGGGTGAATTGAAGACTGCACTCCTCAGCTGTGCTGTATCTTAGTAAATTATTCTGAGTGGGCGGATGTTTTCCTTAAAGAGGTGACGTATCAACACTAATGCTCGACGTACTTGGGGACTAATTAGTTTCCATAACAGTAAAATTTACACTATGCACGACGGTTAGAGAGCATAACTTCAGTTTCCTGTATATGCTGTATGCTAGAGCGTTGTGTCCAGGTGTCCATGGTATAGGAAATGTTAACTATTTTTATTGTTTGATAACATTTGGTGATTTGTACTTAACAGGCGTAAAGTGTAATCAAACAAAAAAAACAAGGCTAATCAAGCATCAATATACTTGGTCTAACGTGCAGGATACTGAGATAACTTGTGCAATTAAATAATCTGTTTATGCTTTTGAAGGACAAGTTACACTGCCTGGCAAAAAACATATGAGTCGCTGTCTGACATGGTCGTGCCTCGATCAACTAAGTAAGTAGGAAAGGTTAATGCCATATTTATCTGTTTATTCTGTTGCCTAGAAATGATCTAACAGGATATAGGAGAATTGAGGAGTGGATGTAGCGCCTTGTATGTCCTTAGTAGTATATGGAATAAAAATAGAGAATACATGAACTTATAGTGTAGTATGTCTTTAGTTTGTTATAAGGAGAAAATAAAGAAATGCATTTACACTTTATTAGAGCTATGATGCGCCTGAGCAGTATGATTCCCATTTGTGGATATAGCGCAGCATTGAGGTTGGTTAATCCTTGTAGGTGGTTGGGAAAGATCTCGTGGGAGAAAAAAAGAAGAAGAATATAGTGTAGTATACCAGGGATTACTTTTAAAAGTAGATATATAGATATAAACTCATGTTTTATGGAGCCCTACAATGGCTCCCAGGGTATAGCGTGGAGTTGAATCCCCACTCTAGGATATGTAATTAGTACAGGTCCTCTCCGTTAAAATATAAAACAAGAAGAAAAGACTGTATAGTGTACACCATTGCGTGTCAATATAAACTACAAATAAAAATCTACTTACGTATGGATGAGTAAATAAGGTGTGCATAATCCTACAGTTGTAGGTGGTATCTATCCCCCCAATGATATGGTGTTCAGCCTCGGGAGATAAGTAACAGCACAGAAAAGTCCAAAGTATAAAAAAAGTTCTTTATTTGTAAAAAAAAAACCCAGTACAAGATAATAATAAAAAAAGATAATATAAAAAACAATAGTGTAAAACCAAATAATGAAGTACACTAATGCATACACCTTTCTAGGCTTTTTCAAAGTGTGAAATTGTAACTGGTGTTTAATGGTTTAATGATCTAGGGCAGCATTTTCCAATCGGTGTTCTGCAGAACCCTGGGGTTCCTCTGTTATTTTGTCAATTCAAAATGGCCGATTTACCAATTTGGTTACCCATGCAGGTAGGGCCACCCAATGGGTATTATTACTGGATAGGGGCCTGGTAAGGTGCCGCAACCCGTTAAGAGCGCGACAGGGACCCTGTAGTATTGGATGCTGGGACGAAGTAACAGCCGGTCACTTCCTCCCAGACGTAGAGAGCATCGGGTTGGATAGAGAGAGGCGGGGAGTGAGTTGCTGCAGACCCTCAACAGATCAGCCTCAGCAAGCAGTACTCCAAGCAAGTCATCCTCCTACAGACAAAAGATATGCTAACAGGAGGGTGACTACAAATATAAAACTAATATGATATGTATGTATCTGTCAGTGTGTGTATCTTAGTGTTTGTATGTGCCTGTGTGTGTATCTGTGTGTCAGTGTATGTATCTATGTCAATGTGTGTCTCTGAGGGTGTGTGTATTTATGTGTATGTGCCAGTGTGTGTACCTTTGTGTATGTACCAGTGTGTGTGTCTGTGTATGTATGTGACAGTGTGTGTATCAAGATGTGTGTGTATGTGTTAGTGTGTGTATGTGTTTGTGTGTCACTGTGTGTATCTGTGTGTCAGTGTGTGTGTGCCTGCCAGTGTGTGTGTATCTGTGTGACAGTGTGTTTGTGTCTGTGTGTGTATGTGACAGTGTGTGTATCTGTGTGTCAGTGTGTGTGTAAGTGCCACTGTGTGTGCCTTAGTGTATGTGACAGTGTGTTTATATGTGTGTCAGTGTGTCTGTCTGTGTGTCAAGGTGTGTATATGTGTCACTGTGTGTATCTGAGTTTGTATGTTTCAGTGTATGTACCTGTGTGTCTATATGTCTGTATGTGTGTATCAATGTGTGTGTGTGTATGTACTAATATGTGTGTATCAATGTGTGTGTATGTGGCAGTGTGTATATGTGTGGCAGTGTGTATATCTATGTGTCAAGGTGTGTGTATGTGTCGCTGTTTGTAATTGAGTGTGTGTATGTGCCAGTGCGTGTATCTGTGTGTCAATGTGTGTGTTTGAGTGTGGGTTTATGTGCCAGTGTGTGTGTATCTTTGCATCAGTGTGGGTGTATATGTCAGTATGTGTGTAACGGCGTGTGTGTATGTGCCAGTGCGTGTATCTGTGTTTCAATGTGTGTGTTTGAGTGTGGGTTTATGTGCCAGTGTGTGTGTATCTGTGCATCAGTGTGGGTGTATATGTCAGTATGTGTGTAACGGCATGTGTGTATGTGCCAGTGTGTGTATCTGTGTGTCAGTGTGTGTATCTGAGTGTATGTGTGTATGTGCTAGTGTGTGTATCTGTGTGTCAAGGTGTGTACATGTGTCAAGGTGTGTATCTTTGTGTCTGTGTGTATATGAATATGTGTGTATGTGTCAATGTGTTTATAATGCAGTGTATGTGCAGACATCCCAGCAATCAAACACCAACACAACATGTAAATACACCCCTGCAAACACAAACATTACATACAAAACTCTCCTGAATTTAAACTCAAAATTTATATACAAACATTCAAACACATCCTTTACTCAAACACAAATACTACACACAATTGTACACCCGCATTTAAAAACACTTCATCCAAAAATGATAAAATGATATACAAAAACCAACTCAACACACAAAACCACCCCTGCTCTTAAATACTACAATCTGTTTACTATCCGTAGAAATTAGTGCATATATACCAAAAAACTATATTTGGCAAAATAGAAAACATTACACTCTGCAAATTAAAAGGTTGTGAGCTATGTCAAGGGGCTCCATGGGAATAATTAATTGGGAACCCCTTATCTAGAGCACCCTTTGGCACTTCAGATGTTTCGGACTACATTTCCCATAATGCTCTCACAGCTATAATGCTGGCAAAGTATCATTTGTCTGACAGGGGGATGTAATCCACGACATCTGGGGTGCCGTAGGATGCGTATCCCAGCTGTAGAGTATAGAATTGTTAGGTTGTAACACCGGAATATTTCAAAGCTATGCCAACTGATGACTATAGGTCCGGAAACCCGGTATTTTTCTTATTGTTCAATGATACTTGTTCTCTTTGCAGAATGATTGCGGAGGATGGTGAGAGCGGGTTGTTTACAGTGACCTTATTCAGAAAAGTAATCGAGGAATTTAAATCCAAAGCTCGGGAAAACAAGTAAGGTTTAGTTTTTAATTATTTCTACTGTTATTAACTACTGGTTGTAGCTCTTTTCTACATATTAAAGGGACACTATAGTCACCAGAACAACTACAGCTTGTTGAATTTGTTCTGGTGAGTTGAATCATTCCCTTCAGGCTTTTTTCAGTAAACACTGTCTTTTCAGAGAAAATGCAGTGTTTACATTACAGCCTAGTATTAACTCCACTGGCCTCAGATTTCTGCTAGAGGTGCTTTCTGGGGCAGTGCTGCACTGTGAGCAGCACGACCATTCACTGTCTCCACCCTCTACATGGAGACACTGAACTTTCCTCATTGAGATGCGTTGATTCAATTAGTCTCTATGAGGAGATGCTGATTGGCCAGGACTGTGTTTGACTTGTGCTGGCTCTGCCCCTGATCTGCCTCCTGGACAGTCTCACCCAATCCTATGGGGAAGCATTGTGATTGGCTCAGACCACTACTTCTGATGATGTCATCAGACAGCAGGCAAGTCAGAGGCAGACAGGGGCAGAGCCAGCAGCTGCAGACTTGAATACAAGTAATGTTTTACTTTATTTAGAGAGGCAAGGGGGTGGCAGATGGTGGTTTTAACAATATAGGATCAGGAATACATTTTTGTGTTCCTGACCCTATAGTGTTCTTTTAAATACTCTTAGAAATGTACATAAGTGGCTGCAGTTTATAACTCAGTGTTGTATTATTATTTTTTTTCAAATACAAGGCTGTTCTGGCATAGACTGAAATTAGATATGAAATTGGCATTCTCGTGATTTCCTTATGGGAGCACTTATAATTATTTTTACTCTTTTTTTGAAGTATCATTGTTTTTCGTTTTGCTGCGCCAGTAAGTTTGTTTTGCTCATAAAGGCTGCCATTAGTTTATTCGTATTCACTAATTGTGAGGGTCTCTGAATAATGACCATGCATTTAGTCAGGCGGTATAGAGTTTTATATTACATGCATGAAATACATATATATATTTTTACCTTTATTTTTTATTTAAAAAATCCACACCTGAACAAAACTTTTAAAATTGCTTCAAATGGAATAAATATATATATATATATAAATATATATATATATACATATACACTGCTCAAAAAAATAATGGGAGCACTTAAACAAAACAATGTAACTCCAAGTTAATCACACTTCTGTGAAATCAAACTGTCCACTTAGGAAGCAACACTGAGTGACAATCAATTTCACATGCTGTTGTGCAAATGGGATAGACAACAGGTGGAAATTATAGGCAATTAGCAAGACACCCCCAATAAAGGAGTGGTTCTGCAGGTGGTGACCACAGACCACTTCTCAGTTCCTATGCTTCCTGGCTGATGTTTTGGTCACTTTTGAATGCTGGCAGTGCTTTCACTCTAGTGGTAGCATGAGACGGAGTCTACAACCCACACAAGTGGCTCAGGTAGTGCAGCTCATCCAGGATGGCACATCAATGCGAGCTGTGGCAAGAAAGTTTGCTGTGTCTGTCAGCGTAGTGTCGAAAGCATGGAGGTGCTACCAGGAGACAGGCCAGTACATCAGGAGATGTGGAGGAGGCCGTAGGAGGGCAACAATTCAGCAGCAGGACCACTACCTCTGCCTTTGTGCAAGGAGGAACAGGAGGAGCACTGCCAGAGCCTTGCAAAATGACCTCCAGCAGGCCACAAATGTGTATGTGTCTGCTCAAACAGTCAGAAACAGACTCCATGAGGGTGGTATGAGGTCCCGACGTCCACAGGTGGGGGTTGTGCCTATAGCCCAACACCATGCAGGACGTTTGGCATTTGCCATAGAACACCAAGAGTGGCAAATTCGCCACTGGTGCCCTGTGCTCTTCACAGATGAAAGCAGGTTCACACTGAGCACATGTGACAGACGTGACAGAGTCTGGAGACACCGTGGAGAACGTTCTGCTGCCTGCAACATCCTCCACTATGACCGGTTTTGCAGTGGGTCAGTAATGGTGTGGGGTGGAATTTCTTTGGGGGGGCCGCACAGCCCTCCATGTGCTCGCCAGAGGTAGACTGACTGCCATTAGGTACCGAGATGAGATCCTCAGATACCTTGTGAGACCATATGCTGGTGCGGTTGGCTCTGGGTTCCTCCTAATGCAAGACAAAGCTAGACCTCATGTGGCTGGAGTGTGTCAGCAGTTCCTGCAAGACGAAGGCACTGATGCTATGGACTGGTCCGTCCGTTCCCCATACCTGAATCCAATTGAACACATCTGGGACATCATGTCTCGCTCCATCCACCAACGTCACGTTGCACCACAGACTGTCCAGGAGTTGGCAGATGCTTTAGTCCAGGTATGGGAGGAGATCACTCAGGAGACCATCCGCCACCTCCTCAGGAGCATGCACAGGCGTTGTAGGGAGGTCATACAGGCACGTGGAGGCCACACACACTACTGAGCCTCATTTTGACTTGTTTTAAGGACATTACATCAAAGTTGGATCAGCCTGTAGTGTGTTTTTCCACTTTAAGTTTGAGTGTGACTCCAAATCCAGACCTCCATGGGTTGAAAAATTTGATTTACACTTTAACAGTACAGGGAGTGCAGAATTATTAGGCAAGTTGTATTTTTGAGGATTAATTTTATTATTGAACAACAACCATGTTCTCAATGAACCCAAAAAACTCATTAATATCAAAGCTGAATATTTTTGGAAGTAGTTTTTAGTTTGTTTTTAGTTTTAGCTATGTTAGGGGGATATCTGTGTGTGCAGGTGACTATTACTGTGCATAATTATTAGGCAACTTAACAAAAAACAAATATATACCCATTTCAATTATTTATTATTACCAGTGAAACCAATATAACATCTCAACATTCACAAATATACATTTCTGACATTCAAAAACAAAATAAAAACAAATCAGTGACCAATATAGCCACCTTTCTTTGCAAGGACACTCAAAAGCCTGCCATCCATGAATTCTGTCAGTGTTTTGATCTGTTCACCATCAACATTCCGTGCAGCAGCAACTACAGCCTCCCAGACACTGTTCAGAGAGGTGTACTGTTTTCCCTCCTTGTAAATCTCACATTTGATGATGGACCACAGGTTCTCACTGGGGTTCAGATCAGGTGAACAAGGAGGCCATGTCATTAGATTTTCTTCTTTTATACCCTTTCTTGCCAGCCACGCTGTGGAGTACTTGGACGCGTGTGATGGAGCATTGTCCTGCATGAAAATCATGTTTTTCTTGAAGGATGCAGACTTCTTCCTGTACCACTGCTTGAAGAAGGTGTCTTCCAGGAACTGGCAGTAGGACTGGGAGTTGAGCTTGACTCCATCCTCAACCCGAAAAGGCCCCACAAGCTCATCTTTGATGATACCAGCCCAAACCAGTACTCCTCCATCTCCACCTTGCTGGCGTCTGAGTCGGACTGGAGCTCTCTGCCCTTTACCAATTCAGCCACGGGCCCATCCATCTGGCCCATCAAGACTCACTCTCATTTCATCAGTCCATAAAACCTTAGGAAAATCAGTCTTGAGATATTTCTTGGCCCAGTCTTGACGTTTCAGCTTGTGTGTCTTGTTCAGTGGTGGTCGTCTTTCAGCCTTTCTTACCTTGGCCATGTCTCTGAGTATTGCACACCTTGTGCTTTTGGGCACTCCAGTGATGTTGCAGCTCTGAAATATGGCCAAACTGGTGGCAAGTGGCATCGTGGCAGCTGCACGCTTGACTTTTCTCAGTTCATGGGCAGTTATTTTGCGCCTTGGTTTTTCCACACGCTTCTTGCGACCCTGTTGACTATTTTGAATGAAACGCTTGATTGTTCGATGATCACGCTTCAGAAGCTTTGCAATTTTAAGAGTGCTGCATCCCTCTGCAAGATATCTCACTATTTTTGACTTTTCTGAGCCTGTCAAGTCCTTCTTTTGACCCATTTTGCCAAAGGAAAGGAAGTTGCCTAATAATTATGCACACCTGATATAGGGTGTTGATGTCATTAGACCACACCCCTTCTCATTACAGAGATGCACATCACCTAATATGCTTAATTGGTAGTAGGCTTTCGAGCCTATACAGCTTGGAGTAAGACAACATGCATAAAGAGGATGATGTGGTCAAAATACTCATTTGCCTAATAATTCTGCACTCCCTGTACACTACTGCAAGAGATTCTGATGCCAAAATACCAGAGTACGTGCAGTATACAATGATACCTTTTTTATTGGACAAACTTAATATTTCAAAGACAAGCTTTCGAGAGTTTCCTCTCTTCCTCAGGTCTGAAGCAATACTGATCAATCTAAAAGGGTTTAACACTTAAAACAACTGATGTTAGAGAAGGGGAGGAAGGGGGTGAGTGGTGTGTCATAAATAGCAGAAGATGTGCCTGAAAGTGAAAGGTTCAGGTTGGCTGGGAATACATATATATAAAATATTTTTGATTTATTATTTGGCTACCAGAGCACCAGGTATCACCTTCTGTTAAGTTGGAGTGCAGGAATTTTCTACATTTGTGTATATATATATATATATATATATATATATATATATAATAAAAATAATAAATACATTTCCAAAAAATGATATACTAGTCTTGATTTGTTCTAACTGTATTTTGATATTAATATATGTAGCGGAGAGCTGGTATTACACAGCCTATCTCCACTTTAGATCCCAGGGAGGTTCAGGAACAAACAATTATAAATCCATAGGGTAAAGTATCCAGCAAGCAAAATAACACAGCAGTATCCCAACAGCAATCCCAATAACTGGACGACACACAGTATCAGGAACAGAACTAAAGATTTATTCACACAGTGGCCTTATAAAGCCTGCTCCCATGCAAGGGAGGGATTTCCATTAATTTGTACAGTAGCCAATCCTGCTCTGGTAACCTCCCACACATCCCCTCCCCTTAGCCTGCATCATAATCCACTTATCCAGGACACCAATTCCCCCCGTTTCTGGATGTACCCCTAAACCTAGGGGTACCACTTTAAATTATACATCCCCTGGTAGCCCTGATCTGGGTGAACAACATATCCAAAAATTACCCAGATCAGACCAGGGGTTCGGGAAATTTATGGAGGGAATAAAATGACCGACCGCACTGGAAAGAACAGCCGAATGGGGTTCCTTGCGATGGGGCCCTGCGGTCGGTCCTGGAGTAAGGGAACAAACTGCACGAAAGCCTCCAGCTAGAGAGACTAGGGAGGGTTCGCCTGAATCCCCTCGTTCGGTTGTTTCTATCTACCGAACGAGGGGCTGTTCGGTAGTTTGGAACCGAACGGACCGGGCTTGTAGAGGTCTCAGCGGTGTTCGCCTAGTCGAGTGTCCGATTTGAGTTCCAGACACTCGACGGCAAAACACCGCTGTTCGGGAGTTTTAAAATGGCCGTCGCCACGTGTTCGTTTCCCGAATGGCGGCCACCCCTGAGAACAAAGGACTGCTACTCAGCTTGTCAATTACCCGTTCGCAACAATGTTGCAACGGGTAATTGAAGGCACACTTCACACAGGGGAGGTCTGACTGTTCGGTAGTTTCATTCGAACAAACTAAGGAATGAAACTACCGAACAATCAGACGAATACAATACATTTAACACATATAACTTTGCCATTTACACGAATGCATTCAAAACATATGTAATTCTCAGGACAGCCCAGTGCCATCCGCTACAATATACATATATATTAAATTCAAAATACATTTACAATGACATTATAAATACATATATGTATCTATATATCTATCTCTCTCTCTCTATATATATAGTTATATATAAATAAAAATAATAATAATAAAAAAAAAATATATATGTATATATATATATACATATATATTTAAATTCTACAAATATATTTATATAATATTTTTACACATTCAAGTCATTTTATTAATTACAATTTGAGGGACCTGCCTGACAACCCATGCTGAAAGTCCAGAGAATTTGGCTCGTAAGCCCTATATTTAACCCTGTAACTTTCTAGGACACCATAAAACCTGTACATGGAGGGTACTGTTTTACTCAGGAGGCGAACACAAATATTAGCGTTTAAAAACAGTAAAAAATATCACACTGATGATATCGTCAGTAAAAATGCAGTTTTTTGCATTTTTCACACACAAACTGTACTTCCACTGATGATATAATTGTTGTGATACATTTTACTATTTTGAAACACTAATATTTGTGTTTGGTGAAGTCTCCCGAGTGTATATTTCTTTGCATGATGCATACTTTTGTGTGAAACGTTTGTTCTTGTACTGTCCTATTTTCTGCACACTCCTCAGATTCATTGTACGTGAATTTTACTTCAACGAGAAAGAATTGCAGTCGGAAAAAGATGAGATTGTTAAACTGGCAGCTGATAAGAAACAACAGTATGTAAGTAACAGCTAATATAGAGTGCATGGCATTCTATTCATTTACCTTGGACGATAAATTGCTTTAATTTTGTATAGGACTTAGTAGTCACAAGAGGTATACATAACAAGTGTAACAAGTCACAAACACTGCAAAGACAGTTCTAGAACAGTTTTAAAGATATTGAAATCTTCTTAATGTAATATACCTTTTATTACAGTTAGTACGTATATATGCCCTGTATATATCCATACATGTCTTTTTTAATAAACCAAAATCCAGTCTATTCTTATAATTGATAACTAGACTTGTGCAAGGCGGAACATAGTGGTTTGGCTGAACCGTTTATTATGAAAATTGAATTTAGTTGGGGACTTCAGACACATTGGACAGTTTGCTCTTCTGAAAATCATCCATGAAAAACGATTCAGACAAACAAAAATGGGTGCTAAATATATTAAGATATTATGCTCCTCCTCCTTTTTCCCACTCTTTTGGTCAATTCTCTGACCCCTAGCCATCAACCATCTTTTTCCCCATCATTCATCTCTTTTTTTTTGGTGCTATGTGCAGAATAATGCATCCTAAAGCAAACAAACATGCTTGGTTATACATCCATATGGCCCTTTGAACATATGGAAATCTGCACAACTGATGATTGGATTAAATTAGGGCGGAATGCAATTCGGCTGGAATTAAATGTCTTAGCTGGCTGCGTTACACCCAATCTCCGACACTCACCTCCGCAATCCGGCGCTCCGGGGCCACGCTGACTAGTTCCAGGGGGTGTTCTGGCACTGTGTGCTCCCGGGTGGTGGGAAGTGGCGTCGGAGGTTCAGGAAGAGGCCAGAATAGCCTCAAAACATCATGGGGACCTGCCGGAAGTCGATGCCTATATGATAGGCCACGCCAGCCTACACCACATTGCGGCCTGCATCAGGGACATTGCCCTCATACACCCAGGTGTCAGAGAGCGGAGGTGGCCTTGGGAACACTTAAAACGCCTGTGGAGAGGTGCCACACGAGGTGCTTGTAGTGCAATTCACTGCTCCTTTTCATCCTGTCAAATGGTTCTTATCTGCCGTCACATTAAATGTTTCTATGAACAAAATATTGATCTTTAAAGATTATTCAGCGCAAGTCACTCAAAGGCATGGGCATTTACACCCATTTTCTCAGAGCTATACAAGAGAGGAATCCGTTTTGCTCTTCTCTACCCTGCCACTCTTCACCTACAGATTGACAATCACACTCTCATCGGTGGCTGAGGCATCTAAGTTCAGGATGTCATGCCGGACTGGGACAAAGACTCGCCGAGTCGCCCCTCCACTAAACATGAGGAACAGTAAAATCATTGTTCTTATTCTCTTTATATATAGTTTGGGCCTCTAGGCCCTATTCATGCTGGACTTGCTGTGCACCCCACTCGCTCCATCCCTGGGACTTGTCCGTCTGCTCGGTCTGGGACAGATGGAAACCCAAACATATGCATTCCCGGATGATCAGATACACTCCACACCAAGGTATCAGCTAGCCAAGGATGTCTCAAACACCACAAATTTTACCTGCTTCCCCTCTCAAGTTCCTCTCGTGGAATGTGAAAGGTGCAACACACCCATAAAACGCAAGAAAATTCTATACTACTTAACCAAACACCAAGCCCAAGTCACAGTTTTGCAGGAATCACACTGGTCATGCTTTGACACCACTCAACTCAAGGATCCTTGGATTCAATCCAGTATAGCTGCTAAATATAACTCCAAGGCCATAGGTGTGGCGATCCTGCTACACTCTAACCTACAATACGTAATCCACAGTTGTGACACAGATCCAGATGGTCGTTATATCATCTTGTGTCTCCCTATCAACAATACTTGTTATTGCATTGTCAATGTATATGCTCCAAATTCATGTGCTAACACCTTTTTCACTAAATTACTGACATTACTCACTCAAATTGACATTGACCAAATAATTGTAGGGGGTGACTTTAATGCCGTCCTTGACCCATCTAAAGACAGATCCTCGTTGGGGTCAGCACCTCCCACAGACAGTGACTGTAGGCTTCTTTACCTGATTACCTCATGTAACTTGCATGAGCCATGGAGAATATTGCATGGTGGGGAGCGGGATTACACGTTCCATTCTATGGTACATAACACCTTTTCAAGAATCGATAGATTTTTAGTCACCCCAGCGGTGTTACCCTAGGTCACTAGTGCCATCATTGAAACGATCGCAGTCTCAGATCATGCACCAATTACACTTTTGGTCAACACCATACCCTCCTACCCTTTTACTGCACATTGGCGTTTTCCGACATATCTCATTAATAATCCATCTTTCCAGGGTCACCTACATTTATCGCGAACCATGCACAATCAAAGCTGGATTTCCAGCAACAACACATTTTCCTGTGGGGTGGAAGGTCTGGAAAACTATTAGCTCAACTGGCCAACCCCAAGTCAAAATTCAAACCTATAACTGCAACCACTTCACCAGAGGGTAATCGCTGCACCTCACATGTGGCGATCAATAAATTGTTTTATGAATATCACCCGCAAATGGCAAAGGCCCCTGTCAGATGACCATAACCGCAGCATGACCTTTCTCGGTTGGTCGAGGAGTCCAGGGAGCTTCTCAATGAACCTATTACAATAGAGGAAATACACAGGGCGATCAAGACCCTTGAATAGGGGAAAACTCCAGGCCCTGACAGCTTTACAGCAGAATCTTACAAGGCCCTGAAGCTTGAAATTAGTCCCACTCTCAAAAACGAGTTTAACCAAATATACTTGGATGGTTTCCAATTGGATACCCTCAACCAGACCCGAGTCATCCTCATTGCCAAACCTGACAGGGACATGAAGGCCCTTGCCTCCTATCATCCGATTTCCCTGCTTTATCAGGATATCAAACTCGTTACCAAAATCATAACATTGAGAATACAAACGTTCTTGCCTAACTTTCTTACCACTCACCAACTGGGCTTTGTGAGGGGCAGACAGATGGTCACTGTGATCCATAGGGCATTTCCAAATTACCCCCCATAAAGGAGAAATGTTCACTTCCAAGTTATATTCCTGGGTTTTTACCTTTTGCACATAACACGGTTACTAATAAATTAGCTATGTTCATGATTGACATTTATTTTTTTCTTCCAGGGGCCCCTACTTCGATGGCTGAAAGTAAACTTCAGTGAAGCGTTCATAGCCTTGATTCATATAAAAGCCTTGCGTGTTTTTGTTGAGTCTGTCCTCCGGTGAGAGCAAAATATATAATTCTGAAAATATCTGCCTTTTTTTGTGTAAATTCTGCAAAGTAGTTATTATTACATTGCTTATCAATTTCAAATTTGCCTTAAAATATGCATGGTACCATCAAATGTTCTTAACGTTCTTCAGAGATGTAAATTATCATTAACATGTTGCCTGTCTGTGCTCATTTTCATATCAAGCTGGGAATTCTGGGAGACTTGTGGAAACAGATATCTCTGAATTGCTGTGCCTAAAATTGACTTTTCCCAATGACATATATGAGATATGTAGATGATTCACAACAATAAATTGTGAATTTGCATAAAGCATTGAGGAGTTTTATAATGTTTTGCTCTTACTACAGCTTAATTAGTACTCTACTTTATATATAGTTTCACGTTTACAATGTATTTACAGTCTGACAGTGACTGTTCTGAGTTAATTTACCAAGGCGCCATTATTTTTTTTTTTTTTTGAAGGTATGGATTGCCAGTGAACTTTCAGGCCGTGGTTCTGCATCCCAATAAAAAGTCAATGAAACGATTGCGAGATGTGCTAAATGCAATCTTCAGGCATCTGGACGAGGCAGCTGCTGCAAACATGAAGGATGTAAGTATTAGGCACAAAACGGCTCCACTGACGGGTCAAAATGACAAGGAAAATTACATTACAAATTAATATAAAAGGATATTTTCATGTGTCTACTATCCTTCCATCTACATTAAAAGATCACTATAATGTCAGGAAAACAAACTTGTTTTCCTGAAACAATATAACCCTTAGGTCCCCCCCTACCCTCAGGGCTCTACTCCATTGGTGCTAAAGGTTAAAACCCCTTGAGTTACTTACGTTAATCCAGCGCCAGCTCCCTCGGTGCTGGTGACCTCTCATCCCCCGCCAACGTCAGCTCCTGAGTGGAGCGGAATGCGCATTCAAACAGTCCATAGGAAAGCATTTCTCAATGATCATCCATGAAAAACGATTCAGACAAACAAAAATGGGTGCTAAATATATTAAGATATTATGCTCCTCCTCCTTTTTCCCACTCTTTTGGTCAATTCTCTGACCCCTAGCCATCAACCATCTTTTTCCCCATCATTCATCTCTTTTTTTTTGGTGCTATGTGCAGAATAATGCATCCTAAAGCAAACAAACATGCTTGGTTATACATCCATATGGCCCTTTGAACATATGGAAATCTGCACAACTGATGATTGGATTAAATTAGGGCGGAATGCAATTCGGCTGGAATTAAATGTCTTAGCTGGCTGCGTTACACCCAATCTCCGACACTCACCTCCGCAATCCGGCGCTCCGGGGCCACGCTGACTAGTTCCAGGGGGTGTTCTGGCACTGTGTGCTCCCGGGTGGTGGGAAGTGGCGTCGGAGGTTCAGGAAGAGGCCAGAATAGCCTCAAAACATCATGGGGACCTGCCGGAAGTCGATGCCTATATGATAGGCCACGCCAGCCTACACCACATTGCGGCCTGCATCAGGGACATTGCCCTCATACACCCAGGTGTCAGAGAGCGGAGGTGGCCTTGGGAACACTTAAAACGCCTGTGGAGAGGTGCCACACGAGGTGCTTGTAGTGCAATTCACTGCTCCTTTTCATCCTGTCAAATGGTTCTTATCTGCCGTCACATTAAATGTTTCTATGAACAAAATATTGATCTTTAAAGATTATTCAGCGCAAGTCACTCAAAGGCATGGGCATTTACACCCATTTTCTCAGAGCTATACAAGAGAGGAATCCGTTTTGCTCTTCTCTACCCTGCCACTCTTCACCTACAGATTGACAATCACACTCTCATCGGTGGCTGAGGCATCTAAGTTCAGGATGTCATGCCGGACTGGGACAAAGACTCGCCGAGTCGCCCCTCCACTAAACATGAGGAACAGTAAAATCATTGTTCTTATTCTCTTTATATATAGTTTGGGCCTCTAGGCCCTATTCATGCTGGACTTGCTGTGCACCCCACTCGCTCCATCCCTGGGACTTGTCCGTCTGCTCGGTCTGGGACAGATGGAAACCCAAACATATGCATTCCCGGATGATCAGATACACTCCACACCAAGGTATCAGCTAGCCAAGGATGTCTCAAACACCACAAATTTTACCTGCTTCCCCTCTCAAGTTCCTCTCGTGGAATGTGAAAGGTGCAACACACCCATAAAACGCAAGAAAATTCTATACTACTTAACCAAACACCAAGCCCAAGTCACAGTTTTGCAGGAATCACACTGGTCATGCTTTGACACCACTCAACTCAAGGATCCTTGGATTCAATCCAGTATAGCTGCTAAATATAACTCCAAGGCCATAGGTGTGGCGATCCTGCTACACTCTAACCTACAATACGTAATCCACAGTTGTGACACAGATCCAGATGGTCGTTATATCATCTTGTGTCTCCCTATCAACAATACTTGTTATTGCATTGTCAATGTATATGCTCCAAATTCATGTGCTAACACCTTTTTCACTAAATTATGGACATTCTGCACGCTGAATGCATTTTCGCATCCAGCATCGCAGAAGTGCCTCTAGCGGCTGTCAGCCACTAGAGGCTGGATTAACCCTGCAATGTAAACATAGCAGTTTCTCTGAAGGGTTAAAACCTGGGGGACCTGGCACCCATACCACTTCATTGAGCTGAATAGCTCTGGGTCACAATAGTGTCCCTTTAAAATATACATTATACACAGAGGCTACAGTATGTAGAATCTTCTATTTAATGTTTCCTTCAAGCCTTTCCTTGAACCTTCTAACTGTACTTTACAGTATCCCTTTATACAGTTGAATGTTTCTACTGTGTTCTCTGCGACTAAAATTTCCCAGATCCCTTAGTATTTCTTAAAGTTGTTTCATAGGTTGTCTTGTTTTATCTCTCAAAAGAGGATTATTGGGCATATTGAGCCAAATCTAAGTTTTAAGTATTTGTATTCCATATTCTATAGTATCAGGTACAGAACATTGCAATGGTGATCACTAGACATGATGTACCCCCCAAAATCTTCACTCATTTCAAAGAGGGTTTTGAATAAATCATCCTAGTTCCAATATGACATTTTTTATTTTCTGCAGTTTTATTTAGGAATATAAATAATCAAATCTTGTAGGAACATTCAATTTATTAATTCATCATTAACGGAAATACACAAAACATACTTTTCTTTTGCGTATCACACAATCTTCTGAATAACTGTTAGAACTCTATACTTGTGGCACTAATGCAGGTGGACCACAATTTGTGCTCTGGGATATTGTCTAGTTCATAGAAATGTATACCTTCTCTGTTCTTTTTCAATTCTCTAAACGGTTACATCCGTTTAAACACAACTATGCGATTAGGACAATGGAAATTTGATTCACAATAAAGGGATTAGTTGTCAATTCCAAGTTATTTTAATTTACTTAAATTAATAGAAAAATGCAAAGCACAATTCAAGTGCCAATTTCTTCACATTTGTGAGCTATAGAAACATTAGATAATAACGTAAGAGACAGCTTAGTTGTTCTCAGGATGACCATGACCAGCTACGATAGTGTGATAATTTAACTAAAGATTATATAATTTAGAATGGGATAAACTATATTCTAAGGTAGGAATAATCAGAATGTATTTGGGGAAGATTTTTTTATACAACACAAAATGTAACATATATGATATAGATTTCAAGTGTATATTTTTGTCAGGTTAGAGTATGTGTTCACGGCTCTTCTCTCGGTAAACGGGTGTGGTGATATTTTCTAGAATAACGAGATAAAATTACCTTGTACAATGTCCTAAGCAAATCTGGCAGTCTTGTTTTAGTAATATTTAAATGCTTATGCCATATTTAATATTTCCAATTTGGCCTTACCGGCTACATTTATCAAAATGTGTGGAATAATGAAAAAAAAATCTGTTATTAATTATCCTTGCTAATACTATTATTATTGTGATGGACCGCCTGGCACCCCGACTGGGTGCCTCTGCCAATCAATTTCCTGGAAGTCTTATTTTGGACCGACCGCACGCATGGTCCTATGCGCAAAATAGTTCCATAGAATCAGGGCTAGTGATCGGTCTAGTTCGGTAGTTTAAAAATGAACAAACTACCGAACATAGTCAATGGTCTTACCGTGGAGCTTATTCCCCTTGTTCAGACGAATGATTCCACCGAACAGTGCTCTTCTAAATTGTGTAGAACCAAACGCAGACGATGATGGAAGTCCAGCGGTGTTCGGGAGTTTCTGTGTCCGATTTCAGTTCCATGTAATTCATGCCCAAACACCGTTGCCTGCGTTGGTGCGAACAAGATGGCCGCCACCTTGTGGCCGTTCATGGGAACAGTGGCCAACCATACCATCAATTAGAACACTGCGGTTAGAATCGTTACCAAGTGTTAATAGGTGGTCTCTGGTTCCCTTTTAAAGTATTTTTGCCAGGTTTATCACAGGGGCCATAGTTCTAAAGCAGGAGGCTGGCAAGCAGGCCCCTCCAAGAACACGTGGCAGATACATTTCTGCTACAATTATTATTACTGGTATTTATATAGCACCAGCATATTCCGTAGCACTTTATATTATCAAAGGGGGAGATTTAACAATAAATAATACAATTACAAAAACTTACAGGAACAATAAGTTGAAGAGGGCCCTGCTCAAACGAGCTTACAGTCTATAGGAGGTGGGGCATAAAACACAACAGGACAGGAGGTAGCAATCAAACAAGGTGGAGTTAAGCAGAGTGCTGCCCTTTAGGAGAGAGCTAGGGACAGGTACATGAGGTAGAGGTTACTCTGGGAGGCCATAAGATTTCCTAACGAGATGAGTTTTGAGGCACTTTTTAAATGATTGAAAACTATAGGAGAGCTTGATGGTTGTAGGCAGGCTATTCCAAAGGAAAGGAGCCACCCGCGAGAAGTCCTGCAAGCGTGAGTTGGCTGTACGGGTGTGAGCAGCAAACAGGAGAAGGTCATGGGCAGAGCGGAGAGACCAAGAAGGGGCATACCTGCGGATCAATGAAGAGATATAGGCTCCCTGTGCTGTATGAAGGCAACATGAATTTGTAGTGGAAGTCAGATTGGGTGCGTGACTTCCTCCAGCAGCGTTCAGCAGAACGGTAGCATCTCTGCAGTTAGCGTGTTGATTTAGTGTGCCACGGTTGGGGCGTGTTCTCCTCGAGGTGCATGTTTGGAGTGGGGCTGCAGCGTCCAGGGCAGAGGTGAGGGTAGTGTTATAGGAGGAGATAGCCAGTGAGGGACAGGAGAAAGTAGGGATGGATAGAAGTTGGGAATCAGTATTAGCTGATAACTGCTGGAGGTCAATATAATTCAGATTCCTTCTAAGTTGAGGAGGGTTAGGTTGAGGACGATGGAGTAGGGGGCTATTGAGAGCAAATGATAAGAGGTGGTGATCTGAGAGAGGAAATGGATTGTTGCAGAGATTAGAAATTGTACTTTCATGAGAGGAAATAAGATCAAGGGTATTGCCAGCCCCATGGGTGGAGGACTTAGCTCACTGGGATAGCCCAAGAGAGGAGGTCATTAAAAGTAGTTTTGAGGCTACTGAGGACAAGGGTGGGTTAATGGGAATATTGAAGTCCCCAAGAATTAGGGATGGAATATGAAAGGAGAGGAAGTAGGGAAGCCAAACAGCAAAGTGGTCAAGGAAGAGGAGAGGGGAACCAGGGGGATGATAGATAACGGCAATGTTAGCAGAGATAGGTTTGAAAAGGCGAATTTAATGAAATTTAAATGAGGAGAAGGAGAGGGGAGGGGTGTAGAGGTTTGAATGAGCAGTGCGGTGAGATTAATGGGTTAATCACAGGGAAGTTAAAGTAAATATGTGTAATGTAAGATCCTGGAAGTAAGATGTTCGCAGTACTAAATGCAGGCCTAGTATAACATGGGGATAGAAACCTTTATAATTAGACATGTCCTGCAATTACCCACTAAATTACACATCGTTTACAATGAATGCAACATTTCTTAAAATACATTTTATCTCCACAGGTAGGAATGGACATTCCTGGCTTACAGCTCAGCAATCAAGATTATTATCCTTATGTCTGCTTTAAGATTGACCTGACAAATCTAGACTTTTGATTAATGAATGGAGATGAAGTAATTTATAAATGCATCTAGTTGGACAAAGTCGCAAGATATTTATAGTGAATTGCAGCCTCTAGTGACCATTTTATGTCATTACACAGTCTTTATCCCAGAAACACATGAACGTAATGTTGCCGTGATAAAATGTAATGCCTTTTGTCAGAGGGTTATTGTGCATTGTTCCAACATTTGCAAACTGTAAACATCAGCCAGTGATTGACTGGATTTACAGATAAATAGAATGATCCCAAAAATGGCAGAATACCTTAAAACTACTAATTTTCAGGGAACAGAGATTCACTGACAGAATTGTGTGGCAAGCAACTCCCTTGATGTCTTTTACAAAGAACTGGTGTAACTGCAACTTTATAGTATTTATTTGTACATTATTAAACAGATTTTATGCTTATTGGACAACGTCTGTGTAAAGAGAAAATAAAATTTCAAAATGCCTTCATTGCTTTCCCTAGATTTCCTACTATATAAATTTGCATTAGAAAAGGTATATTTAAACCTTCCCACGGTTTTAAAAGGAACAATGCCGTTTAATTACGGATATTTTAATCAAAACAACTTTATGTATAGGCATGATTTTTACTTTGCCATATATGGCATTTCGAAGGACATATGGTCCCTGCCCGGCGCATCACTTAAAGTCGAACGATTATATCTGAGATTTTTGCACAATCCTAAAGCCAACGTAAAAAATAAATAAATAATACTTTATCTTATCCACAGCCAGAGCATATCATGAAAATGAATTTAGATCATAGGGTATTTCTCAGTATATGCCAGTCATTGTAAGTAGGAATGCACAGAAATGAAAATTCTGGTCTGAAACCGAAAATTCAGGATGCCCTTGGCCGAAAACCGAAAATGACTTTCCCCCCCCAAATGATTTTAAAATAGTTTTTTCAATAATTTTATTAATATTAAACTTTTTATGCAAAACAGTAAGGGTTAGATAAATTACATTTAATTAGCAAGCTTTATCAATGCTCTCTCTGATTACATTTCCAACTCTATAAGTCTATATGAAGTTGGAAATATAATCAGACAATACTATCACTACATGAAGGATATAATAATACTATCACTACATGAAGGATATAATAATACTATCACTACATGAAGGATATAATAATACTATCACTACATGAAGGATATAATAATCTTAAGATCACTATGAACAATAGTATTATTAATACTTCTATCACTGTATGAAGGATTTAATACTACTATCACTGTATGAAGGATAATACTAATACTGTATATATGATATAATAATCCTATTACTGTATGAATGATATAACAATAATACTACTATCATGTATGAAGGATAATACTATCACTGTATGTATGATATAATAATCCTATCACTGTATGGAGGATAATACTACTACTACTACTACTATCACTGTATGAATGATAATACTACTATCACTGTATGTATGATATAATAATACTATCACCGTATGAAGGATATAATAATAATCCTATCACTGTATGAAGGATAATAATAATACCTTACCATTGGTTCATTGGGTACCAGACACCTCTTCTAGGAGAGTTGGAGGTGCTCTGCATTAAACTAAAAGCAGTAGCGCAGGGTTTAGCTCAGGGCTCTGGACACGTTTCTCCTGGATTGCTCCGGGCTCCATTACTCCATTCTGCACTCACCCCAGGAGATCCCGCCAGCCGCTTCAAGAAAACATATTCCTGAGAATGAGACTAAGAAGAGCTCACCCGCGGCCTGAAACATTGCAAGGTCCCAGGAGATGATGGGTTGTGCCAGGATATCTTGCATGTGTCCCGTCACTAATTGCAACAGTGGTCCGAGCAGAGGCATTCATTGACTGTCATACTGTGACACCGATACAGGACGGACACATCACTCTCAGCGATAGTCATAAAGAGAGCACTGGAAAGGAGCTCAATGGGCTACTAGCAATTGGGGGAGAGGGCAATGAGAGGGGGAAGGAAGGGGTGCAATTGTCAGCAGATTTGACAATTGTTCGGCTGAAATGGGATAGGCCCATTTTTGTTTTAAAATTTTGGTGCATCCCGAATGGTAAGATAATGCCTTGTGCACAAAACACTGTCAAGTCTACCGTTCCCCCCTCCCCCCCGCCCCCCTCAATAAGTCCTTAAAAAAATTTTTTTTTTGAGTGATGGAATGAGGAACTGTCACTCAAAAAAAGTAGATGTCAAAATCAAAAGTTCTGGCCCTCCAAATAATATCCTATTACAACTACACATTCACCAATGAATCTGGGGTCAGCATGGGAGTTAAATGTTGTTCAAAAACACAAATCTCCTGGTAGTGAAGCACAGAATGAGAAATTCTTAAGTATACAGACCTCTACTCCTATAAAACCGTACATGTCTGCCGTTCCACATGTTACATTAAAGACAGTGTAATCATTCTTTGCACCGGCCATTGGGTGTATATAGTAAACACATTTAGTTGAGAAAACATATACAACACAAAACTCTGAACTATGTCAAAAAATATTTTATTCAGAAATCGAGGTCAAGCTGATCAAAATTGCAGATGAAAATACCCAAAACGTAAAATACATAAACATAATGTTGCAGCATCAGCCAAGGAAACATTCAAGACTTTTTTTTTTTAATGGCAACAAGGCCAAAAGGGTATTTCCAATATTTATCTTCTAATTAGCTATTTTTTCCCCCAGTGTGTCATTCCCCCAAACAGGTTTTACAACAGCTTCCTTCAAAATCTAAACATAATACAATGAAAATCACTGTTACAACAATTCATAGAATTTTTTCAGTGTTCTCCCCAGAGGAACTGTCAATTGGTTAATTGAAACTGGTCTTTTCAAGTTCATACAGGATATTCCATTTAAAAAAAAGAGACCACTGCGCGAGCCACCCGAGATAGGATGGGCCTGATGGCAAACATTGCAAAATCCTCCGAGAAAAAAGATGTAACATTAAAATAGGGAGGGATTCTTTTTATCTTCACAGTTCATCTTTATCAAAATCATCAAGATCCACATCACTGAGATCAATATCATCTTCAGCGGGCAGCTGTAATATAAAGAAAGATAACGGAATCAAGAAGCAGTCAGTGCAATCAGAACAGTCTGTACAATAATCTTATGCTCTCCTCATCTATAAAAGGAAGTGCAGGATGCAGAAAATAGAAACACTGACCAATATGCATCTCTTCATAGAGATGCACTGAATCAGTGTATCTCTATGGGGAAAGTTCAGTGTCTCCATGCAGAGGGAGGAAACACTGTGCAGCACTGACCCAGGAAGCACCCCTGAAAAGGCAGAGTTTACAGCAAAAAGCCTTCAGGGAGTGTCTATATACAACATTAAAGGGAAACCGTTTTCTTGGCACTGCAGGTCCCCTCTCCCTCCCAATCGCTGAAGGGGTGAAAACCCCTTCAGTGACTTACCAGAGGCAGCGACGTCGGACATGTCGCTGCTTCTTCCTCCGCCGTCGCTCCTCCCTGTGATTGCTTTGGCCGGTGGGCGAGACTAATCCCACCCACCGGCCGGGGAGACCTAATGCGCATGCTTTCCTATGGGGAAATGAGCGCCGCTGGAGGTCCTCACACAGCGTGAGGACGTCCAGCGACGCTCTAGCACAGGTTTCCTGTGCTAGAAACTTAAGTGCCCTCTAGTGGCGGTCTTAACCCTGCAAGGTAATTATTGCAGTTTATAAAAAACTGCAATAATTACAGTTGCAAGGTTAAGAGTGGTGGGAGTTGGCACCCAGACCCCTCCAATGGGCAGATGTGGTCTTGGTGCCTGGAGTGTCCCTTTAAGTTGTTCTGGTGACTATAGTATCCCTTAAAAACAAAACAAAAAAAACAACCAAACAACAAAGTCATGAAAAATGAATTTAGAGATGTATTCATACAAAAAGGAATCTTACCTCTCCATCTTTCCCATCCCATGCTTCAACAGTGTTAATTTTAGGAATGGCTCCTCCACCTACGGTTGAAGTAGAGCCACGTCCAAAAGAGAGCTCCCTAAAACAAAGTTTGGAGAATTAATGCACTGGGGATTGTTCATGAGCTGGCAAACAAACACTTTGTAAATTTAGGAACACATACAAAATATTCCATGAACAAATCTTAAGGGGAACACGTCAGTCAATCGAAAAACAGAAGAAAACGAAGGGAGAGTCTTTTGGTGGATTACACTTCAGGAACTATGGAACAGTGGCAACAGAAATGAAATCAAAGCCAGTTCTATTTAGACATAGTTTAATATTTGTACTATCCAAACATTTAACAAGATATGCTCAAACCCTTGATACATGAAATAGAGAAAAGAAGGAAAAAACATGAATCACTGAATGTAGAACTTAAAAAGTGAATAAACTATGAAACTGGAGACCTTTTGTAATGGCAATACTGTGCTAGCAGAGGCTTTTATGCCTTTTGGCCCATTAGCCTATTACACATTGAGCACAGAGCCACAAGGGACCCATGAACTGAGCAGAGTGCGGTGATCTGTGGTACTGTTTATAACGTAAACAATATAACAATTCAGCACTGCATAATCTGTAGGCACTTTATAAATAATAATAAAAATCCTGTTCAGTCACAAAAGATGACTTTTCACCTTTTTGTACAATTATGTAAATTTCTAATCAAATCCAAGTGTAAAACAACCTCAAGCATAAAAGACAAATGACCCTGGCATACATATTGGAAGCAATATGTACAGGAAACTTACCGTAGGAATTCATTAATTCCTTGCTCACTAAAGGAGCCCTTCAAAAGTGCAAACTTCATCTTTCTTGCATTGATCGCAGCCATGGCAGGGTAACCAAAGCCTCCAATTCCAAGTGATGTTTCCAGGTCCAACTGAGCCCCAGCCTCTGTCCACAGCCACCTTACATAGAAAATACAGGATAAGAAAGCAATACCTCAATACAGATCCTACCACGTTAAGCTAGGACTTTATCGATCTCCTGTTTTCTACTCTCTTAAAAAGGTTTTCCTTACACTTGTTCCGACCTCTCAAACTTTACCATCCCTCCAAAACTGTGCCATGGTCAGTCTCTTGCTGGATGAACTATTTGATCTAATGTTCCCTTATCTCCTCCACACCTATTCATCCCTTATTTTCAGCTTTGTAGAGGGCAGGATCTGAGTTTAACAAGCCAATCTGCAATCTCAAATCTTACAATCTCAGCTTAATAAGTGCTCCCTCTGTTGACCATAGATTTAGTAGACATTTCTGCCACATCACTAGAAAGAGACTAAAAACAGTCTTTCAGAACATAGCTCTTCCTTATGCCTTTGAAGACAAATAGAAACCCCCTGTGCGATTAGCCCTTACCCCCACATTTTCTTCTTGTATTTATCAGCCATTTTTACCATGACGTCCAGGTATGAATTTCTACCTGAAGCACCTATGTAAGAGAGAAAATTTGAATAAAGACACGTGGTTTCACGAGACATTAGCACTTTTACTCATGAAACTGGCTATTAAACTGGACGTATGCAATATGTATATAAAAAGAAAAACAAAAATCTTGGTCA